TAACCCATCCCTTTTGGTAACCTATCCCTTTTGGGTTAACCCATCCCTGTTGATAAGCCATCCCTTTTGGTTCAACCCATCCCTTTTGGTTCAACCCATCCCTATAGGGGAACACATCTCTTTTGGTTTAACCCATCCCTTTTGGTGTAACCCATCCCTTTTGGGGTAACCCATCCCTTTTGGGGTAACCCATCCCTTTTGGTTTGACCAAATCCTTTTGGTTTAACCCATCCATTTTGGTTTAAGCAATCCCTTTTGGTTTAACCCATCCCTTTTGGGTTAACCCATCCCTTTTGGTAAACCATCCCTTTTGGTTTAACACATCCCTTTTGGTTTAACCCATCCCTTTTGGTTTAACCCATCCCTTTTCCAAGAGAGACTTGGACCTACAGTGCCTTGTTAAAGTATTCATCCCCCTTGGCGTTTATCCTATTTTGTTGCATTACAACCTGTAATTTAAAATGATTTTTATCTGGATTTCATGTAATGGACATTACACAATAGTCCAAATTGGTGAAGTGAAAAAAATTAAAATAAGTGGTGTGTGCATATGTATTCACCCCCTTTGCTATGAAGCCCCTAAATAAGATCTGGTGCAACCAATTACCTTCAGAAGTCACATAATTAGTTAAATAAAGTCCACCTGTGTGCAATCCAAGTGTCACATGATCTGTCACATGATCTCAGGTTATATACACCTGTTCTGAAAGGCCCCAGAGTCTGCAACACACTAAGCAAGGGGCACCACCAAGCAAGCGGCACCATGAAGACCAAGGAGCTCTCCAAACGGGTCAGGGACAAGGTTGTGGAGAAGTACAGATCAGGGTTGGGTTATAAAAAAAATATCCGAAACGTTGAACATCCCACGGAGCACCATTTAAATCCATTATTAAAAAATTGAAAGAATATGGCACCACAACAAAGCTGCCAAAAGAGGGCCAACCACCAAAACTCACGGACCAGGCAAGGAGGGCATTAATCAGGGAGGCAACAAAGAGACCAAAGATAACCCTGAAGGAGCTGCAAAGCTCCACAGCAGAGATTGGAGTATCTGTCTGGGCTTTATGGAAGAGTGGCCAGAAAAAAGCCATTGCTTAAAGAAAAAAATAAGCAAACACGTTTGGTGTTCGCCAAAAGGCATGTGGGAGACTCCCCAAACATATGGAAGAAGGTACTCTGGTCAGATGAGACTAAAATTGAGCTTTTTGGCCATCAAGGAAAACGCTATGTCTGGCGCAAACCCAACACCTCATCACCCCGAGAACACCATCCCCACAGTGAAGCATGATGGTGGCAGCAGCATCATGCTGTGGGGATGTTTTTCATCGGCAGGGACTGGGAAACTGATCAGAATTGAAGGAATGATGGATGGCGCTAAATACAGGGAAATTCTTGAGGGAAACCTGTTTCAGTCTTCCAGAGATTTGAGACTGGGACGGAGGTTCACCTTCCAGCAGGACAATGACCCTAAGCATACTGCTAAAGCAACACTTGAGTGGTTTATTGAAATGTCTTGGAATGGCCTACTCAAAGCCCAGACCTCAATCCAATTGAGAATCTGTGGTATGACTTAAAGATTGCTGTACACCAGCGGAACCCATCCAACTTGAAGGAGCTGGAGCAGTTTTGCTTTGAAGAATGGGCAAAAGTCCCAGTGGCTGCATGTGCCAAGCTTATAGAGACATACCCCAAGAGACTTGCATCTGTAATTGCTGCAAAAGGTGGCTCTACAAAGTATTGACTTTGGGGGGGTGAATAGTTATGCATGCTCAAGTTTTCTGTTTTTTGTCATATTTCTTGTTTGTTTCACAATAAAAAATATTTTCAAAGTGGTAGGCATGTTGTGTAAATCAAATGTTACAAACTCCCAAAAAAATCTATTTTAATTCCAGGTTGTAAGGCAACAAAATAGGAAAAATGCCAAGGGGGGTGAATACTTTCGCAAGCCACTGTAGTGGCCATTTGTAACATTCTGTTCTGAGGCAGCATGTTATTTTGAGAATCAAAGCTGAAATGTGCAGTCACAGTGTGAGTGCATGACTGTCTGTGTGCACACCCTCAGGGATACATAGTCTCGGGTCACTGTGGAAACCTATGAGCCTAAAACATTCTGGGTAATGTAGTTTTGTACAGCTCATTTATTCACACAGCCTAACCATATTTTAAATGTTGTAGCCAAATGTGATGTTTTAATGTCATTGGGTTGCCCTTGTATGTAAGTTCATTTATTGTCAGTAAGTTCATTAATATGCGGCAGCGTCCCTCATGTTGCCTCATGTTTCAAGCAAAACATCATAACCGGTTTACCTTCATATTTCACCACATTAGTCTACACCCCTCCATTCACAGCACAGGCTACGATAGCAGTCCCACATCCACCAGTGCCTGTGCACACTGCACCACGATTGCCTCTCTTTGTTCTGTTCTTGTAGCATACGTAGTCGTAGTAACCGGTTTTATGGCCCCCTTGTCCTATTGTGTCACTGTGTTTCCCTCTCTGCTTTAAACCACTGTCTAACTGTAATGGATAGCCTTGTGTAGTAATCTATATGTCGCAGACAGGTGCCTGGTTGAAGGCGTTGGAGCCTGGGCCTCCTGTGATATGCAGTTCTAGAATAGAATAGAATAAAATACGATACAATACAATACAATAGAATAATATGGGCAGGAATTTTTCTTGACCACGTGACCTGATGGCCATATTCTATAACTAGTGTCCAGAGTTCTCCCTGGTCAGGACATGTTGTCAGACAGGAAAGACTCCTGGCCCTAAGTGTGTAGAGTAGAATAGAATAACTTTATTGCAGCACTCAGCAGCAGTCGGCACTATGAGAGCTGTGGCCAGCCCATCTGTTGAGTTTTGCAGCTAACACTGTTTGTTATCAACACACTGCCGTTACAGTATATCTCACTCATACAATCATGTCATATATGGCAGATCTGGACTCTATAAATGGAAAGCTGTATGTTTTTTTCTTCCCAATAACTATTAATAATGTATTAGATATCAAATATAAATATAAACATCGGAACCATCCACCTTCGCTATTATGGAACCATTTGCCTGATAATATATAATAATAATATATGCAATTTAGCAGACACTTTTATCCAAAGCGACTTACATTTCATGCATGCATACTTTTTACATATGGGTGGCCCTGGGAATCAAACTCACAACCCTGGCGGTGCAGCCATGCTCTACCAACTGAAATGGTTTGACAATTGGAAAATCTATGTAAAATGTATCCCCTCTGCTTTGCAATGCATTAATGGCATTTACTTTTCAGTGTATTTATGAGATCTTATTTGCATATAGAAGAGGCTCGCATGAGGAAGGAAAGGTTATGCAGCCTGTTCTGCCTGTTCAGTGGAAATGAGTTCAAGTCAACCCTCGAGCGTGTGTGATATCAAATTATGTATTTATTAAATGAAATTCTGACTGAGTATGTGGTTCTGTTTGAGAAATTGATGTTGACCCCATAAAAGCCCAAATATAGCCTGGTGGTAATGAACAAAGCAGAGAAAATGATGTTATTATTGGTTTTCATTTAGAATATTTCTACTGGCTTGCATGGGGTAAGAGTTTATGCAAAACACTGTGAATATAAAGTCATTTAAATTTTAGAGAGTCACTAATGTCACTATGTTACTACACGGTAATATACATTTCACCTGTTTGTTGAAGCGAATACAAAGCTTAGTGTAGAGTGGACCAAAATAACTAAGGGCATCCCGGGGAGCATTAGAGATCGTGAAAGTATGTTATTCACCATCTTTAACAAAATTGACCGAAACTTAGCTCATTAAATGAAAGTAAAACGTGTATTATCATGTCATATAGTGCAACTTTTTAACCTCTTGGTATAGACGATTAGATATATTGCACCCCTATTGCATGAAATGGTGCGCTCCGCGCCTGCATCTAGGTCTCGCCAATGCAACAACGCTGCCACATTATGTGCCCAAAGGATCGCGGGGCTGAGGTGCGCTATCTCCACTGTTGACATTATAAATCATGAATGAATGTCAAAGGATTGCGAAGGATGATTGCTGCTACCGAATATATTGTTTTGGTGTGTCAATTATCCGCCGTGACGGTCTTCGGTTAAAGCGACACCGCCGTAGCCTACGGTACTGGTGATGATCAACCTGACAGTGCGAGCCTCCCAATGACAGCTAAGCAAGTAATGCAGCGGAACGTGCGCGTGTTTTTCTTGTGTTGGGAAACGCGAGACGAAACGACCGGGATCGAAAGCGGGAAAAGTCTGGTGGTTTGTGTATTTAGGGAATATGCCAGGCGCATGACACCAGAATGCCTTTATTTTTCCCTTTCGGACTTTAACCCATTGCTTCAGAATATCCATTACGGAATGCAACAGAACCGGTGACCAAGGATACTGGAATACTTGCTGGCTGCCATCTGCTCAAGTAATACGCAATTATAATTCACCAAAGGTCTTCATAGTCCTATGGAAGCAACAACGCTGGGCAGGTTATGAAATAAATTATGTCAAGAGGATTGGATTTTGTGAGCATCTCTTTTACTTGGTGCTGTGTGCGTTTCCCAGCAGGCTACCAGTGCCAATATTAGTGTTTCCCTAATGACTGTGTTTCTGTTGTTTTCATTACGTTTTAGTGGTATTTATGTATCTTCTGAAGACAGAGAAAAAGAGAGGAAGAGGACTGTTACCTGCAATATATTCACATCCTCAATGATCTAATACATTGACTTTTAAAGTGTTTCTTCTGACTGATGAGCATTAGTCTTACTGGAGCTAATAACATCATCTCATTCACCTCAATCAATCAAATGGTATTTAATATTTATAGGACACTTAACAGTAAACAGCCAGGACCTCAACCCCTCCCCCCCCAGGAGCAACCAGAGGTGGAAGGAGAACTCTGGGGATATGAGAATGCCAGTCAGCCACTCTTGGAGGAAAATTCAAGTGTAATACAAGTGCTTGTTTATCATTAAAAACAAAGGTGTGTGTGGAATGCTGGACATCAGAATGAAGGAGGCGTGTCGTATCTGCGCGCAGGAGCTCTGCGGTAACCAACGCCGATGGATCTTCCACCCTGCCTCCAAACTCAACCTCCAGGTGCTCCTGTCCCACGCCCTGGGTCGAGAGCTGACCCGGGACGGGCGCTGCGAATTCGCCTGCTCCAAGTGTGCCTTCATACTGGAGCGCATGTATAGGTTTGATACGGTCATCGCTCGTGTGGAGGCTCTGTCCATCGAACGGCTGCAGACGCTGCTCCAGGAGAAACACCGGCTACGTGGCCTCATCGGAGGCCTCTACCGGAAGTCCAACGGGGAGGAGGGGGGCGGTGGTGGAGGGGTCATTACTGGGCCTGGGGGTACGGGAGGAGGAGGGGTACAGGGGGAAGGTATAGTGGACATGTCTGGTCTGACCCATGCTAAGTACTGTGCTCTGCTCCAGGAGGACTTGGTGTACTCTCTGTATGAGTCCTGGGCTGTGAAGGGGTTAGAGTTCGGGGGTCACCACCATCATCATCATGGGCATTGCCCACAATGCCCAGGGTCAGAGGTGACGGCTGTTGGGTCACAGCGCTGTGGGACAGTCACGCCTTCGCCCAGGAAGTGCCAAGGGTGCACAGCGTGGCGAGTCGCGGACTCTGACTACGAGGCCGTGTGTAAAGTACCCAGGAAGTTGGCACGGAGTATTTCCTGTGGCCCATCGACGAGGTATTCGACCAGTGTGATTGGAGTAGAAAGAGGTAGAGGAGGGGAGGAAGAGCCAAAAGGGACCCACTCCTCGCTCACGCTGGTCCCAGGGTCCAAGCTTCAGTCCCGGGCTTCAGACAGTGACCGTACCCTAGCGGGTCGAGACAGCTCCAGCCCCTCCATAGACTCCCTGGATATAGCTGGAGAATCTACCCGGCTGTCTGCTATCCAAGATGAGGACGAGGGGCTAGTGTACCCCCGGGACCCCCTGGATGACCGGTTCTCTGACTCCCTGTCTGAAGAGCACCACCTGGTGACCCCGATGAGATCGGCCTCCCACCTCTCCCAGGCCCTCTGCCTGGTCCAGAACTGTGTGTACCGGCCCGTCCAGAGCCCCAAGGGAAGCAGATTGCCTGTGCTGCTCAGACAGAGCCCCAGCGATGGAGGCTCCAGACTTGGCTTCTATGAGCCGGCCTTGAGGTTGCTGCATCGAAGTCCGAATGGAGAGGGGGAGATCCATGGCCATGTACCCGACCCAGAGGCCCCTCCGATCAGGCTGGACGGTGAGATGGATGGGGGTCTGGACCTGGCTGAGATGGAGGAGCTGTGGGAGGATCTGTATCATGAGTGTCCTCCCCCACACCCCCACCAGGTATACGACAGCTGCTCTCCAGCCAGCTCTCCAGCCAGCTCTCCAGCCAGCTCTCAAGCCAGCTTTGGTCATCGGCTCACTAATCTCGTTTTATTGTCTTTGCTCAAGCTTGCCAGATACTAAAATCAGAAGGAGTGTTTTCTTTCAATAGAACACCTTATTTTACTACATATCTTATTTGTGCCATATTTAATCATCTGTAGATGTAGAGAATATTCCAGAAGGTTACTTGGTTATCTTTGAATCCAGCACACAGTGCAGTGCTCCCAACCGTGAGAATATTCCTGTTCTCTCCATGCTCCTAGCTAATTAGCTGGGTAATTCAACTGTCCATCTCCATCACCTAAACCTCTCCCTCCCCCTCTCCAGAGAAGATGCACATTAGAGGATGTGTGCTCTGTAGCACTTAAATCTATGTGTGTGAGAGTGTCTGTGAGTGTGTGTGTGTGTGTGTGTGTCTATGAGGTCATTCTATGACTCAGGCGTGTACGTGCCTAGATGCACATCATACAATCCTTCAGATGTGTGCGTGTGCGTGTGCGTGTGCGTGTGTGTGTGTGTGTGTGTGTGTGTGTGTGTGTGTGTGTGTGTGTGTGTGTGTGTGTGTGTGTGTGTGTGTGTGTGCAGTATGTGTGTGTGTGTGTGTGTGTGTGTGTTAAAAGCAGTATGGGATTTTCACGTAGAGCTCTCAGGCCAGTCAGCCATACTAATGAGTGTGTGTTGTTGTCAGACAGTAGACCAGTCATGATTGGCCTACCACAGAGGCACATTAACCCTAGGATGCATAGTAAACATGATGCCCAAAGAATGCATATGCCAGGTCAAAATGACCCGATAATGTCATATCTGTGTTTTATTTATATGGGTCTAAAATATTATCCATTTTGTGGAACATAATTATTTTGAGTGATGATTTGGACCTTTCAATAATGATTTTATTGTTTGAAATGTTTTTAGTCGCTCTTCAACAGTTTGGTTAATGGCTATTGAAAATATTAGCACATTTTTATTACAATCAATCTTACAATCAAAGTTTCACATTCAACCTTTTAGTGTGAAGAACAAATAAAACACCTTAAGCATATTTTATAATATTTCAAAACATTTATTTGAAAATCTAAAGTTCATCGTCAATAACCGAAAGGTCGCTGGTTCTAATCCCCGAGCCGACTAGGTGAAAAATCTGTCGATGTGCCCTTGAGCAAGGCACTTAACCCTAATTGCTCATGTAAGTCGCTCTGGATAAGAGCGTCTGCTAAAAAAAATATATATATAAACGACAACACTAACAATTTTGAATTTAGACTTATGCTGTCTTAGTCCATGCATTTGTTACAAACCAAAAGCATGTGACTGTGCTCTTTGCAGACGGGTGTGTTGCACTGAGAACACCAGCAGCTGACTATTCTATCCTTAGTGCTTGGGCAGAGCTGGCACCTCTTCCTCTTCTGGTCCTGGCTGCTCTGAGTGGTGGTGGCATGGGTCTCTTTCATCACCCAACATCTTTACATTGCCTCAGTTCTTCTGTGGAGATGGGAGAACCTTCCAGAAGGACAACCATCTCTGCAGCACTCCAACAATCAAGCCTTTATGGTAGAGTGGCCAGATAGAAGCCACTCCTCAGTAAAAGGCACATGACAGCCCGCTTGGAGTTTGCCAAAAGGCACCTAAAGGACTCTCAGACCATGAGAAACAATATTATCTGGTCTGATGAAACCAAGATTGAACTCTTTGGCCCGAATGCCAAGCGTCACGTCTGGAGGAAACCTGCTCATCCACTGTGACGCAATCGCTGGGGATGAACCTTTCTCTACAGTTTGCTAGGAAAAGGTCCCACACATACTGGAAGGCTGCCAGGTGGTCCGTTGCCTCTCTGAACACTCTGGTCCTCTTGTCATCATGCCTCAGGTAGCGACGGATATCCTCATATCTTCCGACCGACATGGTGGCCTAATACATTGGCTCCCGTGTGGAAACATACCAGCTTTTCTCCACGCCGGTGAGGAGGGTTAAAGCAATAAAGAGCTTTAGTTCCTCTTTGTTGACCTCTCTCCACTCTTTCCCTTTTGCTGTCGCTGTTCTCCGTCCTTCTAAATTTGTACACTTTAGGACCTCCTCAATGATATTGTCGCTAATGAACAGCTCCCAGACATCTTTTGGTGGCAAAACTGTTGACCCCGGCACAGGCCCTGGGCAACTCCTCAGGATGTTATGGCTTCTGGTCCTGCCTTTAGTGGGGGGGGGGTTCACTCTCCTCAGAGGAGGAGTCTTCCCAATCTGCAGAATCATGTAGGACAGCTGGACTACCAGGTGCATCCACAACTCCAACTTGACCCACAGGCATCTGAATTGGATACCTCAGATTCTGAGTCAGAGGCACAAATGGCTTCCTCATCCAGCATCTATAAAACCCTTTTTGTTGAATATCTGGCAACATTCTTATGAGCCTCCTCATGAAAACGGTGATTAATTAATATTAAAAACAAGATATTTAATAAATACTTTATTAATTACATTGATTTTAATGTTGTAGCAAAAAGAAAGATCAGTTTGACGAGTGCAATGCAGTGAATTCCACATTAAATACATATGGGTCATATTTGACCCACATATGAAAACTTGGGGTAGTGATGCAAAAACTATTTATACATAAAAAATAAGAAATTAAACAACAAAACTAGGATGTTGGAACATTAAAGACACACTATTTAAGGAATTCCTGGAATATTAGATGATGACATTTTTGGGGGGGATCAATACTGCAAAACAAATATTAATCATTTTGACCCGGTTATTAAACCTAGTATGATACTGGGGCGGCAGGTATCCTAGCGGTTAAGAGAGTTGGGCTATTAACTGAAAGGTCGCTGGTTCAAATCCCAGAGCCGACTGGGTAAAAAAATCTGTTGATGAACAAGACACAACCTTAATTGCTCGGGAAGTCTGGTAAAAATGTACTGTCATCTTCACAGTAGCTTCAGTCATTTTGGCCTGAGAGTGCTTTTCAACAAGCTCTCACAAAGTACGCCAAAATAGTGGATAATAAGCAAAGTGTTTATTCAGTAGTGCAAAACTAGGACTTGGAAACCGTATCGGATATCACATGTTTAGGTAGAACCTGAGATGCTGTGTATCTATCAGAGGAGGCTGGTGGGAGGAGCTATAGGAGGACAGGCTCATTGTAATGGCTGGAATGGAATCAATGGAACGGTATCAAACACATCAAACATATGGAAACTCTGTTCCATTAATTCCATTCCAGCCATTAAAATGAACCCGTCCTCCTATAGCTCATCCCAGCAGCCTCCACTGGTATCTATATCCTCATACAATTACTTGCATATACAGTATATCAAGTATTTGCCTTGGGGCTGCTACAGAAATCTACTGACAGACAAGAACTGTGTTTCTCTTTACATTATCAAGCAGTTTCATCCAGTCACAGACTCTTAAGCTACAGTCATGTACTCAATGTATTACAGAAAAAAAAGGCAAACTGGTATCTTATGTTCAAAAATATATTCAGCCTTTCTCAGAGGAAAATGAACATTTAAGAACAGACCTTTCTTTGTTATTGAAAGTCAGCACTACATTTGAGCGTTAAAACCTTGTGCTTTGGTACAACAGCTCTATGTGCTTTGGAAACACAACGATTTGGAAAGCATGTGTAAGCCTCTGTAATGATAGTGTAGTCCTTCATGTGAAAGTGATTCCAGGCCCCAACCAGCCCCAGCCGTGTTCACTAAACTAGGTTAGAGCATGGGGAGACGTGGAGTGGCACCACTATTGGCCTATTTTCACAGGTTGCAACAAATCCTGGAGGCAGCAAGCACTAACAATACCACACAATACCACACAATACCACACAATACCACACAATGTCAGACCAGGCCTCTGTCTCAATTCTGGATGGCTACTGGATGTTATTATATTATAGCATGGACCATAGAATTAGAATGACTAGAATGGACTTTCTAATTCAAAGTAATTATATTTCTATGGCATGTACAGTGTCTCTCTCTGTGCTACTCAAATGGCCTGGACCAGAGCTATACACTATGTATTTGGCTTGGACCTGTAAGTATCAACAGTATGTCAATATTTACACCTCTACTGTATTTATACAGTATAAGGAGATTTTGTCGGCTCATAATAGTAATCCACAAACCACCACATAAATCTATCCTACGTTACCATTCTAATCAGGGATTTAAGTTACTCACTTTACTTACGTGTGAGTGTGTTGTGGGATTAACTCCCGTAGCGTAGCGTAATGTAGCATAATGTAGCGTAGCGTAGTGTAGCGTAATGTAACGTAATGTAGCCTAGCATAGCGTAGCGTAAACCTATAAATATAGGATGTGAGTGCTCACATGTTAATGCTGTAAGGGTGATGCTAACACACTGGTTATGTAAGTTAGTTTATGTGCGGCACAGAGCACTAGACACACACACACAGACACACACACACACACACACACACAAGAGAGAATATCCTCAGGATAGAGTGAACAGAAAGTTTGGTTTCAAAAGTACAGTCCAGTTACCGACACAGCACTGCAGGGTTGGGGTCAATTCCATTTCAAATCCAGTGTACTTCCTGAACTGACTAGAAATTGAAATGGAATCTGACCCTGCAGCCCAGCTCGGTGCATTGTTACTTTTCCTCATCCAGAACTGCCCCTGTGTCTCTCAGGTCTGGCTAAAGCAGGTTGGATAGTAATACTGTTTTGTCTGGCTACAGCAGGTTGGATTGTAATACTGTTTTGTCTGGCTACAGCAGGTTGGATTGTAATACTGTTTAGTCTGGCTACAGCAGGTTGGATTGTAATACTGTTTTGTCTCGCTACAGCAGGTTGGATTGTAATACTGTTTTGTCTGGCTACAGCAGGTTGGATAGTAATACTGTTTAGTCTGGCTACAGCAGGTTGGATTGTAATACTGTTTTGTCTGGCTACAGCAGGTTGGATTGTAATACTGTTTAGTCTGGCTACAGCAGGTTGGATAGTAATACTGTTTTGTCTGGCTACAGCAGGTTGGATTGTAATACTGTTTAGTCTGGCTACAGCAGGTTGGATTGTAATACTGTTTAGTCTGGCTACAGCAGGTTGGATTGTAATACTGTTTTGTCTCGCTACAGCAGGTTGGATTGTAATACTGTTTTGTCTCGCTACAGAGCTGAACTATTGTGTCTATCTCTCCCTTAATATTCATTTGTGAACAAAGCAAGATTTGGCATACTGGGACCCGAGTATGTGTGTGTGTTAACCCCTGTGTGTGTGTGTGTGTGTGTGTGTTAACCCCTGTGTGTGTGTGTGTGTGTGTTAACCCCCGTGTGTGTGTGTGTGTGTGTGTGTGTGTTAACCCCTGTGTGTGTGTGTGTGTGTGTGTGTGTGTGTGTGTGTTAACCCCTGTGTGTGTGTGTGTGTGTGTTAACCCCTGTGTGTGTGTGTGTGTGTGTGTGTGTGTTATCTCCTGTGTGTGTGTGTTAACCCCTGTGTGTGTGTGTGTGTTAACCCCTGTGTGTCTGTGTATTCCAGACTCTGATCGAGGAGCAGCACAGCCAGTTGAACCAGTATGAGTGTGCAGCAGGTCAGTGTATCAGTGAGCTGCAGAAGGCCCAGCTCCAGGTCCAGTCCCTCCAGACCAAGATCCAGGAGAGTGAGGCCAACAACACGGTACAGCTACAGAGACATTACACATCTATACAACACACACACACACACACACACACACAAGCATTCATCCCTCTCCCCTCTCCCCCTCTCCCCTCTCCCCTCTCCCCCTCTCCCCTCTCCCCTCTCCCCTCTCCCCTCCCGAACCTCCCTCCCTCTCCTCCCTCTCCTCTCCTCTCCCTCTCCCCTCCCCCCCCACCCCGTCTCTCTCCCCCACTCCCCCTCCCTCTCCCCTCCTCCTCCCCCCCACTCCCCCTCCCTCTCCCCTCTCCCCTCCCTCTCCCCCCTCCCCCTCCTCCCCCCCTCCTCCTCCCCATCCCTCTCCCCCTCCCTCTCCCTCTCCCCTCCCTCTCCCCTCCCTCTCCCTCTCCCCTCCCTCTCCCCCTCTCCCCTTCTCCAGAAGCTGCAGGAGAAGCTCAGTGAGATGGAGTGTGATCTGCGTTCCATCCGCCAGGCAGCTCACAACCAGGAACGCACCATCCAGGGCCTGACCGACTCTGTCAGCACCAAGGACAACGAGGTGTGTGTGTGGTCTACAATGAATTTACATCGCCGCCCCAGAACCATTTGAGACGGCCTAGTGACTAAAATAATAATAATATATGCCATTTAGAAGACACTTTTATCCAAAGCGCCTCACAGTTGGCGTGCATACATTTTACGTACGGGTGGTCCCGGGAATTGAACACACAATCCTGGGATTACAGTGCCATGCTCTACCAACTGAGCTACAGAGAACAACCACTACCTCAGTAGTGACTTACATTTCTCCTCAGACCCAGGAGCTGTACCAGTTCATTGAGGGGCAGAACACCATGCTGTGTAAGCTGAGAGAGATGGCCAACCACAACCAGATCACTCACACTCAGGTGAGACCTCACACACCCCAGACAGGTCCAGACAAGCACTCAGCAGGATACCGGTTAATGAAGAGCCATAATAACCCAACTGTTGATAGATAGATGGAGACAGACGCCCTTCCTCCCCATGGCCAGACTAACCTTAGTGGTTCTTGTTTGTTTGGTCTGCTCTCCCAGGCTCCAGAGGGGGGCAGTGAAGGTGCGGGTCTAGCCCAGCTGCAGGGTGAGTTGGTGGGGGTACAGAGCTCTCTGTTTACCCTGGGTCTGGAGCTGGAAGCCAGTCAGAGAGCCCAGAGACAGAGCCAGAGACAGGCTGAGGACCTGACCAGAGCTAAAGACAGACTCCACTCTGACCTAAAGGAGGCACTGCAGCACAGGGAGGTCACCGACAAACACAACCAGGTCAGTGTGTGTGTGTGTGCGTGCGTCCGTCCGTGCGTGCGTGTGTGTGTGCGTGTGTCTGGACCCCTGTCATGTAGGTGGTGTGTGTAACCTGTCCTCTGTCCCACCGTAGGACTTGCTCAGTGCCCTGGCTCAGTCCCGCTCTGCGCTGCAGGCTAAAGAGGCTCAGCTGAAGGAGAGCGAGGCAGAGAAACACATGGAGGTTCAGGAGAGAGACAAGAACATCACACAGCTCAAACTCTCCCTACAGGACAAGGAGAGACAGCTACAGGTGAGAGACACACACACACACACACACACACACACAAACAGAAATAAACACATACACACTAACCCTATCTCTCTGTGTGTGTGTGTGTAGGAGTACTCTGAGCTCCTGGAATCAGTAGACAGCTCCAAACCCAGAGATACTCTGATGGACAAACTGAGAGAACGCATCAGGGACAGGGACAGAGCACTGGAGGTAGGACCACACACACACACTGGACGGATGGACAATAATAATGATAATAGTAATAATAATATGAATATTAATAATAATAATAATAATGTTCTTTCTCATGTCCAGCGGTCTATAGATGAGAAGTTCCGTTGTCTGGAGGAAAGGGAGGAGCAGGTGAGGAGACTACAGCTGGCCCTGCGAGAGAAAGAACGAGACCTGGAGAGACTCCGCTGCATACTGCTCAACAACCAGGAGACCATCACGGTACACACACACATTTACACACGCACACACACACACACACACACACACACACTAGAGAAAGATACCTTGAGCAACAACGAGAATACACACACTCTCACACAGACAAGTACATCTACAGTTTATACAGTACATTGATATGTTTAGACTGTGTCATACAGGACATTGATATGTTTAGACTGTGTGTCATACAGGACATTGATATGTTTAGACTGTGTCATACAGGACATTGATATGTTTAGACTGTGTCATACAGGACATTGATATGTTTAGACTGTGTGTCATACAGGACATTGATATGTTTAGACTGTGTCATACAGGACATTGATATGTTTAGACTGTGTCATACAGGACATTGATATGTTTAGACTGTGTGTCATACAGGACATTGATATGTTTAGATTGTGTCATACAGGACATTGATATGTTTAGACTGTGTCATACAGGACATTGATATGTTTAGACTGTGTGTCATACAGGACATTGATATGTTTAGACTGTGTGTCATACAGGACATTGATATGTTTAGACTGTGTCATACAGGACATTGATATGTTTAGACTGTGTGTCATACAGGACATTGATATGTTTAGACTGTTTGTCATACAGGACATTGATATGTTTAGACTGTGTGTCATACAGGACATTGATATGTTTAGACTGTGTGTTTGTATAGAGTCTGGATGCGTTGGTGCGTGGTAAGGAACTGGATGTGGAGCAGGCAGCAGAAGCTCATAGGAACCTGCAGTGGCTCCAGCAGCAGAGCGAGGAGAGAGAGAAGAACACTCTGAGAGAGAGAGACACGCTCATCAGCCAGCTACAGTCTGCCCTACAGACACGCAGCCGGGAGACACAGGTAAGCACACACACACACACAGGTCAGAAGGTCCACACTAGTGAGGACTGGCTATAGCACCAGTTTGCATTCTGTTTGCTCTTGTAACCAAAGGACAACCACTCTGCTAGTTTCTGCCCATTGTTGAAGCTTTTTATTGTTGGCTGAAATAAGTGACTTTCAATGCTAGTCCAACAAGAAAATCCTGCTCTTATTTCTGACCCTTACAAATACAACAGGTGTACTGACAGTGTGTGTGTGTGTGTGTGTGTGTGTGTGTGTGTGTGTGTGTGTGTCTGTGTGTGTGTGTGTGTGTGTGTGTGTGTGTATGTGTGTGTGTCTGTGTGTGTGTGTGTGTGTGTGTCTGTGTCTGTGTGTGTGTGTGTGTGTGTGTGTGTGTGTGTGTGTGTGTGTGTGTGTGTGTAGGACCTCACGGCAGCCCTGCTGGCTAAGGTGCAGGCAGGCCCCAGTGAGGTGGTGGAGGAGCTGAAGGCTCGCCTCGCACTGAAGGAGAAACTGTTCCAGGAACTGCTGTCAGACCGCAGCCGCCAGAGCCACGAACACCAAGCACAGGTCCAGGACCTGCTCAGCACCATCAGCACCAAGGACCAGTACATACAGGTACCACACACACACACACACCACTGATCTAGGACCTGTCTCTGAGAATCAGCTCATGTCAGCTTTCCAGTGTACCTGGCCCGACAGCAGTGATAAGGGGATGGACATCCAATAGTATATTATGGAAATTGGATTTTATACCGTAGAATGGACATGTAAAGTGATAGTCGATTTCAGATTGTCTTTTCTTTTCTCCAACTCTCTCTGTCCCCTCCCCTTCCCTCTCCCTCTACTTCCCTCCCGCCTCCTCTCAGGACTGCTCTGATAGGCTCTCCCAGGTGATTGGCGAACGGACGGGCCAGCTGCAGGAGCTGCGCAGGCAGCTGTCGTCACGGGAACAGGAGATGGGCGAGCTGCAGAGGGAGAGAGAGAGGGAGAGAGTGGGAGAGGCAGAGCGACTGCAGAACCTACTAAAAGAGAAAGAGGCTTTTATCCAGGTGAATTCTCTCTCTCTCTCTCTCTCTCTCTCTCTCTCTCTCTCTCTCTCTCTCCTCTCCATCGTCTCCTCTCTCTCCTCCTCTCTCTCTCTCTCTCCTCTCTCTCTCTCTCTCCTCTCTCTCTCTCTCTCTCTCTCTCTCTCTCTCTCTCTCTCTCTCTCTCTCTCTCTGTGTCAGTCTGTTGTGCAATTGTACATTTCCACACTAGCTTATACTAATCTTAGACTAGACTCGCACAAGCACACATACATACCATACCATAAAAAACCTTCACCAGAGAGTCAAGTAGTGAAACTGTCATCATAACATAACACTGTCCTCCCTATACAGAGTCTGATGCAGGGCCAGGAGGAGAGCATGGAGCCCTCCACACCAGAGGGGGCAGCAGATGTACAGGCCTTCCAGGAAGAGCTGCAACTGATCAGGAAGAAAGAGAGGGAGGCTCAGCTGGAGCTCTCAGCCCTGCGCTCAGCTCTCACCCAGGCCCAGCAGCAGGCCCAAAAGCAGGGGGATAGATTTAAGATCCTGGCTCCAGGAATCCCAGTCAGGGACCAGCCCTCCAGCACTGACCACCAGGTATCCCTCTCTGCCAAAATGATTTATTGCCTACAACATTGTCCTTGTTAAGGTCTGGTGCCTAGCCTACTGAGTGGAGTGTGTGTTAATGATCTCTCTCTCTCTCTCTCCTCCCTCCTCTATCCTATCGATATCTATATCTCTACTCTCTGCTCTCGCTCTCTCTCGCTATCTCTCGATCTCTACATATCTACTCTCTATCTAGTCTATCCGCTCTCTCTTCCTCTGTCTCTGCACGGTCGTGCCAGTTGGCTCACTGAGTCCTCCCCTGAACTGCTCTGAGGCAGGAAGTCCTTACCAGAGTCTGAGCCACATCCGCTAGGACAGGTAGAAGATCCATACGGCCTTACTGGCGGCTAAGATAACAACCTGGTCCTAACAATACAACCCTGGACCTAACATACACCTGGGTACCTAACATACAACGGGGCCAACAATACACACCTGGGGTACCTAACAATCCACACCTGGTACTAACTACAAGAACCACCTGGGTACTAACAATACACACACCTGGGTACCTAACAAACAACACTGGGCACCTACAATACACACACCTGGGTACCTAAAAACCACACCTGACTAACAATAACACACCTGGGGTACCTAACAATCACACACCCTGGATACATAACACACACTGGTACCTAACAATACAACACCTGGGACTAACAATACACACACCTGGGACCTAACAATACACACACCTGGGTACCTAACAATACACACCCACCTTGGCCACCTAACAATACCACACACCGGGGAGCCTAACAATACACACACCTGGGTACCTAACAAATACACACACCCTGGACTACAATACCACACCTGGGTACCTAACAATACACACCACCTGGGAGCCTAACAATACAACACACCTGGGTACCCGACAATACACACACCTGGGCCTAACAATACACACACCTGGGTACCTAACAATACACACACCTGGGTACCTAACAATACACACACCTGGGTACCTAACAATACACACACCTGGGTACCTAACAATACACACACCTGGGTACCTAACAATACACACACCTGGGTACCTAACAATACACACACCTGGGTACCTAACAATACACACACCTGGGAGCCTAAGAATACACACATTTGTTGACAGGCAGGTACAGTGGAAACTTCAGTGTCGGTACACATTGCTATATACAGTTGTAGGCCAGGTAAAACTGTTAAAACCATGCAATCAGTTTTGAGGACATTTGTGTGTTGTGTCATTGCCCCTCTCCCAGCAGCTCAGAGAAGACCCAGGCCCTGCTCACAGAACTGGACTCTGTTCAGGCACTGCGAGGGCAGCTGGAGGAGGTCCTAACCAGGACCCGGAAGACCGCCCTGGCACTAGAGAGGGCAGCTAAGAGGCAGTCTGATTTTGGAGGTGGGGACGGGCCGGGACCGGGCTCCAGGGCTACAGGGGGCACAGTTACTAACTCTCTGGGATATTCTGTCTAGCCACTTCACCAATGAGTCAGACAAATGCACTGCAGGTAGAAGTTGCCCTTAGGTGCAGATCTAGGATCAGTTTACATTCACCTAAATCCTAACCTTAACCATTAGAGGGAAAAACTCGATACTGACCTAAGATCAGTCACTATGGGCAACTTCGTTCCTCTTTGGATGACACAGACATCACACAATAACCAATGCCTGTTCTAACCAACAACATGTTTTTGGGGTGGTTTTAGTTACATTATGATGTGGCAACGTGCAACTCAGATTTCTATTATTTATTATTAATATATTCAGTGTGTTTTGGATTGTTGTTTTTTATATTGTTTTTGCAAACTGCCTGCGTATTGCTTTGAAGTGTAACTGTTCTGTAACGCCATTTGTGTCTCTCTGTGTCGACGTTTCCAGCCTTATCGTCACGGTGATGTGATGTGGTGTGTAGATAGCCCAGCTCATGCTTTACAGTGAAACGTCTTCAAGTTGTCTATCTTATTATTTTATACCATCTTTGTGTATATAATATATGCAGGCCCAAGAGTTACTTCAGCTGAAATCAAGATGATGGCCAAGTAGTTAGTTTCCCTCTTATGATTCCAATGACCTCCGATCTGGTTCCATTCCATTGGTTTTAAAGTGCCTATAATTTGGTCGCAGATATTCTTAGTCTCAAAAACGATGCATGAACAACTAGATTAGTAGTCATTAGTGTTTGCTTATCAAAGTAAATTAAGTAAGATTCCTTATCGTAGTTATTTGTTGTTGCAAAATTAAAACCTTGCGCTTATCAATCTTAGATACACCACAACCCAAGTGTCTTAGATAGCAGGCCTATTTGTTACATTTATTGATAGACTTTGTAATGATCACATAAAAGGTGATAAAAACATGATGATACCTAGTATCATCCGAGATTCGATTGGTCGGGATTGATTCGGTTTTAAGGATTTTTTTATTCGATTTTAGTCATTTAGCAGACGCTCTTATCCAGAGCGACTTACAGTTAGTGAGTGCATACATTTTCATACTGCCCCCCCCCGTGGGAAACGAACCCACAACCCTGGCGTTGCAAGCGCCATGCTCTACCAACTGAGCTACATTTAGATTTGGTGATGAAACAAACATTTTTTTTGTACTTCGAAATGGAAAGTAAAAAAAAAATATTTACTGTTTTTTTCTTTCCTTTGAATTGGGGACTGGATTCCTTCTCAATTGTTCACCTCCTTATTCAACACAACAAACCCTCCCTTCTCCCCCGACTACTAGAGAACAGATGAGGGGTGTTCTGTCTATCCCTGAGGTGAAAGAGAAAGTGATGATCATGTGCTTTTCTCATCCCTGTCTGAACAGTCACCTTTCCACACTGTGTTCAAAACAACACGCTCTTAAAGGCCCAGTGCAGGCAAAAACGTGATTTTCCTGTGTTTTACATATATTTCCACATTATGAGGTTGGAATAATACTGTGAAATTGTGAAAATGATGATAATGCCCTTTTAGTGTAAGAGCTGTTTGAAAAGACTGCCTGAAATGTATGCCTGTTTTGGTGGGATGGACTTTAGGCCGGTAAATTAGTTAATAAACCAATAAGAAAGAATGTTTCAAATCTTTCTGCCAATAACAGCTCGTTTTCAGTTTTCCCCTCCCCGCTCAGACCACTCCCAGACAGTCCTAGCTAAATTCTTGCTTGAGACGTTGCTCTTTGCTAAGAAGCCATTTTTGTTTATTTTTGACCACTTTAATTGAAAACAATCACAGTAAGGTACTTCATTGTTACCCAGAAATGATTTGATATTAAGATAAAAACAGATGCATTGGACCTTAAACCATTACCACCCACACACACAAACACTTGCGCGCACACACACACACACATATTCTAAGAATATCTTTATACGACACATTTTCTTTCACAGAAGAAAGAGATATCTCATGTTTGAGGGAGCTACACCACCATCTCTCTGTCTCAACCTATGACTTCTCTGCCACATGCATGACATTGCGGCATGCATTTCCTGTTTGCATGGCTATGTTTGATGTGATGCGTGAACAGTTATTGACAACTTAAATGCATCAATCACTTACTATTGGGCATAATGAGAATATGATACGGTACTGATCTGTGCCTCACACTACGTATAGAAATAGCATGATATGAAGAAGAACATGAATATACAGAAGGGTATAAAACATGATTTCTACATGTCTGGATCACTGCCTGTGTGTCACCGTCACTACCAGGGGCTCCGGTAAGGTCTGGACACATGAAGAAGTCCACTAATAGAAAAGACTAGAGTTCGCACCCTCTTCATGTAATATAATGGAATTAATTACTACACCATAAATACATGATAGATTGATTATACCATTTCCAAAGCTCACAGAAAGATGATTCTGTTGTACATCCTTCAGTCATATAAACTACTTAATCAGATTCCTACAGTTAGACATTGGAACAGACTGAGCAACAAACATAAATACCAGTCTTAAATGGACACAATGCTGTTCTGTAGGCTAAACAAACAGAGCCTTGTAGTGAGGGAGTTTGTCTTACATTTAAGTTGGTCTTAATTTTCCCATAGATAGCCAATTGTCCCCCATCACCATCATAGCTATAGGCCCACCCCACCCTAATACACAGTGCCAAGGCTTATTTAGTCTTGGACGGTTTAAAACAATCCTAACCAAGAATAATATCTTCCATAAGACTCTTCCATGGACCATAAACTGAAGATTTCATTATCCTCATTGTAATTGATGACAGATGCGTGTTGCTATGCAAAAAATGCACACAGTACACATGCCTTGGTACGATGAAGAGGGTTTCATAGTATGAAGCATTTATATGGAAATATGAAGCTATTGGTATTTCTTTCAGTGAGATTTAAACACCTGATTGCTTGACAAATTGTCTTAGATCTTTATGGTTGTTATTACTGTATAATAGCCTTCTACCAAGGTGTTTCTCTCTACTAAACAACTATAATGAGGTAGTATAGTGTTTCTCCCTACTAAACAACTATAATGAGGTAGTATAGTGTTTCTCCCTACTAAACAACTATAATGAGGTAGTATAGTGTTTCTCCCTACTAAACAACTATAATGAGGTAGTATAGTGTTTCTCCCTACTAAACAACTATAATGAAGTAGTATAGTGTTTCTCCCTACTAAACAACTATAATGAGGTAGTATAGTGTTTCTCCCTACTAAACAACTATAATGAGGTAGTATAGTGTTTCTCCCTACTAAACAACTATAATGAGGTAGTATAGTGTTTCTCCCTACTAAACAGTGAGGTGTATGCCTTCCTGGCTTCTTGCCCATACAGTAGGATACAGTGGATTTTCCTCTCTGTGTGAGGCCTTGCTATGCAGATGCATCCATCCATTTACATTTACATTTACATTACATTTACATTTACATTTACATTTACATTTACATTTTAGTCATTTAGCAGACGCTCTTATCCAGAGCGACTTACAGGAGCAATTAGGGTTAAGTGCCTTGCTCAAGGGCACATTAACGTCATTTAGCAGACGCTCTTAGCCAGAGCGACTCACAAATTGGTGCGTTCACCCTATAGCCAGTGGGATAACCACTTTACAATTGGGGGGGGGGGGGGGGGGGGGGGGGTAGAAGGATTCCTTTATCCTATCCCAGGTATTCCTTAAAGAGGTGGGGTTTCAAATGTCTCCGGAAGGTGGTGAGTGACTCCGCTGTCCTGGCGTCGTGAGGGAGCTTGTTCCACCATTGGGGTGCCAGAGCAGCGAACAGTTTTGACTGGGTGTGTGTGTGTGTGTGTGTGTCTGTGTCTGTGTATGTGTGTGTCAGGCATACTGTAGCTATCTGTAGATAAGAATGTGATAATCTGAGGATTCCACAGTGCTTTTTGGCATCTGATTAGTAAACAAACGGTATTGCAATGTGAGTGAATTGTGTTTGTGCTGTGCATGCTTCTCTTTCTATATGGTGTACTAAAACTGAAAAAAAGGCTGAAATTCGCCATTTTGTTTTCAAGTTAATGTTTTGATCTCTTCTGGAATGTCTTCCTGAAGGCTTGCCATATGTAGTGAAATGGACAGGAGACAGAGAGGGGCTGTGCTACACACACATGCGTGCGGACACACACACATCACATGGTTGGGAAAAAGGGCTGGTCTGTCCTGGGCTGGGCTCAACGTGTGTGTGTTTGGCTGTCTACTGGTCACATAACATTTCCCTCCTGTCTCATGACTCCTGCAGGAGTGATTCAGACCAGAGAGAGAGGGAGAGAGAGGGAGAGGGAGAGAGAGGGGGAGAGAGGGAGAGAGAGAGAGAGAGAGCGAGAGAGAGAGAGAGAGAGAGAGAGAGAGAGACAGAGAGAGAGACAGAGAGAGAGACAGAGAGAGAGAGAGAGAGAGAGAGAGAGAGAGAGAGAGAGAGAGAGAGAGAGAGAGAGAGAGAAGAAAGACAAGGAAGTATCTGATCTGATCGGTTGGCTGTTGTGTTTTCAGAGCTCAGCATGGAGGAAGAAGAGGAGGGAGATGATGAAGAGGGCAGCACTGATGAGTTCTCGGACAGTATTGAAGACGATGAGGATAAACTGACTGCCAAAAGCCTGGCCTCCACTAAGGTACAGGTGGTTCTTTACCTTTAAATCTTAAAGGGATACTATATTCTACACCAGTCTTGTGCCTCTCATCCCCTTATACAGTCATTGCTTTCATTATAGCTCATGTTGACAATATTCTACAGATGTAGGATCTTAATTTGAGCCAGTTTGCTACAGCAGGAAAATAATCCTACAGCAACAGGAAATGTGAATTATTATGTGGATTGTGATTAATGGACATTTTTGTAGGGGTTGGAAAAAATGGGAAAATCAGGTTTGAAATGTCAAAGTGGAAATTACAAACTTCAGAAGTCTTTTTAAACCTCAAATACACTTCTGCATTGCAGGATAGTTATTCTGCAACAGGGTGAACAAATTAAGATCCTACATCTGTAGCCTGGGTACCAGATTGTTTCTGTATTCAACAACGCTGCATTGTTCCCTTGCCAAATAAGACCATAACGAAGCAGTTGGCTTAAGCAGACGCAGACCTGTACCCAGTCTGACAATGTTGGAGTTGTTTTAAGTAATCTTTTTCATGTTATGTCGTATTTTTTAAATAATGTCACTGTAGTTCTGTTCTTAGGCTTGACCAATTATTATTGACTAATTACTGACACTCATTTCCCCCTCTTACTACCTGTCTTCCCTTCTCTCTTTCACCCCTCTGGTTTCTTTTATTTTGTGTCCAGAACTCTGCGGTGGCCTGTGGGCAGGGGGTGCTGTCTGGAGGAGCACTGTCCCAGGGGGCCGAGGGGCAGCATCTGGCTGAACAGAAGAGGGCACTAGAAGAAGAAGTGGAGGAGATGAGAACACAGCTGGAGACCACCGGCTGCTCCTCCCTAGCCCAGATGAGGTATGTACCGATGCAGTACCCACTCACCTACTTATCTCAGTGTCTCCCTGTGGTACACATTACATTGTCTATACTGTAGCCCTAGCCAAGATCATGTACAACATCTACCTGCAAGAAGCGCAGTCAAAGGCTCACAGTCTGATTGTCATTGCAGCAGTTGTTGTTGTGGTGGTGGTTGTTGTTGTGGTTGTTGTTGTGGTGGTTGAGGTGGTGGTGGTGGTTGTTGTTGTGGTTGTTTTTGTGGTGGTGGTGGTAGTTGTGGTTGTGGTGGTTGTTGTGGTTGTGGATGTGGATGTTGTGGTTGTGGATGTGGTTGTGGTTGTTGTGGTTGTGGATGTGGTTGCTGTGGTTGTGGATGTGGTTGTTAATCCTCTGCTGTGTATTTCTTGCAGGAGAACACTGCAGAGGCTACAACAAGAGAATGAGGTCCTGAAACAGACCCAACGGGGGTTAGAGGGTCTAGGAACTCTGGAGGATTCAACAGACATGTGCCAAGGATGGGGACAGGAGGAGGAGGAGGAGGAGGAGGAGGAAGAGGAGGAGGTAGAGGATGAAGAGGAGGAGGTAGAGGAGGAGGAGGAAGAGGAGGAGGAGGAAGAGGCGGAGGTAGAGGAGGAAGAGGAGGAGGAGGAAGAGGAGGAGGAGGAGGAGGAAGAGGAGGGGGCACAACCAGCAGTGGTACCCACCCAGGGAAAGCATGACCCCCCAGCAGTGAGGATGAGAGAGGGGAGGGGGAACAGACAGTATACCAGACCTCACTCCCTAGACCTGGGGACTCTCCTCTACCACCAGCCAAACCATACAGAGAAGGTACACATACACTCCTCTACCCTAAACCAGTCTTTGCCGGAATAGTGTAAACCTCTAGCGGGGGAGTTTAAAGTGTCATCAGGCGTAGTGCGAAGAGAGATCTCGATCAGAGACAGAGAGAAGAGAGAGAGAGCGATGGAGAAGGCGTAGAGATCGAGAGAGAAGAGCGAGAGAGAGGCGAGAGACAGAGAGAGAGACCTCAGATCTCTCGATTCCAGCTTGAATCCCCTCTTCTCTTACTCTCTCTCTCTCTCTCTCTCTCTCTCTCTCTCTCTCTCTCTCTCTCTCCTCTTGCTCTCTCCCTCCCTCTCTCTCTCTCTGTCTATTTATCTCCCCCTCTCTCCTCATATCTCTGTGTTGGTATAGCTAGAGCAGTCTATGTAGGGCTGACAGTTTATATAAGCATTATGACTGCCTCTGGGCAGCTGCTGCTCCTGGGTTTCAGGCCAAAGAGAGCAGAGGAAAGGAGTGTTCTGTGTTGCTGCTGCAATGGTTTTAGGAAATGGGACACAGAGTTCTACACACTCAGGCTTCTTCTTTCTGCTCTATACGTCAATGCTTTGTTTCCATAATGAAAAGAAAGGTGTCCCATCTCCGTTTGCTGCTTCCGTGATCTTTATTTTAGCTAGTGATATAACAACAGTTCAACCATAATGGTCTTTACTAGTCATGTAAAAGCGAATGAGATTAACTTTATTTTCCTTGTCTTGTGCCCTATAGGAGGCTGAGTCTGATGATGTCACCGGCGATGTGGGCGGGTTCTGGCAGCATGTGGAGGCGGGTCTCCGTGAGCAGGCGGTGCGTCTGCGTTCTGATTTGGCGCTGAGCAGACAGGAGAGCAGAGAGTTGCAGGAGAGACTCATGGTGTCTGAGGCCACAGTACATGCACAGGCTGAACAACTCAAAGACTACAGGGAACTACTCAGTGAGTCATCTTACATATGCTGAAACATACATAAATACACACATACACACATACAGATACACAGAACACACACACACAGAACACACACACACATACACACACATACAGATACACAGAACACACACACACACAGATACACAGAACACACACACACACATACAGATACACAGAACACACACACACACACAGAGATACACAGAACACACACACACAGATACACAGAACTCACACACACACACACCAGTGATGATGCAAGCTTCTCTCTCACTCTCAGCGGAGACATCAGTCGAGCAGGACAGTAAGCAGGTCCAGGTGGACCTGCAGGACCTGGGCTATGAGACGTGTGGTCGTAGTGAGAATGAGGCAGAGAGAGAGGACGCCAGCAGCCCAGGTAACTTAGCTGGGCCTTTCCCTGTCTCACATCTTTTCAATGACATTTTGTTTGATTGAGGGGCTTTATTGGCATGGGAAACGTATGTTAACATTGCCAAAGCAAGTGAAATAGATAATAAACAAAAGTAAAATAAACAATAAAAAATGTAACAGTAAGCATTACACTCACAAAAGTTCCAAAATAATAAAGACATTACAAATGTCATATTATGTGCAAATAGTTAAGGTACAAAAGGGAAGATAAATAAACATAAATATGGGTTGTATTTACAATGGTGTTTGTTCTTCACTGGTTTCCCTTTTCTTGTGGCAACAGGTCACAAATATTGCTGCTGTGATGGCACACTGTGGTATTTCATCCAGTAGATATGGGAGTTTATCAAAATTGGGTTTGTTTTCTAATTCTTTGTGGATCTGTGTAATCTGAGGGAAATATGTGTCTCTAATATGGTCATACATTTGGCAGGAGGTTAGGAAGTGCAGCTCAGTTTCCACCTCATTTTGTGGGCAGTGTGCACATAGCCTGTCTTCTCTTGAGAGCCAGGTCTGCCTACGGCGGCCTTTCTCAATAGCAAGGCTATGCTCACTGAGTCTGTACATAGTCAAAGCTTTCCTTAAGTTTGGGTCAGTCACAGTGGTCAGGTATTCTGCCACTGTCTACTCTCTGTTTAGGGCCAAATAGCATTCTAGTTTGCTCATTTTTTTTGTAAATTCTTTCCAATGTGTCAAGTAATTCTCTTTTTGTTTTCTCATGATTCGGTTGGGTCTAACTGTGTTGTTGTTGTCCTGGGGCTCTGTGGGGTCTATTTGTGAACAGAGCCCAGGGACTAGCTTGCTTAGGGGACTCTTTTCCAGGTTCATCTCTCTGTAGGTGATGGCTTTCTTATGGAAGGTTTGGGAATCGCTTCCTTTTAGGTGGTTGTAGAATTTAACGTCTCTTTTCTGGATTTTGATCATTAGCGGGTATCGGCCTAATTCTGCTCTGCATGCATCTTATCTCTCACTCCTATCTCACTCCTGTTGCCTCCCTCACGTTATACCTCTCTGAGAGTGTCACCTCTCACTGTTTCTATTTCACTTGGTCACTTGCGACATCTACTGTACCTAACATCTCACCATACAGTACCTGCATCACCTCTCATCCCCACCTCACCTGTCACTTTAGCTTACCTGTGTCCGGTGTGATGATCTATACAGCTTACTAACCTCTTCCTGTATCTCTCCTCCCCTAGAGTTTGATGATCTGGAGATGTGTACATCACTGAGCCACCGGCAGGACTACGAGTGTGCTGGGGTTTGGTTCCATGGCGATGGGAGTGTGGGCGGAGCTTATGATGAAGGGGAGGAGCCAGGGGCAGGATCCCTACAGCAATTGGTCCTGGACCTGCGTTCTCAGCTGACCCGCTGCCACAAGGTGATTCGTGGGTTGCAGCTACGTGTGCGCTCACTATCCACCACCAGTGACTACGCATCCAGTCTGGAACGCACCCCACGCAAGGTACGTCTGTGATGAGGTGATTTTGAAGGAGTCAGGCGCAGGAGGGTAAATCACAGAATAACAGGATTTATTCTGAACCACAGAGTTACGCAGTATTGCGTAAAAACACTCCAGTGCGCAAAACAGGCGCACTGGAAAATACAAGGCACACAGGGAATATTCCCGGCGATACAGAATACACAGAGCTCCACCGATCTTCTCTCTCCTCCACAATAAACAATCACACACAAAGACATTGGGGGCAGAGGGAATACTTATACAGGTACTAATGAGGGGATATGAACCAGGTGTGTGTAATAAACAAGACAAAACAAATGGAATGATGAGATGAGGAGCGGCAGTGGCTAGAAGGCCGGTGACGACGAACGCCGAAGCCTGCCCGAACAAGGAGAGGAGGCAGCTTCGGAGGAAGTCGTGACAACGTCATATACAGTACCAGTCAAAAGTTTGGACACACCTACTCATTCAAGGGTTTTTCTTTATTTTTACTATTATTCTACATTGTAGAATAATAGTGAAGACATCAAAACTATGAAATAACACATATATAATCATGTAGTAACCAAAAAGTGTTAAACAAATCAAAATATATTTTATATGTGAGATTCTTCAAATAGCCACCCTTTGCCTTGATGACAGCTTTGCACACTCTTGACATTCTCTCAACCAGCTTCATGAAGTAGTCACCTGGAATGCATTTCAATTAACAGGTGTGCCTTCTTAAAAGTTAATTTGTGGAATTTATTTCCTTCTTAATGCATTTGAGCCAATCAGTTGTGTTGTGACAAGGTAGGGGTGGTATACAGAAGATAGCCCTATTTGGTAAATGACCAAGTCCATATTATGGCAAGAACAGCTCAAATAAGCAAAGAGAAACGACAGTCCATCATTACTTTAAGAACTTTGAAAGTTTATTTAAGTGCAGTCGCAAAAACCATCACGCTCTATGATGAAAGTGGCTATCATGAGGACCGCCACAGGAAAGGAAGACCCAGAGTTACCTCTGCTGCAGAGGATAAGTACGTTAGCGTTAAATGCACCTTAGATTGCAGCCCAAATAAATGCTTCACAGAGTTCAAGTAACAGACACATCTCAACATCAACTGTTCAGAGGAGACTGCGTAAATCAGGCCTTCATGGTCATATTGCTGCAAAGAAACTACTACTAAAGGACGCCAATAAGAAGAAGAGACTTGCTTGGGCCAAGAAACACGAGCAATGGACATTAGATCGGTGGAAATCTGTCCTTTGGTCTGATGAGTCCAAATTTGAGATTTTTGGTACCAACCGCTGTGTCTTTGTGAGACGCAGAGTAGGTGAACGGATGATCTCCTCATGTGTGGTTCCCACCTTGAAGCACGGAGGAGGTGTGATGGTGTGGGGGTGCTTTGCTGGTGACACTGTCTGTAATTTATTTAGAATTCAAGGCACACTTAACCAGCATGGCTACCACAGCATTCTGCAGCGATACGCCATCCCATCTGCTTTGCCCTTAGTGGGACTATCATTTGTTTTTCAACAGGATAATGACCCAAAGCACACCTCCAGGCTTTGTAAGGGCTATTTGAGGAAGGAGAGTGATGGAGTGCTGCATCAGATGACCTGGCTCCACAATCACCCGACCTCAACCCAATTGAGATGGTTTGGGATGAGTCGGACTGCAGAGTAAAGGAAAAGCAGCCAACAAGTGCTCAGCATATGTGGGAACTCCTTCAAGGCTGTTGGAAAAGCATTCCTCATGAAGCTGGTTGAGAGAATGCCAAGAGTGTGCAAAGATGTCATCAAGGCAAAGGGTGGCTACTTTGAAGAATCTCAAATATAAAATATATTTTGATTTGTTTAACACTTTTTTGGTTACTACATGATTCCATGTGTTATTTCATAGTTTTGATGTATTCACTATTATTCTACAATGTAGAAAATAGTAAAAAATAAAGAACAACCCTTGAATGAGTAGGTGTGTCCAACTTTTGACTGGTACTGTACATACAAGGTCTGATTGATTGATTGATTGATAGATAATTGATTGATCAGTTGATTGATCAATAGATTGACTGATGACTTTAGTGCTTGTGCGCTTGTTGGATTATGTGCTACTATGATATTTTCCCTGACTATTTACAGTCCTTTCCCTCCTCTCTCCTGTCCATCAGGTGAACTGGGCGTTTGAGGCCTCCCCGGCCCCCAGCGGTGTAGAGGACGATGAGGGTTGGATGTCCGACAGCCTGGGGCCTCGCATGGAACCCAAGCCCAGCCGGGAGCTGCGAGAGCTGGTGTCCCGAGTGGCCTCACTGGAGGCCCAACTCAAGAGCTCCAGGCTGGAGGGGAAAGGAAGGGTGGTAGAGGAGGGGAAGTGTGCTACCTGGCCCGGGTGAGTGGAGAAAGAGAGGAAATAATGATGATAATGACTATGATGATGACTGATACCTATGATAATGACTATGATGATGACTGATAACTATGATAATGACTATGATGATGACTGACACCTACGATAATGACTATGATGATGACTGATAACTATGATAATGACTATGATGATGACTGATAACTATGATTACGATGATGGTAATAATGACTGATAACAATGATAATGACTATGGTGATTACTGATAACAACGATAATAACTATGGAAATGACTGATAACAATGAAAATGGCTATGATGATGGCCGATAACAACGATAATGACTGTGATAATGACCGACAACAATGATAACGACTGTGGTGATGAGCGATAACAACGATAACGACTACGATAATGATTGATAACAACGATAATGGCTATGGTGATGATTGATAACAATGACTATGACGATGACCGATAACAATGATAATGATGATGCTAATGACCAATAACAATGATAATGACTATGATGATGACAGATACTTATGATAATGACTATGATGATGACTGATTACAGAGGTAATGACTATGACGATGGCCGATAACAACAATAATGACTATGACAATGACTGATAACAATGATAATGACTATGACTATGACTGATAACAATGGGAATGACTATGACGATGACTGATATGATGATAATGACTATGATGATGACTGACAGCATTTATAATGAATATGATGATGACTGATAACTATGATAATGACTACGATTATGACTGATAACAATGGTAATGACTATGATTATGACTGATAACTATGATAATGTCGATGATAAATGACTGATAACAATGATAATGACTATGCCAATGACTGATGACAATGGTAAAATCTATGGCGATGAATGATAACAACGATAATGACTATGACTGAAAAAAATGATAATGACTACGATGATGACCGATAACAACGATAATGACTATGATGATGACCAATAAAAATGATAATGACTATGATGGTGACTGATAACAATGATAATGGCTATGATGATGACTGACTACTACGATAATGACTATGACAATGACTGATAACGGTAAAGACTATGATGATGACCGATTACCACGATAATGACTATGGCCGATAACAATGATAGCGACGATGACTGATAACAACGATAATGACTATGATGATGACTGACAGCTACGATAATGACTGATGATTACTGATAACAACGGTAATGACTACGACTATGACTGATAACAGTGATAATGACTATGACAATGACTGATAACAATGATAATTACTATGACTGATAACAATGGTAATGACTATGACGATGACTGATAACAATGATAATGGCTATGAATGACTGATAACAATGATGACCACGATGATGACTGACAGAAAAGATAATGACTATTATGATGACCGATAACTATGATAATGACTACGATGATGACCGATAATGATAATGGCGATGATAATAATGACTGATAACTACGATAATGACTATGCCAATGACTGATGACAATGTTAATGCTATGGCGATGACTGACAACAACGATAATGACTATTACTGAAAACAATGATAATGACTACGATGATGACTGATAACAATGATAATGACTATGATGTTGATTGACAACAATGATAATGCTGATACGTAAAAATTTATGCACACATGACTGTAAGTCACTTTGGACAAAAGCGTCTGCTAAATGGCATATTATTATATTATTATTATGATAATAATGGCTGATAACAATGATAATGACTATGCCGATGGCTGATAACATCGGTAATGACTATGACTGACAACAACGATAATGACTATGCCGATGACCAACAACAACGATAAAGACTATGACTGATAACAACGATAATGACTATGATGATGACTGGCTATTACGATAATAATTACGATGATGACCGATAACAATGGTAATGACTATGACGGTGACTGACTACTATGATAATGGATATGACGATGACCGACAACAACGATAATGACTACAACGATGACTGACAACAACGATAATGACTACAACTATGACTGATTACTACGATAATGACTATGACGATGACCGACAACAACGGTAATGACTACGATGATGACCGATTACTATGATAATGACTATGACTGAAAACAATGATAATGACTACGACAATGACCGATTACTATGATAATGACTATGACAATGACTGATAACAACGGTAATAACTATGACGATGACTGATAACAACAATAATAACTATGCAATGGCTGATAACAACGATAATGACTATGACAATGACTGACAGCAATGATAATGACAACGACTGTCAACAAGGATAATGACTGTGACGATGACTGTCAACAACGATAATGACTACGAAGATGACTGATAACAACGATAATGACTGACGATGTCTGATAACAACGGTAATGACTATGACGATGACCGATAACGATGATAATGACAATGACCGTTAACAACAATACTGACTATGATGACGACTGGTTACTACGATAATGACCATGACGATGACTGATAACAACGATAATGACTACGCCGATGACCGATAACAACGATAATGACTATGACCGATCACAACGATAATGACTATGGCGACGACTGATTACTACGATAATGACTATGGCAATGACAGATAACAACGGTAATGACTATGACTGATAACAACGATAATGACTATGGCAATGACTGACAACAACGATAATGACTATGACAATGACTGATAACAACGATAATGACTATGACGATGACCGATAACAACTATAATGCTGATGATGAAGATGGTGTTCTTGGTCTTTCACGTCCTGACCCCTCCCCTTCCTCCATCTCTGCACAGGAAGTACAACACCCTGATCCAGGCTCAGGCCAGGGAGCTGTCCCACCTGCGTCAGAGGATGAGGGAGGGCCGTGGTGTCTGTCACATACTCACACAGCACCTGGGAGACACCACCAAGGTGTGACACTCTGACGATCTCTCCAAAGATTAGGACATTATCCACCACTTTTTGACAGTGATTGAATCAAATGTATTTTATTGATTTAAATTATGTTTTATTGAACTATCAGCTGAATGTAATTGATTGGCCAGGGCTTTGAGGAGCTGCTGCGTGCCAACGACATCGACTACTACATGGGACAGAGCTTCAGAGAGCAGCTGGCACAGAGCATTGCCCTGGCACAACGAATGGGCACCAAGATCAGTGGACGTGAGTGTGGAGAACACACACACAAACGTACGCACAGACAGACACACACATGCACATGCACACACAGACAGACACACACACATTCCCTGATCTTCTGTCCTTCTATCTCACTCTCTCTCCTCCCTTTACTCTCCATTACCCCTCCTTTTCTCTCCTCAGGTGACCGTGCTGAGCTCCATGACGATAAGATGGGCCATGAGCTGCTTGCTTTACGGTGGGGTTTATGTCCTAATGATGTGTAACCATCTGAAAAAAGGTTTTCCCTTGTGTGTGTTTTGGTTTTAGTATCCTTGTGGGACCCATAAGTCCACGGGAACAGATAGTAAAACAAGGAAAAGTGGGGCCATTTTCCCCACAAGGACAAAAGGCTATTTTAGGCTTAGGGGTTAGGTTTAGGGTTATGTTTAGAATTAGGGTTAGGGGTTAGGAGTTATGGTTAGGTCTAGGATTTGGGGCTAAGGTTAGGGTTAGGGTTAAGGTTAGGGTTAGGGATGAAACACACCAAGAATCTCACTGCCGATAGCCTGCCGATTGGAACTTATCACAGTGGGAGGCCTGTGAACAAAAGTGTGCTAAAACAAAAGTGGTACCTGCTGCGTGCTGAACCGGTAGCAACGAACCTACCGATTCTACTTGTAGAATCGCAATACTCGTCAGTGGCCAACAACTTGAACTTGAGCCACTCAGAGAGCACGACCCCCACATGGGGGAGCCAACAAAAAAAATATGAAAAAGAGGGCATTTTCTCTGTACATCCACAGATGAGCCAGTCACACTTCATATGCAATGTAGGCTATGGGATGGTTGCTAGCTAAGTGCACAGATGCAATGCACACAACAATAAATACTTCCTCCAAGCTAGCTAATCACTGTAGCTAGTATTGACATTAAAATGAAATCACAATGGATTAGCTAGTTGAAACAGCTACCTGTGTTAGCTGCCAGGTTAGTGCAGTGTCCTTAGCTAGTTAGCTAGCTATGTTGTGCTAGCTAGCGAATATGTCAACGTTAGCTAGCTAAACATTGGACTGGCACTAGCAGTATGGGATTATGGAGAGTGAATTAAATTGTTTCTTCGTCATCTTACTAGGTAGTTATCTAGCTGTGGCCATCTGGTTAGTATCAACAAGGGCTTTCTACAAAATAGCAACATTAGCACAGATAGCTTGGAATCTAGACCATAAGCAATACTCACGGATATGCATTGCCAAACAATGCTACTGCCACCTTCTGGTTGAGTGGCAGACGACTTCCAAGGTCTTTGCTGTGTGAACACAAAAGAGATTGACTGCCGACACTGTTCAGAGGTGCTAAGTACTGTCGGCAGGCAAACGTTTGACAATACTACCGGTGTGTCTGAGATTTTAAAGGTTAGGTTTTGCATTAGGGGTTAGAGAAAATAGGATTTTGAGTGGGAATCAATTGTTTGGTCCCCACAAGGATAGTAAAACAAACGTGTGTGTGTGTTTGTTTGTGTGTGTATTAGGTGACCTACAGTGCACTCTCTCCTGTTGTGCCTCTGCCAGGGGTAGAGGTCATTAGTCAGAGCCTCTGCCAGGGGTAGAGGTCAACAGTCAGAGCCTCTGGCAGGGGTAGAGGTCATTAGTCAGAGCCTATGGCAGGGGTAGAGGTCAACAGTCAGAGCCTATGGCAGGGGTAGAGGTCAACAGTCAGAGCCTCTGGCAGGGGTAGAGGTCAACAGTCAGAGCCTATGGCAGGGGTAGAGGTCAACATTCAGAGCCTCTGGCAGGGGTAGAGGTCAACAGTCAGAGCCTCTGCCAGACATGTGTGTTTCACCTGCACATGCTTAGTCATTACAAGTCACATGCTCACATGAATAATCATATATTTTTTTATGTCTGTCTTCAGAGGACGAAAGTACATTTTTGTTTTTACAGCTATTTTGTTAAATATGCATTTTACATACATTTATCATGTGAATAATCTTGCTTATGTTATAGGAACATTAAGGTTTCCTCTGTTTTCCCATGGTTCACTTCCATGGGTTGTGTGTTTTCAAGAAGTTAATTTAGTACTATAGATACAGATTTTCAATCTACCTACAATGTGCTTAGAGATTATGTTTAATGAGAAGAACATGTTTATAACTAGCATGGGAGTGAGCCAGTCTGTTTTTCTTTTATACAATGATATGGCATTGTTGATCCCAGAAGTCCCATTGTTGATCCCAGAAGTCACATTGTTAATCCCAGAAGTCCCATTGTTGATCCCAGAAGTCACATTGTTAATCCCAGAAGTCACATTGTTGATCCCAGAAGTCCCATTGTTAATCCCAGAAGTCACATTGTTGATCCCAGAAGTCACATTGTTGATCCCAGAAGTCACATTGTTGATCCCAGAAGTCACATTGTTGATCCCAGAAGTCACATTGTTGATCCCAGAAGTCACATTGTTGATCCCAGAAGTCACATTGTTGATCCCAGAAGTCACATTGTTAATCCCAGAAGTCACATTGTTAATCCCAGAAGTCACATTGTTGATCCCAGAAGTCACATTGTTGATCCCAGAAGTCACATTGTTAATCCCAGAAGTCACATTGTTGATCCCAGAAGTCACATTGTTGATCCCAGAAGTCCCATTGTTGATCCCAGAAGTCCCATTGTTGATCCCAGAAGTCACATTGTTGATCCCAGAAGTCACATTGTTGATCCCAGAAGTCCCATTGTTGATCCCAGAAGTCACATTGTTGATCCCAGAAGTCACATTGTTGATCCCAGAAGTCACATTGTTGATCCCAGAAGTCACATTGTTGATCCCAGAAGTCACATTGTTGATCCCAGAAGTCACATTGTTGATCCCAGAAGTCACATTGTTGATCCCAGAAGTCCCATTGTTAATCCCAGAAGTCACATTGTTAATCCCAGAAGTTCCATTGTTAATCCCAGAAGTCACATTGTTGATCCCAGAAGTCACATTGTTGATCCCAGAAGTCCCATTGTTGATCCCAGAAGTCACATTGTTGATCCCAGAAGTCACATTGTTGATCCCAGAAGTCACATTGTTGATCCCAGAAGTCACATTGTTGATCCCAGAAGTCACATTGTATTGTTGATCCCAGAAGTCACATTGTTGATCCCAGAAGTCACATTGTTGATCCCAGAAGTCACATTGTTGATCCCAGAAGTCACATTGTTGATCCCAGAAGTCACATTGTTAATCCCAGAAGTCACATTGTTGATCCCAGAAGTCACATTGTTAATCCCAGAAGTCACATTGTTGATCCCAGAAGTCACATTGTTAATCCCACAAGTCACATTGTTGATCCCAGAAGTCACATTGTTAATCCCAGAAGTCACATTGTTGATCCCAGACATCAAATTGTTGATCCCAGAAGTCACATTGTTGATACCAGAAGTCACATTGTTGATCCCAGACTTCAAATTGTTGATCCCAGATGTCACATTGTTGATCCCAGACTTCAAATTGTTGATCCCAGAAGTCACATTGTTGATACCAGAAGTCACATTGTTGACCCCAGAAGTCACATTGTTGATCCCAGAAGTCACATTGTTGATCCCAGAAGTCACATTGTTGATCCCAGAAGTCACATTGTTGATCCCAGAAGTCACATTGTTGATCCCAGAAGTCACATTGTTGATCCCAGAAGTCACATTGTTGATCCCAGAAGTCACATTGTTGATCCCAGAAGTCACATTGTTGATCCCAGAAGTCACATTGTTGATCCCAGAAGTCACATTGTTAATCCCAGAAGTCACATTGTTGATCCCAGAAGTCACATTGTTAATCCCAGAAGTCACATTGTTGATCCCAGAAGTCACATTGTTAATCCCAGAAGTCACATTGTTGATCCCAGAAGTCACATTGTTAATCCCAGAAGTCACATTGTTGATCCCAGACTTCAAATTGTTGATCCCAGAAGTCACATTGTTGATACCAGAAGTCACATTGTTGATCCCAGACTTCAAATTGTTGATCCCAGATGTCACATTGTTGATACCAGAAGTCACATTGTTGATCCCAGAAGTCACATTGTTGATCCCAGAAGTCACATTGTTGATCCCAGACTTCAAATTGTTGATCCCAGAAGTCCCATTGTTGATCCCAGACTTCAATTTGTTGATCCCAGAAGTCACATTGTTGATCCCAGAAGTCACATTGTTGATCCCAGAAGTCACAAGACCCCCAGTAGACTTTACCCAGAAGGATTCACCCACCGGCTATGTGTCTAAAAGCTTGTCACGCAAAGTTAGCTGATGAAGCTTTCAAGGAGCACAAAGAAGATTAACTGGTAATCTAAATCCCAGGCCAGGCTGTAGAGTGGACCTGGGTGAACCACAGGTGTCCCTCAGGCCCTCCTTAAGAGGCTCAGTGAGACTACGTGAGACACACACCATTCTGGATGTGGCTCGGTAAGCCATTCTCTCACAGAGAGTGTAAAGAGAAGACAAAAAAGGAAGACACTGGAATAAGGAAAACACCCTGGGATCTTACGCTATATTATACCTGAAGGCGGATTTCTAGGATATTTCGAGGACTTATGAGACGATTTCTAGGACTAATCAGAATATTTCCAGGACTATTTCTAGGAATTTTTCTAGAATTTCTAGAACAAATCTGTATTTTTCTAGGACTATTCTTTTAGACTGATATTACTATTTCTAACACTACTCCTATGACTATTTTAGGACTATTTGTGTGACTACTTCTAGGACTAATCAGTCAATTTTTTAAAGACTAATTTGACTATTTGACTGTCAGATCTATGGCTCCACTATGGAAGTCCATGCTCTCTAAAAGCAGTCCCCTGTACAGGGACTCTCTGTGGTCTTTCTCTGTATGTGGGGGTCGCGCTGGGAGAGAGCCTGCCCCCCTACTGAAACAGATGGCGAGAGAGCGGGAGTTCCTACAGAGGAAACTGGAAATGTAAGGGGGATGCAATAGCCAAGATAATGGTCATACAACTTGATTGCGGTATTTGAGCTCTGTGGTGGATCTTAGTGACTTTCACTTGTTTGCAGCCTGTTTTCTGGTGGCCTATGTCTGTGTGTGTGGTTGTGTCTGTCTGTAAGTGTACGTCTTGTAGAAAATGAGTAAAAATCTGTAGCATAGGATGAGATAACCAATCTCTCTTTCTCTCTCTAGGCTGAGTAAGGAGCTCCAGCAGAAGGATAAGATCATTGAGTCGCTCCACAACAAACTCCAGCAGCGTCTAGACACCCCCTCCAGTAGCCATGCACTCTCAGAGACCACCGACCAATCAGACAGGACCTCCTTTGTGTCGGACGAGTGCCGGACCAATGAGGACCTGGAGCTGTGCTCAGATGTGGACACTGCCAGCGAATACGCTCAGGAAGAAAAGGGACAGGGGGCGGGACATGGCCCAGGAAGCACAGGTATATTAGCCGTTTAAATACATGTGCTATTCATAGACACATACCTTACACCTGTCTCTCCCTCCATCCTTTTTCCAAACTCCTCTCACCCCTTTCTCCACTCTTTTTCCAGACCTCCACCCCTCCCTCCCTTCATCCTGTCTTAAGTCCTCCAGCAGCTGTCCCAACATGCTATACTCCACTCCCGTGGAGTCAGCCAGTCAGACTGGTCCTGTGTCCTACTCCCTACCCGCCTCCCAGTCCCTCCCCGGGCTTTACCCTAGCCGTGACCTCTGGGGTCAGCGTATGACCTTTGACCCCCCGACCAGGACCTTCTCTATGGAAGCGGTGCAACAGGAGCTGGATACCCTGCACAGACAGATGACTATGAATGAGAGTGAGCAGAGTTAGTGTCAGCATGCATTTGTGTGGTGTTCTTACTGTATGAGGGACAACCTTGGTACGGTGGATTGGAGGAGTAACAGAATGGAGTAGAAACGGTGATCTGTAGCATGTATTGGTTTGACACTGACAGAGACAGCATTGGTTAGATAGAGTAGTGTTAGTTAGCATAGCATGCCTGCAGTGGATCAGGATGAGACAGTATATACAGTAATGACTTGGTATGGATGTGACAATGTTGGGGTTGTGAGATCCTAGACTAGTATCAATGTTGGGGTTGAGAGATCCTAGACTAGAGACAATGTTGGGATTGAGAGATCCTAGACTAGTGTCAGTGTTGGGGTTGAGAGATCCTAGACTAGTGTCAGTGTTGGGGTTGAGAGATCCTAGACTAGAGACAATGTTGGGGTTGAGGGATCCTAGACTAGAGACAATGTTGGGATTGAGAGATCCTAGACTAGAGACAATGTTGGGATTGAGAGATCCTAGACTAGTGTCAGTGTTGGGGTTGAGAGATCCTAGACTAGAGACAATGTTGGGGTTGAGGGATCCTAGACTAGAGACAATGTTGGGATTGAGAGATCCTAGACTAGAGACAATGTTGGGATTGAGAGATCCTAGACTAGTGTCAGTGTTGGGGTTGAGAGATCCTAGACTAGAGACAATGTTGGGGTTGAGAGATCCTAGACTAGAGACAATGTTGGGATTGAGAGATCCTAGACTAGTGTCAGTGTTGGGGTTGAGAGATCCTAGACTAGAGACAATGTTGGGGTTGTGAGATCCTAGACTAGTATCAATGTTGGGGATGAGAGATCCTAGACTAGAGACAATGTTGGGGTTGAGGGATCCTAGACTAGAGACAATGTTGGGATTGAGAGATCCTAGACTAGAGACAATGTTGGGATTGAGAGATCCTAGACTAGTGTCAGTGTTGGGGTTGAGAGATCCTAGACTAGAGTCAATGTTGGGATTGAGAGATCCTAGACTAGAGCACCTGCTTCTGGTCCAGATAGTTCAATGATACAGCACCTGCTTCTGGTCCAGATAGTTCAATGATACAGCACCTGCTTCTGGTCCAGATAGTTCAATGATACAGCACCTGCTTCTGGTCCAGATAGTTCGATGATACAGCACCTGCTTCTGGTACAGATAGTTCAATGATACAGCACCTGCTTCTGGTCCAGATAGTTCGATGATACAGCACCTGCTTCTGGTCCAGATAGTTCGATGATACAGCACCTACTTCTGGTCCAGACAGTTCAATGATACAGCACCTGCTTCTGGTCCAGATAGTTCAATGATACAGCACCTGCTTTTGGTCCAGATAGTTCAATGATACAGCACCTGCTTTTGGTCCAGATAGTTTGATGATACAGCACCTGCTTCTGGTCCAGATAGTTCAATGATACAGCACCTGCTTTTGGTCCAGATAGTTTGATGATACAGCACCTGCTTCTGGTCCAGATATGCTGCAATACCCTCTAACAAGAATGATTTCTCTTTTACAGCACCTGAGTGTGGCTCCTTAATACAGACTACTTCTCTGTTCTGTTACAGGCTTTGTGGTTCCTCACGCCAAGGCCCGGTCGACTGTCCCACCAGCCGCCCATCACCAGCCCGACCACTCCCCTTACAGCCAGATTACCCACCATGCCTTTTACCCACTCCAGCTAGGCAGCCGACCCGCAGGCCCCGCCCTGAAGGCGGACGCAGACCTGGTGGAGAGTGGTGCATTGTGGGATAAGGAGAACATTGTTCAGCCAATCAGGGTTGGGTCATCAGGATACTATTCAGGAAACAGCTTTACTGGTAAGACCCAGAGCCTTCTATTACAATAAAGGGCTCTCGTAAATCCCTCCACTTGTTTTCATCACTAACATGGTTTGCACTATCTAGACTCAATACCAACATCAATACTTGTTCAACTATTTTACAGCATCTCATTTCATATACAGTATTCAGACCCCTTGACCTTTTCATATTTTGTTATGTTACAGCCTTATTCTAAAATGGATTAAATAGTTTTTTCCCCTTATCAATCTACACACAATACCCCATAATGACAAAGCAAAAACAGGTTTTTAGACATTTTTGCAAATGTATAAAAATATAAAAACGGAAATATCACATTTACATAAGTATTCAGACACTTTACTCAGTACTTTGTTGAAGCACCTTTGGCAGCGATTACAGCCTTGAGTCTTCGTGTGTATGACGCTACAAGCTTGGCACAGCTGTATTTGGGGAGTTTCTCCCATTCTTCTCTACAGATCCTCTCAAGCTCTGTCAGGTTGGATGGGGGCATCGCTGCACAGCTATTTTCAGGTCTCTCCAAAGATGTTCGATCGTATTCAAGTCCGGGCTCTGGCTGGGCCACTCAAGGACATTCAGAGGCTTGTCCCGAAGCCACACCTGCATTGTCTTGGCTGTGTGCTTAGGGTCGTTGTCCTGTTGGAAGGTGAACCTTCGCCCCAGTCTGAGGTCCTGAGCGCTCTGGAGCAGGTTTTCATCAAGAATCTCTCTGTACGTTACTCTGTTAATCTTTTCCTCGATCCTGACCAGTCTCCCAGTCCCTGCTGCTGCTGCTGGAAAACATCCCTACAGCATGATGTTGCCACCACCATCCTTCACATTAGGGATGGTGCCAGTTTTCCTCCAGACGTGACGCTTGGCATTCAGGCCAAAGAGTTCAATCTTGGTTTCATCAGACCAGAGAATCTTGTTTCTCATGGTCTGAGTCCTTTAGGTACCTTTTGGCAAACTCCAAGCAGGCTGTCATGTGCATTTTATTGAGGAGTGGCTTCCGTCTGGCCACTCTACCATAAAGGCCTGATTGGTGGAGTGCTGCAGAGATGGTTGTCCTTCTGGAAGGTTCTTCCATCTCCACAGAGGAACTCTGGAGCTCTGTCAGAGTGACCATCGGGTTCTTGGTCACCTCCCTTCTCCCCCGATTGCTCAGTTTGGCCGGGCGGCCAGCTCTAGGAAGAGTCTTGGTGGTTCCAAACTTCAATGCTGCAGACATTTTTTGGTACCCTTCCTCAGATCTGTGCATCGACACAATCCTGTCTCGGGCCTCTATGGATAATTCCTTTGACCTCATGGCTTGGTTTTTGCTCTGACATGCACTGTCAACTGTGGGACCTTATATAGACAGGTGCCTTTCCAAATCATGTCCAATCAATTGAATTTAACACAGGTGGACTCCAATCAAGTTGTAGAAACATCTCAATGATGATCAATGAAAACAGGATGCACCTGAGCTCAGTTTCGAGTCTCATAGCAAAGGGTCTGAATACTATTTTTTTAATAAAAAAAAATTGGGGAGGGGGGGGGGGGTGGATCTTATGTAAATAAGATATTTCTGTTTTTTATTTTTTCTAAATTTGCTAAAAAATTCTAAAAATCTGTTTTCGCTTTGTCATTATGGGGTATTGTGTGTAGATTGATGAGGATTTTTATTTATTTAATCAATTTTAGAATAAGGCTGTAATGTAACAAAATGTGGATAAAGTCAAGGGGTCTGAATACTTTCCGAATGCACTGTATAACCTGCAAATACACAACGGTGCTAACATAAACTTGAACAATGTTCTGTCCCGTGTTCCCCCAGGTGTGGACGTGATCAAGGAGAACCTGAGGGAGGTGCAGTGTCTGCGTCTGCACCTGGAGGAGTCCATCAGGACCAACGAGAGGCTCAGACAGCAGCTGGAGGAACGCCTGTCCACCACCGGCCGCGACGGCGCAGCACCCACCAACATCTACATCCAGAGCCTGGACTCTGTCTGCCAGCTGTCCAATGAGATCAGAGTCCTGAAAGAGGAGAACCTGGCTCTCCAGGCACGCCTGCAGGCCAGCTCAGGTACTGTACCTCACCAGTCCACCCTACTGTCAACATTGAACAATTTATTCATATTTTGTCTATAGAGGGCTTGCAGTTGCATCACAAATCACCTAGCAACCGCACCAGGCACCATGTTGGAAGACCAAAGTCAGTATGTTGGATGCCTCCAATCGTCCACATGGCTGGCTGCATTCTGCTACCACCGGAAACTTCGGGAAGATAGCTCATTATTTATTTTTTCTAAGGACCCAGAAAACGAGGGCGTGGGAGAACCTATTCAAGTAAGTAAATATATTTTGAAAATGATCAACTATTAGCTAGCTTGCTACATAAACTTAGTGTGCAGGCTAACGTAATGTTCGCTACCATAGTTAGCTAACTTTACATATTGTATAGCTAGCTAAGTGAATTAAATATCACCAGCTTGCTAACTTCATATTAGCTAGTTAGCTAGCTATCTTCATGTATTTATCATTGTAACTAAATGCATTTGTAGCTACAGTAGGTAGGTAGCTAGCTAGCTAACAACGATGGAAGAGGGTGAAAGGATTAGCTAGCAGTTCCAGCTGTCAGAGAAGGGAGAGTAGGCTACTCTGGATAGGGCAGGTACAGTGGCTTGCGAAAGTATTCACCCCCCTTGGTATTCACCCCCCCAAAAGTAAATACTTTGTAGAGTCAACTTTTGCAGCAATTACAGCTGCAAGTCTCTTGGGGTATGTCTCTATAAGCTTGGCACATCTACCCACTGAGATTTTTGCCCATTCTTCAAGACAAAACTGATCCAGCTCCTTCAAGTTGGATGGGTTCCGCTGGTGTACAGCAATCTTTAAGTCATACCACAGATTGTTGTGGTGCCATATTCTTTCAATTTTTTAATAATGGATTGAATGGTGCTCCGTGGGATGTTCAAAGTTTCGGATATCTTTTTATAACCCAACCCTGATCTGTACATCTCCACAACTTTGTCTCTGATCTGTTTGGAGAGCTCCTTGGTCTTTATGGTGCTGCTTGCTTAGTGGTGTTGCAGACTCTGGAGCCTTTCAGAACAGGTGTATATATACTCAGATCATGTGACACTTAGATTGCACACAGGTGGACTTTATTTAACTATTTATGTGACTTCTGAAGGTAATTGGTTGCACCAGATATTATTTAGGGACTTCATAGCAAAGGGGGTGAATACATATGCACGCACCACTTTTCCGTTATTTATTTTATGCATTTTTTGAAACATGTTATTTTTTGCATTTCACTTCACCAATTTTGACTATTTTGTGTATGTCCATTACATGAAATCCAAATAAAAATCCATTTAAATTACAGGTTGAAATGCAACAAAATAGGAAAAACGCCAAGGGGGATGAATACTTTTGCATGGCACTGTACCTTTGTGGGAGAACATTATGAGAATATTCTCCAGTTCCAGTCCCTAATGAGAAAAACTGAGGACAGAGAGAGATAGCAACATAATATTCAGGGCTGTCTAATTGAGTATCATGCAACATGTTTCTTTGTGATGTTTTCTGTCCTCAGATAGAGTGCAGATGAAAACGTCCCAATCAATTTCCCAAGAGAATAAGGGAACATCCTTGTATACCATGGATTATATGTGTACCTATGTTGGCAAATTTTGTGAACGAAAATACAGTTTAAAAGTCCCACATAATGTATAAACCTATTACAACTGGAGAAGGCCACCCCTGCTGGGTGTGCACTTTTCTGTTCCAGGGGTCAGTGGAGTGAGGTTGGACACCTCTGGTATTTACTTTTTTTTGTTCACCTCAAATGATGCTTTAGTAGTAATAACATACTTGTTACTAAAATATCTAACCTTTACATATGAGTTAGCTTACTTGTACACTTTGAAATTATATGAAATAGTGTTGATTCTTTGAAGTTAAGTGTTTAAACTTGTTTTAATTGTTAACTATTATTCAAGATGAACGATGTTGATTAATCACAGATCACAATCCTGCAATAAAAAGGGGAAGGGATCTGTCTCTAATTTGTCTGTGTTTCTCTGCTGTATTCTCAAATTAACATTACCTTTTTGTTCAGTTATAAGCACTCCAATTAGTTTTATTTGATTGTCACTATTTTTTCAGGATATCAGCCATGTGAACCCATTTTGCAGCTGATAATGGTATGCAACGCCAATGCAGCCATGGGCCTACAGCAGTGGTTCCCAACTCCAGTCCTTGAGTACCCCAAACAGCACACATTTTTATTGTAGCCCCGGACAAACATACCTGATTCAACTCATTGAGGACTTGATGATTAGTTGACTAGTTGAATCAGGTGTGTTTGTCCAGGGTTACAATAAGACTGTACTGTTGGGGGAACTCGAGGACCGGAGTTAGGAACCACTGGCCTACAGTATGATGGCATTAGCCTTATTGCCATTTTCAATGCATCCCTTGACATTGAGCATCTGAAGCAGAGAATAACTTAACTAACACATTGTTTACATTGTTCAGCTATATGTTCTCAATTTAAAAAATGATACCAGTAGACAATGTATGAAGCTAGTCATTATTTTAGATTTTGTCCATGCCTTGTGCTGACATTAAATTGTTCAGCGCAAATCCAAACCTTGTAATCTAGGTGGTGAAAGGTCTGGAAGCAGGAGATGATGGGATCCTTAGCTTGGTGAGTGGGAAGTGCCACTGTGATAATTAAGATGGTTTGCCTAAGACTACCACAACAATTACATTGTCTATGCTACATGTTTTAAATTGTAAATGAAAGACAATAGTTGGGCTATAAGAAATATATTTTATTCAATGGGGATAGGCAGAGATTATAAAATACTTTTAATTTCCCCCATACAACAATATAGCCTATTATTAAAGTACAGTTTGTTTACAATATCAACAATAGTATTTTACACCTTCCAAATTACATTTTATATGTTCACACAGTTTAAGGGGGCACTTTTGTCATGACGACAAAGTGAAGGTGCTTTCTACTTAAATGGCACAACAGAATCATTCAGATTGTCCAAAGCACAACATATGACAACCATCTCGTATAACTGAGGGATGTCTCCTTTCATATCTGGAAAAGGACAAAGTAGAAGTAGAAACTGATGCTGCTGCAGCATTGGTCATCTTCACAGTGGGAATCCAGTAGACATGGGTGTCTTGATAGAGGTCAGCTGGTGAACCCACAGTACATAAACAAATGAGAAGCACAGCTGATGTTAGAATATGACTTTTTCAGGTCACCTATACCATCAGGGCTCTTAAGTGTTTGGTTGTGTTTAATTCATTCAGGTGTTTTAGTGTCATATAAATATTAAATATATTGTTGGGCTGGAACAACCAATAGTCAACGCAGCTGGTTGTCCTATCCCATTGAGGCATTTGCCCCTACATTTTCCCTCCTCTTATGAATAAAGTTCTAAAAAATTATCATTGGGTTATCATATGAATGTATGATAACCGCTGGAGTTTTTTGGGACAATAATATCCTCCAGGCTATTATATGGACGTCATTATGTACAATTAGCTTCTCCCCTTTTCATGGTCATGGCTAGAAAGTATACAGCTTTTGTCAAAGTAAATACAATGATAGATGCATGTAATCCTTGGTTATAAAGGTGCATTTTTATGGTAAAAAATTTGCTTCCCCAAAACTTGAAACTCACGTGACACATGCTAATCGCTAGACTACAAGCTATCGAGCTAGCTATCTAATTTTGGCTAACTTAGTATAGTTGTTAACACCTGGTTAGCATAACAGCGAAACTAAACTCGAAAACTTGACTTTCCAGTGATGAAATGATCGTAGCAAACCCTGTATTGACAGCTGTCTGGGTTCAGGTCTTGATGGGCAAAAAGGTTTCTTTGCTTTTCTGACAGTTCTTGAGTCTTATCTCATTGGTGTCACCAATGGTGTTTCATGATTGCGGGAATTTGTAAACATATTTTTTTCCCATTGTCTTTCCTGCCTTGTTAGAGCAGTCAAATGCTCCACAGAAAACGACTGGGGTGATGAATCAACTAGTTTTAGGCACTGTTATCATGCAGTTTGGGGTAGCCACTCGGCTGTTGTTGTCAGAAGAATTAACGCAGTGGTCTTCCAACACGGCCACCAGGAGGCGTTCTACGTCAACTGACAGCCCTCTATAAGGCATGGATTTTTCATAAACATTTGAAATTGTTCAAAAGGATGTGATGTAGTGTCTGTCTCTGCCTTCCCATCGTGTGGTTCCCCCTCAGACACGTGTAAGGAGGCGGAGCAGCTGCGTGAGGTGGTGGTGACGGGGCGTGCCCGCCTGAAGCAGGCGGAGCTGGAGGCGGAACAGTGGAAGGAGGAGCTACGCCGGCTGCAGACGCACAGCCAGGAGCAGGGACAGCAGATACAGACACTCAGACAGGAGAGGCAGAACAGCCATGACAAGAACAATAGGTGTGTGCGTGTGTGCGTGCGTGCGTGGCTGACGGTGGCTGACGGTATGTGTATTAACTGTGTATTACTCTCCAGGCTCCAGCACGAGGTGTCCCTCCTCCAGCAGCAGTTGTGTGAGAGCAGGGAGCTGCTCCACTCTCTGCAGAATGAGCTGCAGGTCTACCACGGAGTGTGTGCCAAGGTCAAGGGCAACCCAGGTCTGCCTTCTCACTTTATCTACAGGCTATTGGTTGTATAGAGAGCACTGTAATTCAGGAGTTTGCCTTTATATCAACTCTCACCAATGGAGAATAAAAAATAAATATTCTAACTTGAGATACGTGTACATAACTGGGACTTTTGCATATAGAATTCAAAATGATCCTCAGAAGTCGTTTAGGTCATTTAGAGGACCTCTACTTGCTGTGGGCCAATGACATTCACTCTGTTATATTGATACTTGCTGTGGACCAATGACATTCACTCTGTTATATTGATACTTGCTGTGGGCCAATGACATTCACTCTGTTATATTGATACTTGCTGTGGGCCAATGACATTCACTCTGTTATATTGATACTTGCTGTGGGCCAATGACATTCACTCTGTGATATTGACTGACACTATTGTTGTGATTTACAGAGTACCTGTGTGAGAGCCAGTACGGTAGGATCCCTTCCCTGCCCCTGCCCGTGGAGCTGGGGGAGCTGCTAGGGGAGGTGAGGAGCCTCAGAGCCCAGCTCCAGAGCAGTGTCCAGGAGAACAGTGCCCTGAAACAGCTGGAGCTCCACAAACACCTGGAGCAGAAGCTGGGTGGGGGCGTCCACGGAGGGGTGGGGAGCATTGGGGGGATGGAGCCCCTGCGTACCCCGTCTCTCAGTGCCCTTACAGACAGCCCCCAGAGGGACAGCCTCTACAGACGGCAGCTACTGCATGGTAACGGGGGTGTTGTGTGGTGTAATGGTGTGGTTTGAGGTTACAATATGGAAATACATTTTGATATCAGCTTGATAGGCACCAACACTCAATGCCAGCCTAAGATTGATATTGGCCCACTCGTCAACACTATGAATGGGACAGAAGAGTCCAGAAAGTTTGTCTCATGTAAATCCCATTGAACTGACTGATTGATGTGTTTAATGAACTAATAACAACAGACTAATGAGTGAAGTGTTTGATTTGAAGCATTATCATTAATTAAATGTAGTTGAATGCTCAGGGTTGTGTGTGTGTGTGTGGTGACCGAGCATCCCTGTCTGTCTCTGTGTGTGTTCTGCAGATCCAGCGCCGTCTCCCCCGGTCAGAGACATTGGGTTGTTTAACTGTGGATCTCCATACCACGTCCCCTACACAGACCTGGAGGAGACCCCGCTCACTGCCAATGGTGTGACTCTAACTCTAACTGCACTACATCCTGTTCCATCTTTGTGTGATGTGTGACAAATTGAGAAATTAGTGTTATACATACATTCTAGAATAATAGTGAAGACATCGAAACTATGAAATAACACATATAGAATCATGTAGTAACCAAAAACGTGTTCAACAAATCAAAATATATTTTATATTTGAGATTCTTGAAAGTAGCCACCCTTTGCCTTGATGACAGCTTTGCAAACTCTTGGCATTCTCTCAACCAGCTTCACCTGGAATGCTTTTCCATATGCTGAGCAATTGTTGGCTGCTTTTCCTTCACTCTGCGGTCCATCATCCCAAACCATCTCAATTGGGTTGAGGTCAGGGGATTGTGGAGGCCAGGTCATCTGATGCAGCACTCCATCACTCTCCTTCTTGGTCAAATAGCCCTTACACAGCCTGGAGGTGTGTTGGGTCATTGTCCTGTTGAAAAACAAATGATTGTCCCACTAAGCCCAAACCAGATGGAATGGGCTATCGTAGAATGCTGTGGTAGCCATGCTGGTTAAGTGTACCTTGAATTCTAAATAAATCACAGACAGTGTCAGTGTCACCAGCAAAGCACCCCCACACCATCACACCTCCTCCATGCTACACGGTGGGAACTACACATGCGGAGATCATCCGTTCACCCACACCGCGTCTCACAAAGACACAGCGGTTGGAACCACAAATCTTCAATTTGGACTCCAGACCAAAGGACAGATTTCCACCGGTCTAATGTCCATTGCTCGTGTTTTTTGGCCCAAGCAGGTCTCTTTTTCTTATTGGTGTCCTTTAGTACTGGTTTATTTTCAGCAATTCGACCATGAAGGCCTGATTCACACAGTCTCCTCTGAACAGTTGATGTTGAGATGTGTCTGTTACTTGAACTCTGTGAAGCACTTATTTGGGCTGCAGTTTCTGAGGCTGGTAACTCTAATGAACTTATCATCTGCAGCAGAGGTAACTCTGGGTCTTCCTTTCCTGTGGCGGTCCTCATGAGAGCCAGTTTCATAATAGCGCTTGGTGGTTTTTGCGACTGCACTTGAAGAAACTTTGTCTTAAAGTAATGATGGACTGTCATTTCTCTTTGATTATTTGAGCTGTTCTTGCCATAATATGGACTTGGTCTTTTACCAAATAGGGCTATCTTCTGTATACCCCCCTACCTTGTCACAACACAACTGATTGGCTCAAACGCATTAAGAAGGAAAGAAATTCCACAAATTAACTTTTAACAAGGCACACCTGTTAATTGAAATGCATTCCAGGTGACTACCTCATGAATCTGGTTGAGAGAATGCCAATAGTGTGCAAAGTTGTCATCAAGGCAAAGGGTGGCTACTTTGAACAATCTCAAATATAACATATATTTTGATTTGTTTAACACTTTTTTGGTTACTATATGATTCCATATGTGTTATTTCATAGTTTTGATGTCTTCCCTATTATTCTACAATGTAAAAATAAAGAAAAACCCTGGAATGAGTAGGTGTGTCCAAACTTTTGAATGGTAATGTATCTGATTCACAAATCTGTAGCAGTTTACACAAGTCTACACAAATAGTCCAGGAAGGATGTTATTATGGAAGTTAATCACTCTTATAAAATAATTATCTCTTCATAAAATGACGACATCCTGTAGATCTGGACCCCCACTCAGAGCTGCAGGGGGACGCCCCGGACGGCTCATTCTCTAACCGGAACGGGCGCCACGCCATCGGGCACGTGGACGATTACAGCACCTTGCAGCAGCAGGTCCTGGAGGGGAGGAGTCTGGTCCAGAGAATGGAAACAGCCCTTCAGGCCTGCCTCAGCCAATCAATGCTGGTGGACAGCCAGGACCAGGTAATGGGGGGTCACAGGGAAGCTAGTACCATTATCTATTTGTGCCAACATCTGAATTAGCGATGACCTAATCCTGAAACTCATAACCAAATCTGGTGTGCGCGCTGGCCACCTTCTCGATGTGTACAGTCTGCCAGTACAGCTACTTTCAGGGAATCTTATGAGTCTAGCTAACTGTGTCTGTCTCTGTCTAGGTCTTCCTGGACTATGGGTGTGTGAGGACTCTGTTGTCTAACACCAAGACCCTGAGACAGATCCTGGAGGAGGCTGTGTCCCTGCTGAAGATGTTCTGGAGGGCTGCCCTGCCCAGCACCGACCGCTCCACCCACAACCTTAAGAAGGTACCCAATACATTATTTACTACCAGTGTATTATTTTGTCGATTTGTTGTAATTGATGGTTTGTGACATCATGTGTCAATCGTGTGGTGGCTTTGAGGCTCTCTGTTGATGATGCAGGTTCTAAGCTAGTCAGACATATGAGCTGGTGTTTGGTTTATTGATGTACTGAATTATTGAACTTGATTGATCAGTCTGATTGATTGCTGTGACCCCTGCAGGAGCAATGTATGCAGGAGGAGATTCTGTCTCTGAGGGGGCGTATCTCAGAGCAGGAGGAGGTTCTCCAGGGAACCATCCAGAGACTGAGGAGCACCAGCCGCACCAATGAGAGCATGGAGCACTTCATCGTCAACCAGCGTGAGTGTTTGTGTGTGTGTGCGTGTGTGTGTGCGTGCGTGCGTGCGTGCGTGTGTGTGTGCGCGTTACGTTGGTGTTACAGCAAAGGGATTTTTTTTCTCGCCTTTTATATTGCAGTATCAAGGACTCGCGATGTCCTGAAAAAAGCAAGGACTAACTTGGAGGTAAGAGATGATCATTTTCCGTGACATATCTTGTATACACATAGAATGTTGTTAAGGTGTTGCGTTCATTGTCCCAGTGTCAGTACTGTACTCTCGCCCTGTCTGTTCCACCTGTTCTTTCAACCTCCGTGTATCTTCCCTCCTTTCTCTCCTTCTTCTCCTCCTCCTCTTTTCCCGAGTACCTCCAGAAGAACGAGCGGAGGATTTCTTCTCTAAGCTCCTCCTCTTCCTCTCCTTATGCTGGTAAAGGGTTTGGCATGCTGTGGCTGTCATGCTGTGTGACATCACTGCTTTACCATCCAATCAAACAACAAAATAATAATCATAAAGGACTATCATAAGTGTATAGATATAATTAATAGAAACCAATGAATATAAATCATGGAAACCTGAAGAGTGTGTGTGTGTGTGTGTGTGTGTGTGTGTGTGTGTGTGTGTGTGTGTGTGTGTGTGTGTGTGTGTGTGTGTGTGTGTGTGTGTGTGTGTGTGTGTGTGTGTGTGTGTGTGTGTGTGTGTGTGTGTGTGTGTGTGTGTGTGTGTGTGTGTGTGTGTGTGTGTGTGTGTGTGTGTGTGTGTGTGTGTGTGTGTGTGTGTGTGTGTGTGTGTGTGTGTGTGTGCGTGCGATTGGCTGAAACCCAGGGCAGACTGAAGCTTTTAAGACTCTTACTGGTATTTAAACTTACAGGTTAGCTACTTACTGAGGGGAGGCTTTTAGATAACACATTTTAGATAACAATAGAGCTCATTCACCCAATGGCATTTTCAGCTTATCTTCATCTGCAAGCACACTAACTATTGTTGTGGTTTCATACTAACAAAGCAAAACAAATTTCAAACATTCATATTCCATTAACCTCAACAAATCTTCTGAATCCTTGCAGATAAACTTCAACTTTGCACACTCTACTCTTCATTGCGGTGTGATGTTTAAAAAAATGTTAATCAACTTTTTGGCTGTGGCATCTTCTCTTCATCTGAGTATGTACCAGGAGTGTAGCAGTGAATAATCTAATCTTTCTTTCTCCCCATTTTCCCCTCTTCTCCCTTTAGCTGAAGACCGAAGTCCCGGCAACGAACGGCCTACTGATTGGAGTTTCTTGAAGCCTGGCGACGCCCCGGCAATGGCAAATCAGCGTCCAGGAACCAGGAAGCGCAGCAGCCAGTGCCTGTTTTAGGCGCTGACTTGTTAAAGAATCAGCCAGCCCAACACCACAACCTCTGAACTCTGACCTCACCGCCAGAACAGCCACGACCCCTCCTCCTCTGACTCCAGCCTTACCTGTCACCCCATCCACCTCTTTGCTTTGTCTCTAGCATCCAACGTCCATCTCTTTCTTTTTTTCTCTTTCTTTCTTATCTCTCCTCCACTTCTCTCCTGTCGGCAATTCGAGCCCAATACTCCTGCCTCCTGCACCTCGAGCCGTACCTGAACTCTTCCTCCTTTAGTGTTCATTCCTCCACACTCCTTTTGACTGTTTTCTTTTCTCCTCCTCCACCCCTGTTCTTCTGTTGGTGTCTTTGAGCTCCAGAGACAGTTGGTCCAGTCTGATGATTGCCTTGTTGTGAGCGTGAAGAAGGTGGTTTGAAACGTGCCTCTGATGGTAACAGTAATGTGCGCCCTTGACTGCTGTAGAAGGAGTAGGATGAAGCTGCCTCTAGACAATGAGCTAAGGTCAGATTTGCCTTTTCCCCAATGGTAAAGGTTATGGGATTTGGGGACGGTAGGCTGATCCTAGATCTGTAGCAAAGGGAAGCTTCTACCCGGAGCATAGTAGATTGTGCTCTTCTGCCTGGCAGCTTTTGGACGGGATAAGTGTCAATGCATGTGAACTCACGGCTTGAGAAAGGAAACGTATAGTATACAAACGCATACACGTATACAGTACGGTACACATAGAAGTAGAATAGGCGTGGAACCTCTAACCCTGGCAATGGGGACGCCCATTCTATTCATTCTATTTCTGTGACAGTACACACGTCACACACATACGTTCACAGACATACGTGAACAATCAATTTCTTTCAAGACAAATCTTCAACTTTCACTGCCACAGAAATGCAAGCTTTCTCCTCGTGGCATTTCATCAATGAGTACTTTCTTTGCAAGTACAATGCAAAAAGTAAAATAACATCCACAATCTAGCTAGATCTTCTGGAATCACAGTGGAGGAATGTATAGGTGTAACACTTCTAGGTAATTGTTTGCTATATTGATCTGTGGAGGATGATGCCTTTGGATGGTCTGTCTGCCATTAGCCAAGGCTTCTGGATAGCAGAACAAAGGCCTCGTTCCATTTCAGTCACTAGCCCCTTCCCCTCGCTCCTACTCAATCGGTATTCACAGATCTGAATAGACTGGATAGGTGAAAGCAATATGTTGATGCTTCGCCTAGTCCTCCGATAAGTAAAGTTGAGCTTCCGCTGTGTTGCTTTTATCTATCCAGTCCTAGCTGATCTAACGCTGACGGGGTAAAGGCTAAAAGAAGGGGCTAGGGGCTGAAATGGACCGAGGCCAAACATGCGTATTCAAGCTCCTCTTTAGGAGTCCTCAGACGAGCATGTGCAATACTTACGTTGTTTATTGAATGATCATGGCGCACCAGCTTTTAGTTTTTTTGCCTGACACTGGAACTAAAGTATTTAACCTCTCTTGATAAGTGAAAAAGACTGTCGGTGCAATATTATACTAATAACTATCTTATACTAACTTATGAATACTACTGACTGAAACAAAGTGAAGTTTTTCTGCAGTGTTGATGCATGAAAGAAGTTTTAAAAGGAAAAATCGAAACATTTGTTCGTGGAACACGGGATCACCAATACTTGCCAAAGTTTGAACTTTGAACTCTTCACGTCCTTGTTTGCCTTACACATGCGAATGACATACTGTAGGAGTGATGTGACTAAAGGAAGTCATCATCAGCCCAGTATATGAGACCATCTATGACATCATGATGGAGATATAATTTCATTGGCTGCTCTTTGAGAGCCATTTGAACCAGAGAGACGGTAACCGTTAGATTATAAATGTGCTTTATAACGAGGACATCTTGTCATAAATGGACCAAAAATGTCTAAAAGTGAATCTTTCATACTAGGCTTCTATTGCTTTGTGAATTCCAAAAACCTAAATTGTGCTCCTGTAAGAGATGTACCACTAAAACAGAGAATACTATTCTGATTGTTAAATTTCCATTGGACTTACGGTTTTTTGTCTCGGTTTAGCCCGTCATTGCGTTCCCATGATGTTGTTGGCTAAATGTTCCGTATCCTTCTAGGTGTTACAAACTTTGGCAGGCTACTGGTGGGACCAGTGTTCTAGATTTCACTATCGGTGATGATGTCACACCCGAAGGTGTTTCTTCCAACGCTGCTTATGATTGTTTTGAGTGTCCTTGCTGTACATTTGGCCATTTTCACGCTGTAAATGACTTGCTTTTTCACTGTATTCTGTTGACTGACCTTTTGGTGTGTGGATAATCATGTCAGACATTTGCTCTGTATGCAAACGTCGAATATCTGGGTAGCTGTGCAATAGCTCTACGCTAAATCTACTTTATTTTGATGTACACATCATTGTATTAACGATATATTTGCTTCCTTGAGTGTTCCTGCTTTGTATGGTTTATTGATTTAGTTTTTTAGATTATGCCAGATTGTAATAAGATAGCCACATATCTGTTATGAAATCACAAAGATATGCCTTTTCTTAGGATATAAGGGAAACCAGTATTATTACTTACAAACCCACCTATTATTAACCTTTGGAGGCTTGCCTTTAAAATTAGTTTGGCCACTGCAATTTGCTCCCAACTTACTTGGGGCTCTATTCGATCTGTAAAGCTGAAGCGTTACAGATTCTGCGACAGAAATGTGAAGGTAGTTTCCGATTGAGCCGACAGATGCAGCGTTTACCGTGAATGCAGCGGGAACATTGCTCTTTTAAAAATGTCAATCGCGCTGTAAAGCTGAACTTCAGCGATGTGGATTGAATAGAGCCCTTGGAGTTACTAGCGCTTGGTGTCTATCCTAGGTATATATCACCGTATATCTGCCAACAAGGTCTTGTTTGCGCTCCACTCAATTGAAAATCCCTAGAGGGGATTCTAATAGAAAACATTCTAATAACAAACGTTCTAATATAAAACCCCATGCTGTTTGGTTCTTTTAGACAAATAAGGATTTGATGAGAAGATTCAGAGAAAGATTAGGGGGAAATAATATTTTATACCAAAGCAGAAAAAAACAACCATAGGATTGTGTCAGAGTAGAACAGAACATTGCCAGAGAGTGTGAACAATGCCTTTTTTACTACGCATTGTGTAGAAAGGAATCAAACAGCAGTATTTAGCCGTGTCTAATAGTTGGTCCTGAAACTTGTATTTAATGGTATGTGATTGAAATGGAAGAGCAGCTTGGTTGGTCAGGTTGTGTGTGTGATAAAGTGTGTGCTGATGAAGCTAATTAGGATGCCGACACAGAGCTCATCCATGGGCTCTGTCTCTGAAGATGGTCACTGTGTGTGTGTTGTGTTGCCACAGTGTTATCACAATGAGGGATTTTGGGTTCAAAAAATAAATACAAAATATTTAAAAAATACCTTTGTCACATCATTTGATGTAATATGTGTGTCGGTAGCCAAACATTTGTGTTTGAACACCGAGCAAGAGGAATACACACAAATCTCCACATTTACTGATTAGCTTCATGCTTTTTCTATTCTATATTTTCTACCAGGGTTGGGGTCAATTCAAATTGAAGACACAATTCAGGAAGTGATTTGAAGTAAATAAATAACTTGTCATTTTTATTTTATGAGAAATCATAAAAAATAGATAAAACATTTTCAATTATTGAATTGGAATTTCTGTTTACTTCCTGAATTGGTTGACTTCAATTCGAATTGACCCCAGCCATGTTTTCTACAGCCTAGGCCAAATGTAATCTAGCCAGTCACTCACTCACATTAGGCAAAGATACTATTTAGGCACAACTGATACTTCAGGGTCAACACGTCTTCCCTTTTTATTTGCAAACAAGTGAAACAACCTTCTACAGTACTTGGCTTACACAGTGACGCTGCAAAGTATTTTCAAAAACAAACATGTTAGCTAACAGTTTTAAAATTCAAGTTTTGTTTTTTTGCCTAATAAAGCGCCAGAATATCCTATAATATCTTATATTCTCAAACAGATCGCGATATTGCTTTCAGTCAGAAAAGGGCCTTTTTTTCTCAGTTTCTTCAAATAAAATATATCATTATATATTAATATCTTCTCTTTGGAGTATATCACCTACAGATATCAGCCCTCATTGATTATTACTGTGAAGTATCACAAGCAATAGGTACAATAATCTCTCAAAATTATAAATATTAAATAGTTGATGGTAAAAACAGAGTGGTTCTACTCACAGAATTCTCAAATGTAACAATATTGACGAAAGTAAATTACACTTTTTCACATTCTTATGAAATCAATATTGCCAATTTGTCACAAATGTTGTATGTTGATAGAATGACACATTCCACAGTAAACTGTTCGTATTAGACATTCAAATCATGCACGACATTCAAGACAAACCATTCTTTTGTTTTTTTAAAGCTATAAATACGGCACATGTAACAGATACATTGATTCCTATTGGATAAATAGAAAATAGTGAAAAACACACAGAGAACAGCTATTTTTGTATCTATAGAAAGCAGATTGGACACCAATATAAAGCCAATATAAAGTTAAGAGATCTGTCCGTGTATCTGATCTGTTATCCGTGTATCTGCATAGTTAAATGTTTATGTCAACAGTCCTGCTCAACGCATTTGTTGGAGACACACGTGTAACTAAAGTGCTTGCAGCATCGTTTCATGAAGGCAATAGCAGAACTAAGCAGAGATCTAGAGACACAGCCCAACATTTCACAACTCCTTTAGTTTAAAGGGGAGGCTTCAAATACTCATAGTTGGTTATACTTCAGTTGAGTTCAATTTACACAGCCTATCCAATTGCATATCCTGATTCTATTAGTGGTCATCGTCCCTTTGGAATCAAACAGGGAAGACCCTGCATGAACCTCCATTTAGTCTAGTCACTGTCCAATTACAGTAATAACAAGAAAGATGATGCATGAACCTCCATTTAGTCTAGTCACTGTCCAATTACAGTAATAACAAGAAAGATGATGCATGAACCTCCATTTAGTCTAGTCACTGTCCAATTACAGTAATAACAAGAAAGATGATGCATGAACCTCCATTTAGTCTAGTCACTGTCCAATTACAGTAAAAATATGGAGAAAGAATGGGAGCGTACGACACTTGAATTCAAACAAAGTCAATCCAAGCCAGCAACATTCAACTGCCCTCTTTCCGTGTACATAACCTTTTAAAAGCTAATTTATTAAAACGTAATGTTGATTATATGTGTTTGAAAGTCCCATCAGCAGACTTGTCTTCAAACCCTCGTATTTTTAATGGAACCAAATGTTCTTTCTACGCACCCACATGCAAAGAATCTAAGGCTGAGTTTACACAGGCTGCCCAATTCTGATCTTTTTTCCACTAATTGGTCTTTTGACCAATCAGATCAGCTCTGAAAAAGATCTGATGTGAAAAGATTTTATGTGATTGATCAAAAGACCAATTAGTGGAAAAAAGATCAGAATTGGGCTGGCTGTATAAACGCAGCCTAAGTGCTGCACACACAAACACACACAGTGGTTTCTTTCTCAGTCCCTTTTCTTATTGCTATTCAACTGTGGGTGCATTATGGGAAAATGCCACAGTACACTTACAGTATTTTTCCTTGTGAGAGAGTCACAGGCTGAGGCTCAAATCACACCCTATTCCACATAGAGTGCACTACCTTGAGCCCTCTGTGGAGCGCTAAAGTGTAGTGTGTAGTGCAATCTAAAGGGAAAAGGGTGTCTTATGAGATTTGCCCCCAGTCTCAGCCACAGGCCCTCAGCTCTTCTGTAAACTGTTAGTTTAGTCCAATCTCAACTACACGTCATGGTTCAACCCAGTGCTGCCCTCTATAGTACTGTGCACCTACACACACAGGTTAGATGGGCTTGTATAGCAAAGATGTGACGTACTTCTTCTTATATCTGTGAGTTGCACTGAGCACCATCACTCCATCCTGAGGGAGAGGACAGAGAGAGAGAGTGAGAGAGAGAGAGAGTGAGCGAGATAGTAAGATAACATATGCCATTTAGCAGAAGCTTTTTATCCAAAGCGACTTACAGTGATGCGTGCATACATTTTAAATATGGGTGGTCCCGGGAATCGAACCCAATACCCTGCCGTTATAAGCGCCATGTTCTACCAACTGAGCTACAAAGAGTAGACAGACAGACAGACAGACAGACAGACACTAATGCTATGTTATGCTATGGAAGGGACTATTACTCAATCCATAAGTATTGCAGTAAGAAGTGGGATGGAGGATGTTGGTGCCCTCCTACAGTACCTTTATTGAGAGAGCATAAAGATGGTTGAGCATCACATGGTTGGGTTCAGGCAGCAAGGCTGGGTCGCACTGTTGGAGAGGAAAAGAGAGAAGACGAATGAGTAATCAAGACGGTTCCAAATGGGAATTTACAACACACATATGGCAGAGCGAAAGAGAAGAACAGAGAGAGAGAGAGAAGATAAGGGAGAAAGAAGATAAGGGAGAGAGAAGAGAAGATGAGAGAGAGAGAGAGAGAAAGAGAGAGAGAAGATAAGGGAGAGAGAAGATAAGAGAAGATGAGAGAGAGAGAGAAAGAGAGAGAGAAGATAAGGGAGAGAGAAAAGCTGCACTTCCTAACTTCCTGCCAAATGTATGACCATATTAGAGACACATATTTCCCTCAGATTACACAGATTCACAAAGAATTCAAAAACAAACTCCATTTTGATAAACTCCCATATCTACTGGGTGAAATACCACAGTGTGCCATCACAGTAGCAAGATTTGTGACCTGTTGCCACAAGAAAAGGGCAACCAGTGAAGAACAAACACCATTGTAAATACAACCCATATTTATGTTTATTTATCTTCCCTTTTGTACCTTAACTATTTGCACATAATATGACATTTGAAATGTCTTTATTATTTTGGAACTTCTGAGTGTAATGTTTCCTGTTAATTTTTATTGTTTATTTCATTTTTGTTTACTATCTACTTCACTTGCTTTGGCAATGTTAACATACGTTTCCCATGCCAATAAAGCCCTTAAATTGAAATGTGAAATTGGAGAGAAAGAGAGAGACAGAGAGGGCGAGAAAGAAGAAGAGAGAGCGAGAGAACGAGAGAGAGAGAGTCCCCTCACCCAGCTGGTCCTGGGGCGGAGTTCTACTAACACACTGAACCCTCAGGACCAGAACAACCAATGAATCAGAATAAACCAAATTACAACACAGTCAAAAGAAAAATACATTACTTTTTGGGAAGTACAATCAACAGTACACCGTGGCTAACTATTTGACCATGGTTACTGATCAAAACCTTAGAAAAACCTTGACAAAGTATAGGCTCAGTAAGCACAGCCTTGCACTTGAGAAGGGTAGACACAGGAAAACCTGGCTCCCTGCAACCACTGCACCACAGCAGAACACGAGACAGAGCTGCATTTCCTGACAAAATGTAAAAAATATAAAACAATTAGAGAGTGTCATTTCCCCAAATTTGAAACAGTTTTTCAAGGTTTCAAAGGCCTCTCTGATGAGAATAGGCTACCCGTCCTGTTGGGGGAGGACTCAGGCTACCCGTCTTGTTGGGGGAGGACGCAGAGAGTTGTGGGTTGGCAGCGCACTACATTGCTGCCTGCCATAAGATGAGGAACAGTGTCTGACAGACCAACCAACCTGCACATGTCCTCTATTCCATTGTTATTGTTCAATGTATGTTTTTTTACCCTTGATTGTTGTTACTGTTGTCCCGTTGACAATATTTATTACTTTTATTTTAATTATGTTAATATTGTAAATCTCCAAAGTAAGCTTTGGCAATATGTACATTGTTACATCATGCCAATAAAGCAAATTGATTTCAAAAATTGAGAGAGAGAGATAGGATAACAGAAGATGAGGGAGAGAGAGACTGAAACAGAAAGAAACTCACAGAGATGTTAGTGTCCTTGTTGAGGATGACCTGGAGGAGGTGTGGGGGGAGGATGGGAGGGGCTTTGGAGCGTTCCTCAGGCCTGAATATGTACTGCTCCTGTCCATAGGGACCTGGAGGGGAGCTGGACAGATCTAAGGACACACAATGACACACACACAGCATGTCATTCATATACTCTCAAATGGTGACTGATTTCTTGGGTTTTCATCAACTTACATAACTTATCCTAAACACCTGATCAGGATTAAATATTACATCCTTCCTTGAAGTAATCACTGATCTGAAAAGGCTTGAACGGTGATAGGATGGAAAACCTGCCTTCTCTTACCCAATCATGTACAGATCAGTGATTACCGTGAGGAAGGAAACTTGGCCCAAACTTGCATGACCTTAAATTGGCACCTCTTGGTCAGTACAAGGCTATGCTTAACCCAAAGGGACAACAGAGGATGACAACCCTGCCTTCTCTTATCCAATCACATACAGATAAGGCTATGCCAGTTTACCCCAAAGGGACAACAGAGGATTAGAGCCTCTACTGACCTGAGGTGTCAGTAGACTCCAGAGAGTCCACCTGCAGAGCATCAAACACCTCAAAGTCTGACTGCTTCACCTCAATCAGGTTGTTGATGGTGCCCAACTGGCTGGTCACCACTGGCTGCAGGAGGGAGTGTTATAGCAGGGTTAATATGGAGTTATAAAGGGTTAATAACAAATAAACTGTGTGGATGGATCCCAAAACACATGGCTGCAAATAGCTGCAATGTTGTATTTGGAATATATTATTCAACCTTTATATGTTCAGGTTTTGAAAATAAGTCACTGACTTTATTGTGTTATCCCTGTCACGTTTTTAAAATGGATATACTGTGTGTATATGTATTTTTTTAACTGGCAATTTTTTAAAATAAATCTAGTAGTCTAGTTTAGGCCAGAGCCCTATGTAGGGTTTACCTCTGAGGGGTCATGGACCCACTGTCCGTCCACAAAGAACTTGTACTGGTGCTCTCCCTCTGGTAAATCCAGGATAGCTACAAAGTCATTGTGGCTTGGGGAAGAAATACTGTGTTAATACACTGTTAGTGCACTATTAACTGTGTCAAAATGTTGTCACTAATAAAATAGTATAACAGCAATACAGTGTGCAGGACAGGGCCAGTGTCTCTCCTCTCCTCCTCCTCTAATTTCCCCTCCCCTACCTCTTATTGAGGTGGATCTTGTTGCCCCAGTTGTTAAAGGAGCCAGCGATGTAGACCTCCTTCCCTCCTCCGGCCCAGCGGATGACCGTGGGCCTGGATTGAGGCCCTGTCTTCACCAGGTCATCCAGGTCAGGCTCCTCCTTGTCCGACACCTTTGGGGAGAAAATAAACTCAGTTTAAATCACAATGTGGGAATGACAGGGGCTCTATCTCAATTACTCTTCTTGTGATTCCTCACATATTATCTCCTTGCCTCCTTGTTAGCTGTATTGGAGGAAAAGGTCCAAGGTCCCTCACATTGGACCTTCTTCTCCAGTGGGTTTTGAGGAGGCGAGGAGAGAGGAATCGATAAAGATGAATTGAGAAAGAGCCAGGGTTTATCTCACTTGGCTAATATGGCTTCTACTTCTCTTCTCCTTAATCTGCACTGGAAATGTACCCCCCCCCCCCCCATCTGTTGTTGATGCAACTGTTTAGTATGATGGTGTTTATGCCCCTGCCCCAAATATCCTATGTTCCAGAGCAGAGGTACCTTGGAGGACCCCAGTCCGTGTGTGTTGAAGATGTTAGGGTCATCGGTGCTGTCCACCATCTTGCTGGGCTCGTGGTCTTTGTCTCTGCTGTCAGAGCGATGGGCCTTGGCGCCATGGCGGTCGCCGGACATCCGGTCACCTGTGTTACCCATGATCCTTCACTAAGTTTCCAGCCAGGACAAGCTGAAAGAAAACATACACCGTCGTCGTCGTCATCATCATCGTCGTCTTACAAACAACAAGACATAGCTTGCCACCCAAACCAACCTCTGAACATGACTTGCATATTTCATATTAGTTAGATAAGGTCAACAACAAAAGTTAACAGAAATACAAAAGAAAGCATAGGATGCTTGATGTAGAGAGACCAAGGGGGACTGGATAAATGTTTTGCCTTGTCATTTGCATAACTAGCTAACGTTAGCTAGCTAGCTATACAGAATTTCCAGCAAATCTACGATCAATGTGTACAGTTGGTGACATTGGCAACATAGCTGAATATTGACTGTACTTAGTTATCTAAAGTTAGTCATGTTGAGGTAGCTATCTGTACAGCTGACTTGTTACCAGAAATGGAAGTACTCTGCTCGGCCCACCACCAGCTGGCTAGCCCACTTATGACAATCAACAAGTCGGTGATGGATGTGCTTCTCCACGAGCACGAATAAACAAACTTGAACGACCAACCAATCTGGCAATAACTATAGCATAGATCAGAATCAGAATACAGAATTGAACAAGGCAAAGGCTACAGCTAGATAGCTAGTTCGCTTAGCAGTTAGCTAGCATAAATCGCTCCCCTGATCGCAGCAGGGAATATTTTTAGCTGCCTCAACACCTATCGTTGGCTATACTTAGGGTGTGATTGTGAAATGCCAACAAGTGACATTAATGATAACATCGTGACATTACATTTTAATCAATCGGTTCTGTATGGGCCGGTTACTCACCAAATGACACGATTCGAAGTTTGTTTAACACTGAGTCTTCCTCTTCAACTTTGACAACCTCAACATTCTTCTTCACAATGTTTATCCACCAACTACGGATCCCCACCAGGACAAACTATGCAGTCATTGGGACAAATAAAGAAACCTGTTTCTATTAACTGAAATGGTGACACGCCTAACCCAAAATCAGATAGAATTGGAATTAGGATATATCGTTAACCAGCAACACACATATCAAGTGCTTGACGGCAAACCAGCTCTGTGTACTGTGTCATATTTTACCAACAGAAAAGTTTCATTTTCATTTGTATCCTTTATATAAGAAAATAGACTCTGCTAGACATCACCCATAGTCAGTAAAATGGTTGTCTTTGAGACTTTTTACGCAAATTACTGAGAAAACGCTAGTTACTGAGTGGATATGATGGTGTCACACTTCCTGCAATTGGTCTATCTCCAGTATGATCATCCTTTGTGTGCTTCAGGAGTGTCTTGAAAAATGAACGAGACATGAAGTCATTCATTATTTCATATAACTAAATATTCCCAATTAGGAGCTTAAAGTGACTTCATCAACAGTATTGTAATGTATTTTAGAGAATACTGTACAGTAGACCAGCAGCAGCTTAGCACTGATGGAAAACTTGTGTGGTTATATCATATAATAATATATGCCATTTAGCAGAAGCATTTATCCAAAGCAATTTACAGTCATGCATGCATTTTACGTATGGCTGGCCCTGGGAATCAAACCCACTACCCTGGCTTTACAAGCGTCATGCTCTACCAACTGAGCTAAAAAGGACCAGTATTTCTTCTAACAATACCCATTTCACATACATTTGAGGTTTCATACCACCAGACACAGAAAATCACAAGGCTGATAAAAAGCAGTACACAAAAACAACAACCAAAGCTTACTAACCAACAGTCCAGTCAGAGCCTTGATGAGATTGTGAATGCCTGACTTTACTCTTTGACTTTTTGCTCACTGCTCCCCTTAACGACCTCATAGATGGTTGGCGATGATGATGATGACGCTGATGAAGATGTCCGGATGATCTCCGGCTGTCATCATATGTCGCGACCAGTCTCGCCTCAGGGCCTCATCTGATTGAGGACAGGCCAGGGGGATCCATCCTCATTGGCAGACTGGAAGGATGGTGCAGTCAAGGGGGGAAAGTAGCACATCGCAGTTCTGCAGCTCATGTAGGATTCTGATATAAAGCATATTATAAACTGTGTGGTTCAAGCCCTGAATGCTGATTGGCTGAAAGCCATGGTATATCAGACCGTATACCACGAGGTGCCTTATTGCTATTATAAACTGGTTACAAACGTAATTAGAAAATTAAAAAGTATTGTTTTGTCATAGAAAGCTTATTGGCCATATACCACACCCCCCTCAGGCCTTATTGCTTAATTATATCCTCAGAGGCTCAGGGTTTCATTCTAGCCCAACCATGACCTGATTCAGCTAATCAAGGACTTGATGATTAGATGATTAGTAGAATCTTTTGGTGCTGGGTTGGAACAAAGGTTGCTGCGTACTCTGTAAGTCTCGAGGACCAGGGTTGAAGACCACTGGTCCCTTCCCTGACCTATACAATCATCTCTTTGAGATCCTCTGTGACGGAGTGGAACTTCTCAGTAAATGTGTCCGCCATGGCGCTCCCTGGCGCTGGAGACCCTCTCCTTCCAGCCTGTGGCCTCCTCATCATCACTGGTCCCAGGGGGCTCCAGCTCCCCTGGAGCTATAGGACCGACTGGGGTCCTATAGGCCTGCTTCTGGGGGAGTGGGAATGGGACTGAGGGGCAGAGGAAATGCAAGACTTGCTGCTTGGTCCATAGACATCTTTCCTAGTGTCATCCTCCAAATCCTCAGGTACCCTTTTCAATTATTTAACCCAGGGTTTCTCCTATACAAGTAGCTGGAGACTTTAAAAACGTATTATATTCTTGAAATAACATGAAAACATCCACTTACCATATGTAGTAGTAGTAGTAGCCCTACTGAGCTCTATAGCCTAGAAATAAAAGTTCTGGGAACACTGTTTTCTGTTTTGCTTTATTTCAAACATGTTAATCGCGTTCGATCGATTACGTCAACAGAAGTTTGTTTCGATCGGTTGGTACACTGTAAATTGATTGGACAGTTGTTCGGATGTCCGCGAAGGGATGACGATCTAGAAATGATTTACACATTTCAATTTCATCATTTGCGGACACATCTTTCACAAACTTGCACTGCGTTGTAAGACCTCTAGATGGCGACATGCACACACCATTGAGATCGAGGATTAGGCTTTGCAGTGGGTGGCACTCCCAACTATTTCCATTGTCAACATTTATTCGTGGACAACTGTCTGTAAACATTTGTTTTGACCCATAGCACACGCATTGCTTTTCTTTCAGTCTAAGCTTTGTGAGCTCAGTGAGAACATTCGTACATCTCTCACAACGTCAATCGATTCAGGTAGTGTAAGTCGCTCTGGATAAGAGCGTCTGCTAAATGACTAAAATGTAAATGTATAGCAGTATTACATACTCAAACATAATTAAGACATTGAGGCAAAATAATAACCATTGGCCTAAATGTTAAGTGCGTGCATGGCATGCATATGAAGTGTGTGTGTGTGTGTGTGTGAGAAGGGCAGGATCCTAAAAATTATTCTGAATTCCAGTATTAACAGATTTAATTTCCGTTTTTAAGACTTCCCCTCAGCTCCAGTCATGATTCACAGGCAATATTTGCATGCAAGTTTGTAACTATAAATATTTTGCTTAGGATACAGCTTAACAGTCATGCTCTACCCCTGTAGCTCAGTTGGTAGCGCATGGCGCTTGCAACGCCAGGGTTCATTTCCCACGGGGGGCCAGTATGAAGATGTATGCACTCACTAACTGTAAGTCGCTCTGGATAAGAGCATCTGCTAAATGACTAAAATGTAAACAACAATGAAAAACATATGGGAGGGAAAAACATATGAAAAACATATGGGAGGGAAAAACATAGCATTGAGGCTGTTGTAAATGACACTAAAAGTGTAAAAACATAAATAAAAACCAACCAAATTAAATATGAAATTATGATATTTAACTGAGGGTAAGGCACACTTAAATAATAATATAATCTCTTATGTGCACATGGAGTATTTCATATTACAGAACAGAAAATAGTTTAGACAAAGTTCTCAACTTTGGTTACAGTGTTCAACTGAATACCTTCTCCTTTCACCCTATTCATTGTAAGACCCATAATGCAGTTCTTCTCAGTTAAATTGCACCATCTTGTGTGTTGGAATGTCTCATGTCTCTGTGAGTTAAAGGGGTGAACGTCATTTTCGGAGTTTACCGATATGGCCCAGTTCGAACTAGCCTTAGGCTTCTCTTTGCGACACTCCGCAGAGCGAACGTGATCTCGATGTTTGGCTATGCAAGACCATAGAAGTCTATGTGCAACACAAATTTGGTTGACTGTCTAAAAGATCTAAAGATCTATCGACCTCTTTCACGATCCCTGCATCATTTGGAGATTGATCATTCCTCATTTGGAGATCCCCAGGCCGGTCTTCATGTATTCGTAGACCACATAGCTGATGCTCACAGCAGGAATTACTTTCATGAAGTTGGGCAGGATACCCCGGTAGAGTCCAAAGAACCCCTCGTTAGCCAGTATCCCCTTCACTAGGCCACTCATGGTGGACTTGTCTGACGCATCCAGAGTTGCTGTGAAACAGATAATGAAAGAAAGGATGCAGGAGTAAAATAAAAGGTTAGTGTGTGTGTGTTCACACTCACTTCCTCAGGTTTGCATTTAGTTTCTCTCTCATGGAAATCAGGTGATCTCTCTCTTTTATAGAAGCGAAAGAAACGCCCACCTATTTAGGCGAGGTGCTGGCTAATGGAGTAGAACACTTGAAAAAGAAAAGGAGAAGAAGCTCAGATGCAATAATTTAATATCCTAACAACCAACGTTTCGACAGACAAGCTGTCTTCATCAGGGTATATCAGGATCTCTCTCTTTTACCACTGAGAAGAAAATAATAATAATTACATGATTAAGTAGCAGATGGTTTTATTAGTCAAGTATTTATTTCAGTGCTGTCCCATGTTTTTCGGCTTCAATCAATAAAGTAGTAACAGATGCATTTGTATTGTCATTTGTTACCTTGTGCCTGCATGCGTGTACGGAGCAGGGCGAGGGGGTAGCTGGCCAGCTGGCCACACGTGCTTGAGATGGTGCCACAGCCTAACAGCACCAGGATACCAGGGTTGGCTGTGTCTTTGGCATAGCTGGACAACCAGGCATTCTTCAGGCTCTAGGGTACACAAAGACAGGGTGGGGTAATCGACAAGGATCATTTATGGATGTGACTGGCACCACAGGAAATCTGTATTCAGACAGTGGTCACATTAATGTTGTTAGCCTTCCCTCATTTAGAATAGATAAATGCAATTTAGTGGATTCACTAGATTGCATTCTTGAGTCCTGAAAAACTTCCAAGATTATGGATTTCTCTTTTTCAGTAATACATGTTAGTGAACTGTAAATCATTGTGGTACTGTAATGTGGAATGTGAAATAGCATTGACTCAGTGATATAAACCCTCAGTCTACATACCTCGTAAACAGCTAGGTCGATCCCAGCATAGGGAATGATGCCTATCATGTTGGGAGTGTAGCCTTTATAGAAGGCTTTGATGCCCTCTTTCCTCAGAATCTTCTTGGCACAGTCAAACATTCCATTATACTGGCCAGTTTTCCCTAGAGTCAGTCTGGTCTTCATGACCTAAAAAGAGGAAACAGAGCGAGAGAGAAAGAAATAGAGAGGGAACAAGAGAGAGAGAGGGAGGGGGGGGGGGTTGATAAAACATAACAGTGTCTTATCGTGTAAATGCACTGCTTTTCGAGAAGCCAAAATGAATGGTGTGCAATCTAATGTTAGTATCTAGCGGGACGGAAGTTTGAGCCTTTTTACGTTGCTTACTTGTCATGTACTTACATAGTAACAACACAAAGAGTTGCACTCTTGTTTCAACTTTTAAGTTCAAGATACAGTGAGCTCTAAAAGTATTGGGACAGTGACCATTTTTGTTGTTGTATTGGCTCTGTACTCCAGCACTTTGGATTTGAAATGATCCAATGACTATGAGGTTATAAATGACAATCAAAATGCATCTATTACTACTTTATTGATTGAAGCCGAAAAATATGGGACATTAAAAAATCACCTATTTACTGTCAAAGCTCTCCAGCAGCACTGAAATAAATATTTGACTAATTAAACCATCTGCTACTTAATCATGTACATTAAAAAAAATAAAAATGGTCAGCTTTAATTTGAGGGTATTTTCATCCATATCGGGTGAACCGTTTAGAAATTACAGCACGTCTTGTAGATAGTCACCGCCCTTATAGTACTGGGCCAAATGTCACTTCTATGTGTATTAAACTGTAAACTGTAAACTTAACTCAAAAGTTAAGCATTTGGTCCCATATTCCCAGCATGCAATGATTACATCAAGCTTGTGACTCTACAAACTTGTTGGATGCATTTGCAGTTTGTTTTGGTTGGGTTTGAGATGATTTTGTGCCCAATAGAAATGAATGGTAAATAATGTATTGTGTCATTTTGGAGTTACTTTTATTGCATTTAAGAATATAATATTTCTAAACACTTCTACATGAATGTGGATGCTACCATGATTACGGATCATTCTGAATGAATCATGAATAGTGAGAAAGTTACACATGCACAAATATCTTACCCCCCCAAAAATGCTAACTGTTATTGTAATGGTGAGAGTTTAGCATGTCTTGGGGGTATTTACAATTATTATTTACAATAAAAGTGACTCCAAAATGACACAATACATTACATTTAAGTCATTTAGCAGACGCTCTTATCCAGAGCGACTTACAGTTAGTGAATACATATATTTTTTTAAATAATTATTACTTTTTTTTCATACTGGTCCCCCGTGGGAATCGAACCCACAACCCTGGCGTTGCAAACACCATGCTCTATCAACTGAGCTACATCCCTGCCGGCCATTCCCTCCCCTACCCTGGACAACGCTAGGCCAATTGTGCGCCACCCATGAGTCTCCCGGTCGGCTGCGACAGAGCCTGGATTCGAACCAGGATCTCTAGTGGCACAGCTAGCACTGCGATGCAGTGCCTTAGACCACTGCGCCACTCAGGAGACAGGAGACATTATTTACCATTCATTTCTATTGGGCACAAAATAAGCTGAAACACAACCAAAACAAATTTGTAGAGTCACAAGCTTGATGTAGTCATTGCATGCTTTGAATATGGGACCAAATACTTCTGACTACAGTTTAATACACATAGAAGTGAATTTGGCCCAATACTTTAAGTCCCCTAAAAAGTGCTCTAATTTCTAAACGGTCCACCCAATATGGATGAAAATACCCTCACATTAAAGTTGACAGTCTGCACGTTAACCTCATAGTCATTGTGTCATTTCAAATCCAAAGTGCTGGAGTACAGAGCCAGAAATGTGTCACTGTCCCAATACTTATACTTTTGGAGCTCACTGTATATCTGAGAAGTATCATTTCAGGGACATATATCTCTCACCAAGATAAAATGTTTCATGAATGCCACTTGATGAAATTGAACACAGAAGACGGCAATGTCTTTGGAATGTTAATAGAATACTTGATTCAATGAATTCCAGAGACCTGAAAGTGACACTGGTAGGTGGCCTCACCTCCATGGGGTAGATGGACGACTGTGCTGTGGCTCCTGCCAGAGAGCCAGCCATGAACCTCTGGTGGGTCTGGACCTTCCCTCCCTCTGGCGTCAGCAGCTTCTTATACTGATAGGAGAGATACGCCATGAAGACAACACACTGGTGCTTACCTTTTTATTAGTAGAGGAGAGAGTGAAGCGAGGGACGAGAGAGAAAGATGAAAGGGAAGAGAGGAAGAAAAGAGAGAGAGAGAGAGAGAGAGAGAGAGAAGAGAGAGAGAGAAAGGAGAGAGAGAGAGCGAAGAAGAGAGAAGAGAGAGAGAGAGAGAGAGGAAAGAGAGAGAGAGGAGAGAGAGAGAGCGCGAAGAGGAGAGAGAGAGAGAGAGAAGAGAGAGAGAGAGAAGAGAGAGAGAGCGAGAGAGAGAGATAGAGCGAGAGAGAGAGAGGAGAGAGAGAGAGGAGAGGGAGAGAGAGAGAAAGAGAGGAAAGAGAGAGAGGAGAGAGAGAAAGAGAGAGAGAGAAGCGAGAGAGAGAGAGAGAAGAGGAAGAGCAGCGAGAGACGCGCCATAGCTCTCAGATAAGCTATATACGCTAATAGACCTAGACGCACTCTCTCTCTCTCTCTCTCTTCCTCTCTCGCTCTCTCTCTCTCTCTCTGATATAAAACAGTGTCCAACCTGTTCGTAGGCCATGAATTTGATAGCGGTCTCAGGGGCGATCTTTAACACGTTGATTCCATTCCCTCGCCATAGTGAGGCTACGCCCCCTTCCTTAATCATCTGTTTGAATCCTCCCAACAGGGTGATCCGGTTGGACTTGGAGGAGTGGACCTGAAACATAACCACAGGTGTTGTACATTACACGATACTGATGGATAGGTAGCATTCATATAGTGCTTTTCACTATGTCTCAAACACTTTACTTTGTAAGGGGTTGTAGGTCTCAAAAACACTTTACTTTGTAAGCGAAAAACTCAAAACAAAAGGTGTAAGATTTGTGATAAGGGTTATAGTTAGAAGTTAGTATTTGTACTCAACTGACTTGCCTAGTTAAATAAAGGTTAAATACAAATATTAAATACAAAAATAATATAAAGCGGTCTACTTTTGGCCTCCTTAGAGTGGTCAGATTGTGACAACCTTTCCAGTACTCTACCTGCATGAAGACCTTCACCCTGTCCAGGGGGGCGGTGCCTGTGCGGGAGACCGCCCCGGCCATCGCCCCGGCAGCCAGCTGTTTCCACCAGCCCCCCGAGGTCTTCTCCTCCTCAGTGAACTCATCAGGGATGGCAATGCTCTCTCCTATGTCCAGCACCTGGTGAATAAAAAATATTAGCTTGAACAGGTGCCAAACTGCTGGGACAGGAATTCTGAATGATCAATACATTTATTATTGTAATCATTCTTATAGTAAACTTTTCAGTATGTATTTCATGTAAGTATGAAAAATGTATGCACTCACTAACTGTAAGTCGCATCTGATAAATGACTAAAAATGTAAACATGTAAAATGTTGTTCCAACTTCCCATTCTTCATCAGTTAGGCCCATAAGATAACCTTCATGCTATAGTAAGTAATAGATGTGTTCATCACAGTGATAAGGCCTAACCAGACTCCTACCTCCCCAACCAGCAGGCCTATTCTCATACACTGCTGAAACTGTATACCAACGCCTGCTACAGATGTAGTATCTTCATTTGACCAGTTTCGCCAAAGGAGTAACATAATCCTGCAGCAGGACGATTAGAATATTCTCTAAAAAAAGTGATAATTTCTAACAGGAAATGTGTTTTGATAGGCTACAGTAGGCTGCAGTTTAGGTCCATTTTGGATACACTTGAATGTCGTAGTGGAGACCAATATCTATCTTATGTTATTAAGCTATATAAAAACAGCGGTTGTTGATGTGTACGACTGCATTTCAGATACATTTTTGTACCTTTTAATGTCGCAGTAGGAGGACCTACAGTAGTAGGACATTTATTATGTCTGGTGCTTTAGCGTTTGAGCGAGCGAGAGAGAGAACTGTAGCTCAGTTGGTAGAGCATGGCGCTTGCAACGCCAGGGTTGTGGGTTCGATTTCCACGGGGGGCCAGTATGAAAGATGTATGCACTCACTAACTGTAAGTAGCTCTGGATAAGAGTGTCTGCTAAATTACTTAAATGTAAATGTAGAAAGAGAACTGCAGGTGTTCTGTGAATTTATGTAAATCACTAGGCTCATTTGAATTTCCTGCGGCACAGGAACATTCTCAGTAACAGAGTGATCAAATGAAGATACTACATCTGTATCCCACCACAAGCAGTAAGAGTAACACCATTTTAGCAGGTAGTCTCAGCAGTACGTTATGGAAGCGGCTCACTATTTGCTAGAAATAAACTTTGCAAGATAACCCCATTTGAGATAAGCAAAACTGTAAATGTTTCAAATGAAAGTCAAAGTCAAAGTGGAAACAGCATTGTACTCCACACAGTTTGACAGTTAAATGGGTATTGCAAACAGAGATTATTCTAGAACGCCTACATTCACTGTACTGCTTGATCTGCACGCTGCTTTAGGTAATCTGTATCTGATTATTTGAGCACTGTGGTGAGACTATTGGTCAATGCATTCACATCACCTCGGGGCGGCAGGTAGCTTAGTGGTTAAGAGCGTTGTGCCAGTAACCGAAAGGTCGCTGGTTCTAATCCCCGAGCCGACTAAGTGAAAAATCTGTCGATGTGCCCTTGAGCAAGGCACTTAACCCTAATTGCTCATGTAAGTCGCTCTGGATAAGAGCGTCTGCTAAATGAGAAAAAAAATTAAAAAATTAATACGGTCCAAAGACAGACACAAACATTATCACAATCTGAATTATTGATGGCCCTTAATAGATTTCAAATATTGAATAGGAGTTTTTATCCCATATTGTTGCTTATACCCATCAAGTTCACTCATTCCTTCAAGGGATGGATGTCTGTGATTGTCACGTCTGCTCCCCTCCGGCGCTCTGATTCGCCCCGGTCTACTGAACCACTGGTCTGAGCGCACAACCTCAGCAACACCGGAATGGAAACCCAACGCATCTGCACCTCATCATCTCATCACCACCCCTATTTAGCCCTGGACTGTTCTGGATGATGTTGTGTGTGATTGTTCAGCTTCGTGTCGTTTACTCTCTCTTTGTTATTTCTCTTTCTCATTGTTAAGTTAACCTTGACCTTGTTAAGTCCTGCGTCTGCGTCCTGCCTCTTCGTATACTCAGTATTCGTCACAGTGCTTTGTTTGTGTGCACTAGGACTGGGTGACCCACTCACCGTGGAGTGTTTCCAGTAGCGTACGATCTCGTTCAGGTTATGGGCAGGGTTGAACAGGAAGTGATCCCTCCACTCGTTCCAGTCCACCATCATGGTACCATCGATGTCCATGCTGCAGACAAGATATGAGGTCAAAGAGTAGGATAGTAACAGTCCTAGCCTGGTTGCCATGCTGCTTCTGCTTTAGCCAACTTTACTACCTTTGTTGCAGCCCAGCACTAACACTCTGACTCAAAAAATCAATGGTTTTCTGATTAGTTGAATCTAAATGCTTAGAGTAGGGCTGCACGATATGGGCAAATCTTTTTTTCAAATATTTCGATTGCGATTTGATGTGCGATAAAAATCAAAACGCTTGGGTGATCTGTTGGAATAATAGCAATAGAATGACTTCTATTAAGAAGCAAAGTGGAAAGCTGGTTTGGACCATTCGGTTGACTGCATGCGACCCAACAGAGCCGCATGGAAATGTATAGTGAATCGAACAGCGAGGAGGAGGAACTGCACTGCTTGAGTGACATGGGGCAGGGGTTTGTTGTGTGTGGGAAGCAGCCACAAGAGGAGAAAAACATGGAGTAAAAGCGGGCGTTACCCGCGGCTGAGATGCGTTTCAAAATATTGCGATATGGATCTCTTGCGATATGGATCTCTTGCGATATGGATATTGCACATGTCAATTTCGATGTAAATTCAATTAATTGTGCAGACCTAGCTTAGAGTACAAAATGCAAGCAATGTGTGATTTATGAGGACAAACCTTTGTAGGATGGTCTGTGCTTCTTCCTGGGTGATGTCCATGCCCAGCTCTTCAAGGGACTGCTTAATTTCAGAGGCATCGATGTGCCCTGGAGGAAATGATGGAGCCATTTCGATGTTTAGTTTAAGTACATTCTGTAGTTAAATGCTGATGCCTTGTTGTTATAGAACAGTGATATTATTACATTGTTATGAGAATTGTGTCATTCTGACAGGTCTCATCATGTGCTGTTCTTCCCTAAACTATTCAAATAAACTTTACATTTTAAAAATGATAATACCGTCGTTGTTTTTGTCCAAGCTCTTGAACGTAAGGTGCAGTTTCTTCTCATGCTCTTTCAGATATTTGTTGAACTCGTTGAAGTCAAGCCCTCCATCTTTGTTTTTGTCACCGGACGATACAATTTTCTGTGCAGACACAAATGAGAGGGTTATTGTATTTGCCTCACTGTAGTAAGTTTAACCATTCATTGCTTATGAAGCAAGCTACTTTGCAAGGTTACTCATCACACAAGACTCAGGAAACCCTCACGAAGACAGGAACAGTATAACGTTCCTATACTGTGTATTGTTATAGAGTTCATGTAACAGTATGAAAAATGTATGCACTCACTAACTGTAAGTCGCTCTGGATAAGAGTGTCTGCTAAATGACTAAAATGTAAATGTAAATGTAACTGTGGAGCTACAATAGCATGTTGTGCACATGACTGAATGGTAATGAATATTTCATACTGTCTGGAGATGGCTAAGTCAATGGGGTGGGTATGTTCCACTGTAGCTGGTAACACAAACCAATAGATCTGTTTTCATTCCCTGATACTGCGGATGAAGTAGCCTTTTCTCTCCTTCGAACAATGTTGCACTAGTTCTCAGTTTTTACTATTTCTCTGAGAACTAGTGCAACATTGTTCGAAGAGAGAAAAGGCTAGTGATGAAAGTGAGTAACTATTGTGTAGATGTCATATTGATGATGAAACCTACCTGTGTCCCACAAGTTAAACCAGCCCCAGGCCTGTATCCACAAACCATCTCAGAGTAGGAGTGCTGATCTACGATCAGGTCCCCATCTGTCCATTTAGTCGTATTCATTATGATCTAAAAGGCTAAACTAATTCTACACTCTTAGAAAAAAGGGTTTCAAAAGGGTTCTTCGGCTGTCCCTATAGGAGAAACCTTTTCGGTTCCAGGTAAAACCCTTTTTGGTTCTAGGTAGAACCATTTTGAGTTCCATGTAGAACCCTATGTGGAAAAGGTTCTACATGGAACCCAAAACGGTTCTACTTGGAACCAAAAGGGTTCTCCCTGGAATAAACAAGGGTTCTTTAAAGGGTTCTCCTTTTAGGTTCTAGAGAGCACCTTTATTTCTAAGTGTAGATCAGCACTCATACTCTGAGAGATTTTGTGGATACGGGCCCATGCCTGCTCTGATAACCCCAGGCACTGTAACACTAGTGCTTTATCTCTCCTGGATATTACCCGTGACAGGGGAGGAACTGGTTAGAAGGCTAAAGTTGAGAAAGAACAGTACTTAGTTTATATAAAGTACATGCAGGTTTTATGTTCTATTTACAGGAAACATGCATATACTATAGGACAATGCCCTACGTATGGGTGAATGGATGAACAGGCTAAGCGAATGAGAATGGCATATTTTTAGGCATATGCTCATTTAATTGCTACCCATATGTCCCACTAGCCTGGTCCCAGATATGTTTGTGCTTTTGCCTACTCCATTGTCATTGTAAAGCCAATGTTTTGCATGACAATTCCATAAGGAGTTGGTAAGAGAGCAGAAAGCGAACTGGCACCCAAACTAATGTCCCACTCCCAATTGAATCATTGAGTTATGTATAATAAGAATGTAATAGGTTGCTTGGAAATAGAACAGCATGGCTCTGCATTGCATGTACATTTACCTGCGCTGCACCTTTGCGGAATGATATACCCATTGCGGTTAGGCCTGCTCTCAATTCGGCAACATCCACCTTCCCATCCTTGTTGGTGTCCAGTTTATCGAACAGGTCCTGGTATGACCTTTGACTGTCGGGATCCCAGCATCGGGAATCCGTTAGTATAAGTCCTCTTATAACCTGATACATTGTTGCGGTTGGAAAAGCGGCAACAGATAGACAAGGCCCTATGTTTTTCAGAAAGTTGAATACATAGCAATATTGAAAACCGCGGCTTGGGGAAATATAGTCCTTGGTATGCGGTCTATCGTCTTAATCAGTCGGTCGTTGTAATTATCTCCGTAGGCGACAAGGGAAATACCGGTTCACGAAATTTGTGACGACGATCTGACACAGCTCCATACCCCCTGCAAATACTGCTGCATATCCAGTAAATAACCTGAAATCCACTCGTCGAGACTGCAGTCAAATTGAGGGCGGGGCATAATAAGGAATGAGGCAAACAAAGCGAAGGGGGTTGCCCATACTGATCTATGCAAGGAGAGCCCCTGGCTGTGCACTGTACTGTGATAATGACATTTTCTGTCATTTTCTGTTGAAACATGTACAGTGCCTTCAGAAAGTATTCACACCCCTGGACTTTTTCCAAATGTTGTTGTGTTACAAAGTGGGATTGAAATGATTTAATTGTCGTTTTTTGTCAACGATCTACACAAAGTAGTCTGTCAAAGTAAAAAAAAAGAGGATTTATTTTATTTTATATATATATATATATATATATATATATATATATATATATACATTAATTGAAAATAAAACACTAATATATCTTGATTAGATACAGTGCCTTCACACCCCTTGACTTTTTCCACATGTTGTTGTGTTACAGCCTGAATTGAAAATAGATTAAATTGTGATTTTGTTTGTCACTGGCCTACACACAATACCCCATAATGTCAAAGTGGAATTATGTTTTTTGAAATGTATACAAATTAATAAAAAATGAAAAGCTGAAATGTCTTGGGTAAATAAATATTCAACCCCTTTGTTATGGCAAGCCTAAATAAGTTCAGGAGTAAAAATGTGCTTAACAAGTAGCATATTACGTTGCATGGGCTCACTCTGTGTGCAATAATAGTGTTTAACATGATATTTGAATGACTACTGTAAGGTCCCTCAGTCGAGCAGTGAATTTCAAACACAGATTCATCCACAAAGATATTTTAGTAATTTAGCAGACGCTCTTATCCAGAGCAATTAGGGTTAAGTGCCAAGGGCACATCGACAGATTTTTCGCCTAGTCGGCTCGGTGATTAGAACCAGCGACCTTTCGGTTACTGGCACAACGCGCTTAACCACTAAGCTACCTGCTTCCCCAGGGAGGTTTTCCAATATCTCGCAAAGGGCACCTATTGGTAGGGGGTAAATACATTTAAAAAAGCAGACTTTTAATATAATATGCCATTTAGCTGACGCTTTTATCCAAAGCGATTTACAGTCATGTGTGCATACATTTTTACGTATGGGTGGTCCCGAACCCACTACCCTGGCATTACAAGCGCCATGCTCTACCAATTGAGCTACAGAGGACCACACTATCCCTTTGAGCATGGTGCAGTTATTAATTACACTTTGGATGGTGTATCAATACACCCAGTTGTACCAAAGATACTGGTAACTAACCCCATTTCATCTGTGGTTGTACTGTCAGAAAGGCCTTATTCTTCCAAATCAAAGAACATATACACTGAGTGCACAAAACATTAGGAACAAAATCCTTCTTTAACCCGTCTCCTCCCTTCATCTACACTGATTGAAGTGGATTTAACAGACACCAATAAGGGATCATAGCTTTCACATGGTTTCACCTGTCAGTCATGGAAGGAGCAGGTGTTCCAAATGTTTTGTACACTCAGTGTATTTAATGATTTGTAAAAACTGAAAAATAGAGACTGTGGCTTTTTCAGCTGTTTATGAATTATAATAACTTACCTCTACAAGATATGAAACACCACGGAGAGTTGTTACCACATCGACGATGATACATGATTTCTGTGCATGACACGCATAGATGTTTACATCAGCTATAATAAGCCTTTGTGGATATTCATTCAGGAGCGACAGCTGCGAAGGGGGTTGGGATGGAAGGTGGAAACAATGTATTATATAATGCATATGCAATGTGATTGTGCAGTTACTACCATAAAAAAAACTACCACACTATGAAGAAGAAAAAATCAAGGGACATACTAAATGTATAGATAGCCTACAGTTCATTCATGATGTAGGCAATTATAGCCTAATCTCATCATACATTTTTAAAATCTGAAATCAGTGTTAAAATGGTCCATTTGAAAGCAACTGGCCATCCTTTGTTTCAGTACTGGGCTACTTGTTGTTTTGTTACTATTTTGTTACAACGTATCTAAGGAATATCCATCAGAAAGCATATATTGCTATCATTGGTCGAATGAAAAGAGATGCAGCATTTACGCCAATCGGAATTGAAGGCGGTGTAAGCGTTTCCTCCTCCATACAAATTGAGAATTTCCTTCAACGTCACTTACATTATGGGTTATGGCCAATGGTTATAGCCAGTAACAACTATGTGTTTCTAGGTACGTGGGCGTATAGTATTTGAACTCACCGACAAATGCTAGCAAACTGAGCTGTCACAGTCAGTCTGTTTCTTTTACGCCTGCTATGTTAGGGTACAGTCAGTGGCAAGTGTGGAAGAAGTCACAGTCAAGAGACTCAAGAAGCTTGAGCTGTGGCTAGCGACCCAACGTACATTATTTACCACAGTTTTCACTAGCTAGCTAGCCTAGTTATCTACTTTAACTAGTTAGGTTAACAATGTCGTTCATTATGATGAAGAAAAATAAATTCAAATTTAAGGTAGATTTCGAGTTGGACGAACTCTCTTCTGTTCCCTTTGTCAACGGGGTCTTGTTCTGCAAAGTACGGCTCCAAGACGGTGGCTTTACTGAAGAGTCATCTCGGTAAGAAACTGCCCTTTCTATTGAATTTAGCTAGCTTACGTTAACAGTTACGTTAAGCAACTCACGGAGACAGGTGCGACTCGATCGACGTTAGTTTACTGGCAGTGAGTGGCATTGATCAGTTAGCTAACATTAGCGAGCTAGCTAGTTCCCGCACACTCAAGAAACCAGTGTGAATATGAATGATGTGATTGAATAATGTGTGTTGCTAACAATATCTAATTTAATCAGTTATAGAATATGTAGTATTCACAATTGTATGTTGTTTTTACCTCTATTTCTTATTTTAGTATAGTTACCATGGTAGTTCATCTGTCATCTTGTTTTGACTGATGGTGATGCTGCTTGTCTGATTGATTGTTCTAACTGACACATCAAAACACCACCTGTCATGAAGCCAACTGTCAAATCAAACATTCCATGGCTGGACATGTGAGGCTTGCTTAATCGATGATATCTGCCATTGTATGTACCTTAAAACGTCTGGAAACTGAAGGTCACTAGATTTCCACTCTGAAATGCCAAGGAAATTTGATTTATTTATTACATTTTAGTAATTTAGCAGACACTCTTATCCAGAGCGACTTACAGTTAGTGCATACATTTTCATACTTTCTCCGCATTGTTCCCCGGTGGGAACCGAACTAACAACCCTGCCGTTGCAAGCGTCATGCACTACCAACTGAGCCACACAGGACCTAAAGAGAGGTAATTTAACAGCTCTAATGGTTCCTTGTGGTATTTTAGGAGATGGCTCATGTTAACCCACTCAACTGCACGAGCAGGACTGTACTTAAATGAGTCACTCTGGAAAGTTGTGGACACACATCTGGAGCACATGCCAGCTCCTAACGTCGACTCGGTTGGCATTCCCCGAGTGACTTTGCCATGGCAACCGCCTGCATTTCTCCAATGATGTAAACATACCATAGAAAAAATAATAAATAGAATGGGCGTCCCCATTCAAGTCAATGGTGGCATAATGGGTGGACTGGCGGCCATTGCGAGTGTACCTATTCATGGGTGACAATGTCACGAAAATGATGTGCGTGCTTCCATGGGGCAGAAGTAAGCCTGTTGTGATTCTGGATGGCCAGATTGCTAGCAAGAATGACAAGAAACTGGCATGTAGGGAACTGCAAGTGGCTCGTTTTCAGCATGTTTCATCTTGTTATTGATACCATGTCTTGTTTTGAGGTGTTTTGAATGATTTCATGTCAATGCTAATATGGCTAAAATTCGTTAGCTAGCTAACCAACAACTGTAACTATGTATTTGAGAGACAACAAGTGGTCATTGTGCACATTATTTATGTTTTCAATAAACATTGGAGACGAAATATAGCTTACATGTCAACAATCTAAACCAACCTCATCTGTTTTGCCCCATGGTTGCAACTGTGTCGTTTTTGTTGCTAAACAACCAACCCATCTATAGGAGCAAAGCAGGAAGTAAAAGCAAGAATTGTACCCATTAATCTGTGCTGTGATTTGTTGAATCAACTTAAAGTGGAACTGACAGCGTTTTAACTACTTTGTAGATATGAAACAAACAGACAATCATAAAAAAATATCAAATTCCCAGTTTAAGATACTAAACCAATTTTATAAGAGGTTTTAAAAATAGGTTATTTTTGACTCAACATTCCATGACGTACACTAAGGTATTGTTGGCAGAATAGATGGATGCAGTTCAATGCATGATTAATATAATTCACCAATACATTTCTTGGTAGTCCCAAAAATATTGCTATAAGGTTGTAAATCACAGCTGGCCTGGTACATTGTTTGCTGCCTCCATTCGGGATGCACTGTTTCAGTTTCAATTACTTAATATTTTGGACAAAAACGGATGTAACTAAGGCTGGGAATGTCAATACAATCAAACTAACAAGGACAATGATCACAAGTCAGTCATAACGCAAGCTAAAAACACAGAGCCTAACGTTAGCTAGATAGGTAGCTAGCTACCTGCTAGGAGGATGTCATGTCATGCTTTTGGAGGAGTGGGTGGGTGACTGACTTTTTCCCCTCATATCGTTTTTCGGTGGCTATACATAGCTAGAGATGCAAGTGTCATTTGGTTAGCTAGCAAGAACTTGAACGACTGTTATCCAGTTAGCATATCTCTTGCGTTCGCAAATTCACTCTGGCTATCTACTCTGATTTCAGAGCACTCTCTTCTGAGTGTGCCAGAGTGCAGATGAATTTACGAACATGCAACACCCGCTGAATATGACCATTGTCAGTAAACTAGGGCTGTCCCCGACTAAATCGATTGGTCTACATTTTTTAAGTGTATTTTTCCATATATTTTAATAAAATCAACTATATGTATTGAGCTTGTCTGACCCTTTAAGCTTACTGTTTGCTTAAATAACTCCTTCAAGACTGTTGGAAAAGCATTCCCCATGAAGCTGGTTGAGAGAATGCCAAGAGTGTGCAAAGCTGTCATCAAGGCAAAGGGTGGCTATTTGAAGAATCTCAAATATAAAATATATTTTTGATTTGTTTAACACTTTTTTGGTTACTACATGATTCCATACATGTTATTTCATAGTTTTGATGTCTTCACTATTATTCTACAATGTAGAAAATAGTACAAATAAAGAAAAATCCTTGAATCAGTAGGTGTGTCCAAACTTTTGACTGGTACTGTATATCTCTCTATTATACTGTATGTAGTAATACGTTGGAACAGATTTCCAAACTTAAAATCACTTGGAGCTGATTTGCTGGTGTTTTTACTGTATAAATTTTTTTGCTCAGAACTTGGGGGGCCAAATAAAATAATCAGCGGGCTGCCAGTTGGGGAACCCTGGAGTAAGCTACACTATATATAGGAAAGTATGTGGACATCCCTTACAATTAGTGGATTCGGCTATTTCAGCCCCACCTGTTGCTTACAGGTGTATAAAATCGAGCACACCGCCATGCAATCTCCATAGACAAACATTGGCAGTAGTATGGCCTTACTGAAGAGCTCAGTGACTTTCAACGTGGCACCATCATAGGAGGCCACCTTTCCAACAAGTCAGTTCGTCAAATTTCTGCCCTGCTAGAGCTGCCCGGTCACCTGTAAGTGCTGTTATTGTGATGTGGAAATGTCTAGGAGCAACAACGGCTCAGCCGCTAAGTGGTAGGCTACACAAGCTCACAGAACGGGACCGCTGAGTGCTGAAGCGTGTAAAAAATCGTCTGTCCTCGGTTGCAACACTCACTACCGAGTTCCAAACTGCCTCTGGAAGCAACGTCAGCACAAGAACTGTTCGTCAGGAGCTTCATGAAATGGGTTTCCATGGCCGAGCAGTTGCACAGAAGCCTAAGATCACCATCCGCAATGCCAAGCACCGGCTGGAGTGGTGTAAAGCTCACCACCATTGGAGCAGTGGAAACGCGCACACGCACACGCACACACACACACACACACACACACACACACACACACAGGCCATTAGCCTCTTTTGAGTCATTGAATGTGTGATTGAGCTGAAAGAACGGAAGAAGCAGCATTGTAAGTGATATGTGATTATTTCAAATTATTTTTGCTAGAGTACCTATCTGCTTTGGTTGACAGCTGAGACCTGCTTTTACCTCTCCTGCTCCCCAGTTGAGAATTATCAACTATATGTTTGTCACCTGCATTAAGGCTGAAACACCATACATCCCTTGTTCTAAAGAGCCAATGCATAGTGTTCTTCAGCACCATCGTATTTCAGAATCTGTCATTCCCATACTTAGAGCATGGGAGAGTTTGTGTTCTTCTACCTTGAGGGCATTTATGTTCTTTGACGCAACTGTCACACCCATTAATGAGAACAGCACACAGGATCTTGTCATTAACTGTGGCGTCTTTATTGACATAGATTTATCTTAGCCATGAGTCAGATCTAGGGATTAATGTGTAGTGTAGCTAAACATTCCAATCAACTCTGTGTGTATGTGTGCGTGCGTGTGTGTTATCAGGATTGGACTTAATTCAAACTGAAGGCAGTCAATTCAGGAAGTAAACTAAAATTAGAAGCTATTTATTTGAAACGTTTTGTCTATACATGATCTGTGTGTTTTCAGTCTTTGGGTTATATTGCTATAAGTTATGTATGTGTGTATTCTCCAGGGAGCAGGTCCAGGCTAACTGTGTGCGCTGGAGGAAGAGGTTCTCCTTCCTGTGTAAGATGAGTGCCAACGCTCGGACAGGAGTACTGGACCCCTGTGTGTGCCGGGTGTCTGTGCGCAAGGTACAGGACTCACTACAGCAACGCTGTCAAAGCTATGAAAGCTATGTCAAGTTTAACTGCCTACAAGAATAGGTAAACTACTACATATAGGTCTATTACTACTACTGTAGATTCCAGAACAGTCTACTAATAGGTCTACCACTACTACTGTAGATTCTAGAACAGTCTACTACTACTACTACTACTGTAGATTCTAGAACAGTCTACTAATAGGTCTACCACTACTACTGTAGATACTAGAACAGTCTACTAATAGGTCTACCACTACTACTGTAAATTCTAGAACAGTCTACTAATAGGTCTACCACTACTACTGTAGATTCTAGAACAGTCTACTAATAGGTCTACCACTACTACTGTAGATTCTAGAACAGTCTACTAATAGGTCTACCACTACTACTGTAGATTATAGAACTGTCTACTAATAGGTCTACTATTACTACTGTAGATTCTAGAACAGTCTACTAATAGGTCTACCACTACTACTGTAGATCCCAGAACAGTCTACTAATAGGTCTACCACTACTACTGTGGATTCTAGAACAGTCTACTAATAGGTCTACCACTACTACTGTAGATTATTGAACAGTCTACTAATAGGTCTACTACTACTACTGTAGATTCTAGAACAGTCTACTACTACTACTGTAGATTCTAGAACAGTCTACTAATAGGTCTACCACTACTACTGTAGATTCTAGAACAGTCTACTAATAGGTCTACTACTACTACTGTAGATTCTAGAACAGTCTACTAATAGGTCTACTACTACTACTGTAGATTCTAGAACAGTCTACTAATAGGTCTACTACTACTACTGTAGATTCTAGAACAGTCTACTAATAGGTCTACCACTACTACTGTAGATTCTAGAACAGTCTACTAATAGGTCTACCACTACTACTGTAGATCCCAGAACAGTCTACTAATAGGTCTACCACTACTACTGTGGATTCTAGAACAGTCTACTAATAGGTCTACCACTATTACTGTAGATTCTAGAACAGTCTACTAATAGGTCTACTACTACTACTGTAGATTCTAGAACAGTCTACTAATAGGTCTACTACTACTACTACTGTAGATTCTAGAACAGTCTACTAATAGGTCTACTACAGGATATGTTAATCACTGACACCTTTACCGCAAGTCGCAAGTGTGTTTTGACAAAAGTGTAGCTGTAGCTTAGTTGTTGTTACACACAAAGATAGTCATATTGGATTGATAACTACTTTTCCCTTATCTGTTATTAGGAAATGAAGGGTGGAAAGACCTTTGCAAAGGTAATATTTTGCTTTTGAATTCATAGTCACTAACCACGTTTCCATCCACAGTTTTTATGCAAGTAAAGTCATACTGTATAAAAAGAGCTGTGATGAGAACAACAACTTTCACGCAGTCAGTTTGGTGGAAACACACCACTGGTGAGAAAATGCACATATTTTCTTAATGCAGATTTTTGAATGTTCGCATGTAAATCTGTCGCCAATTGGATGGAAACCTAGCTAGTGACAAATCAAATCAAATGTTATTTGTCACATGGGCCAAATATAACAGGTGTAGACCTTACCGTAAAATGCTTACTTACAAGCCCTTAACCAACAATGCAGTTCAAGAAATAGAGTTAAGAAAATATTTACTAAATAAACTAAAGTAAAAAATAAAATAAAAAATAACACTATAAAATTACAGAACAATAACGAGGCTATATACAGGGGGTACCGATACGGAGTCAATGTGCGCGGGTACAGGTTAGTCGAGGTAATTTGTACATGTAGGTAGGGATAAAGTGACTATACATAGATAATAAACAGGGTCAATGTAAATAGTCCGGTTGGCCATTTGATTAATTGTTCAGCAGTCTTATGGCTTGGGGATAGAAGCTGTTAAGGAGCCTTTTGGACCTAGACTTGGCGTTCCGGTACTGCTTGCCGTGCGGTAGCAGAGAGAACAGTCTATGACTTGGGTGACTGGAGTCTTTGACTATTTTTTGGGCCTTCCTCTGACACCGCCTAGTATATAGGTCCTGGATGGCAAGAAGCTTGGCCCCAGTGATGTACTGGGCCGTACGCACTACCCTCTGTAGCACCTTACGGTCGAATGCCGAGCAGTTGCCATACCAGGCGGTGATGCAACCGGTCAGGATCTGAGGATCTGGGGACCCATGCCAAATCTTTTAATTCTCCTGAGGGAAGAGGTGTTGTCGTGCCCTCTTCACTACTGCCTTGGTGTGTTTGGCCCATGATAGTTTGTTGGTGATGTGGACACCATGGAACTTGAAACTCTCGACCCGCTCCACTACAGCCCCGTCGATGTTAATGGGGGCCTGTTCGGCCCTCCTTTTCCTGTAGTCCACGATTATCTCCTTTGTCTTGCTCACATTGAGGGAGAGGTTGTTGTCCTGACGCCACACTGCCAGGTCTCTGACCTCCTCCCTATAGGCTGTCTCATCGTCGGCGGTGATCAGGCCTACCACTGATGTGTCGTCAGCAAACTTAATGATGGTGTTGGAGTCGTGCTTGGCCACGCAGTCATGGGTGAACAGGGAGTACAGGAGGGGACTAAGTACACACCCCTGAGGGGCCAACGTGTTGAGGATCAGCGTGGCAGATGTGTTGTTGCCTACCCTTACAACCTGGGGGCGGCCCGTCAGGAAGTCCAGGATCCAGTTGCAGAGGGAGGTGTTTAGACCCAGGGTCCTTAGCTTAGTGATGAGCTTTGTGGGCACTATGGTGTTGAGCACTGAGCTGTAGTCAATGAACAGCATTCTCACATAGGTGTTCCTTTTGTCCAGGTGGGAAAGGGCAGTGAGGACTGCGATTGAGATTGCGTCATCTGTGGATCTGTTGGGGCGGTATGCGAATTGGAGTGGGTCTAGGGTTTCCGGGATGATGGTGTTGATGTGAGCCATGACCAGCCTTTCAAAGCACTTCATGGCTACCGATGTGAGTGCTATCACTAAAGAATGAAGTCACTAGTACCGCATGACTCATTCTTAAAAGGGAAATACTTCCTCGTTTTTGCCCATTACAATAGCTTCTTATGTTTGTGATTGTTATCAGCAGGCTCTGGGTCTACTGCTACAACAGAGTGCTCTGTATTAGAACTCTATGGAACTGAAGCTCTGTTGCCAAGCTGTTTCCATAAACCTGAACATATCTGTTCTCTCCTCTGTAGCTGGGTTTTGCAGACCTGAACCTGTCAGAGTTTGCTGGCTCTGGCAGCACCACGCGGCGATGTCTACTAGAGGGTTACGACACCAAGAACACCAGACAGGACAACTCCATACTCAAGGTACAGTTCACGGTTAGACAGGCCTCCAGAACATTCACGCCATTCCACAACTCCCTTCAGGAAGCTACAGTATGGGACAGTCTGTCCTACTACTCTAGAATGGGTTGCCCTGCCTGTCTACACCGGGACCACTGATCTGAAAGGACTGGATAGGTGAACATCCAAAGAAATACACTGACTAGCCTATACACCTTCAGCTATCCAGCCTGTTACTAATGAGTGGTCATGAGGAAAAGGACAGAAAGGGAACCGCGTGAGTGATAGCCAAGTATTGGCACACATTGGGAGAAAGCGAATGCTCGGTTGTCACCATATGTTTACTAGTGTGTATGTCTAATCAGTCAGTAACTAGGGATGTAATATCACTCAGGACAGTTCAGGATGAGGTATCCTAATGATGCAACTGCTCTGACATGTACATGAAGACAGGCAGGTCTGAGCCTGTAATATAGGAGAAGCACCTGTGACACTGGGAATGGGTGTTGTACATTCTTCGGGTAGAAGTTGCACTTAGACACAGGTCTAGGATCAGCTTACCTACCCTAAATACTAACCTGAAACGGTAAAGGGGAAAAGGCGAAACTGACCTTAGATCAGTGTCAAGGGGCGACTTCATCCTATCTCATAGGGCCTGTGGATGTGTATGATCCCTGCTGACATGGGTTTTTTGTCACCTCTGTCACAGGTTGTCATCAGCACACAGCTCATGTCTGGGGACCCCTGCTTTAAAACGTAAGTGCACCTTCTTTCATGGCCCTTTTCATTCAATCCTTTCGGTGGGTTACATCACAAAAAACTTTTGGAACTCCACTGATTTTGGATCAATGCTACAAATGCAGGATTAGCATTGTAGAAATGAATGCAGGTTTGGCTAATTAATCAGTATAGGTAGGTAGGAAACATTGACGTGATAGAAAGACAGACTGACAGACAGACAGAAGTCTGCAGCACAGACACATAGAGGAAACCCCCTACGCATTAAGCTTCCTGTCTCTGAGTACATGAAAGAAACTATTGAGTCACAGAAACACGGGGCTAACTGCCGTCCCGTAAATCGCTTTGGATTAAAGCGTCTGCTAAATGGCATAGGTCACTCTCTATTTGGAAAGTCCCATGTAGATCTACAAATGGTCATACTATCATGATATATATATTATTATTATATTATTATTTAAAATGTTATGGTTATTTTGTGAAACTTGTGTGCCACATCAATTATTTGAAGTCAAATATAGTGGACTCAATCTAACCAACTTCTGCCATTGAACATGAATAGCGACAGTTCTATTGTTTAGATATGCAGCGGTGGTTATACGATAACTTCCCCACAGATTCTGTCTGGTCTCTGTTGATAGAAACAACTGATTTGAGATCAGCTCAGCCCTGAATGAAAACATTCTGAGCTAAACGCCACAGTGGGCCCAGGACCAGTAGTCAAAAAGAGCATGACGTTCCCACACACTCCTGCCAGTGTTGAGAACATGTGTGTTTGGATGGCCACACCTTTACTGTGAACACACACACACACACACACACACACACACACACACATACACAAAGACTCTGTCTGAATCACACACTTGCTATTACACCACACCTTTACTGAACTCACTCCGTTCCTCGAACACGGACAGTCTATCTAATGTCTGAATTACACAGTGGATGCAATATGCTGTAGCCGTTATAGAAAATGTATAGAGCCTTTATAGAGCTGTTATAGAGCTGTTATAAAGCCTTATAGAGCTGTTATAGAGCCTTTATAGAGCTGTTATAGAGCCTTATAGAGCCTTTATAGAGCTGTTATAGAGCATTTATAGAGCCTTTATAGAGCATTTATAGAGCCTTTATAGAGCCGTTATAGAGCATTTATAGAGCCTTTATAGAACCTCTATAGAGCCTTTATAGAGCCTCTATAGAGCCTTTATAGAGCATTTATAGAGCCGTTATAGAGCCTTATAGAGCTGTTATAGAGCCTTTATATAGCCGTTATAGAGCATTTATAGCTGTTATAGAGCCTTTATAGAGCCTTATAGAGCCTTTATAGAGCCTTATAGAGCTGTTATAGAGCCGTTATAGAGCATTTATAGAGCCTTTATAGAGCCTTTATAGAGCTGTTATAGAGCATTTATAGAGCCGTTATAGAGATGTTATAGAGCTGTTATAGAGCATTTATAGAGCATTTATAGAGCTTATAGAACTGTTATAGAGCATTTATAGAGCCGTTATAGAGCTGTTATAGAGCATTTATAGAGCTGTTATAGAGCTGTTATATAGCCTTATAGAGCCTTTATAGAGCTGTTATAGGGCCTTGTAGAGCATTTATAGTCTGTTTGTGGTGGACAATAAAAACCCTATGTGTCTGAGAGTGGGGTAACTGAGTGCGCTGAGTCACTGAGGAAGACAAGCCAGAGAAGCAAACAGACAGACTCAGGACATTGTACTCAGTAGAATTGAGCCTGGTATCATTTTACTATAGAGGAGGAAGGGGGTGGAAATGGATCCTAATATACTGCTGGGATCTAGATGCCAGTAAAAAGGATTCAGAATCAGTCCCCACCTACACAGTGAATGTTGAGTTGGTTAGTGTGGGAGGGTTGCCTTGGCTGAGACCTCTGATAACACAGTGGACTGGAGAGATTCCAGGAGAACACTTTCATGCAATCATAAAGTGCCAGAGTGTCTCTGAGTACTCCTGTGTGTGTGTGTGTGTGTGTGTGTGTGTGTGTGTGTGTGTGTGTGTGTGTGTGTGTGTGTGTGTGTGTGTGTGTGTGTGTGTGTGTGTGTGTGTGTGTGTGTGTATTGTCTGATGTGTGTGTCTTTTACTGAGCTGTCCTACAGAATGTGACTCACACACAGCGTGTGCGTTGGACGTATTGTCAGAGCTCTGTGGAAAGAAAGCCCAGGCTTTATCGTGAGACCAGAAGCCACTCCAAAACTACTGATGTCACACCCAGAGCTCCTCACATTCAACACATAATGTCACTCTCGCTTTCTCTCCTACTGTAGCTCTCTTTAACTTTCTCTCTCCCCCCTCTCTGTATCTCTCTCTTTAACTTTCTCTCTCCCCCTCTCTGTATCTCTCTCTTTAACTTTCTCTCTCCCCCTCTCTGTATCTCTCTCTTTAACTTTCTCTCTCCCCCCTCTCTGTATCTCCTCTCTTTAACTTCTCCTCTCTCTCTCTCTCTCCCCCCTCTCTTTTCTCTTTAACTTTCTCTCTCCCCCCTCTCTTCCTTCTTTAACTTTCTCCCCCCTCTCTGTATCTCTCTCTTAACTTTCTCTCTCCCCCCTCTCTGTATCTCTGTCGTTAACTTTCTCTCTCCCCCCTCTCTGTATCTCTCTCTTTAACTTTCTCTCTCCCCCCTCTCTGTATCTCTCTCTTTAACTTTCTCTCTCCCCCCTCTCTGTATCTCTCTCTTTAACTTTCTCTCTCCCCCCTTGCCCTAACTCTCCCCCCTCTCTGTATCTATCTCTTTACTTTCTCTCTCCCCCCTCTCTGTATCTCTCTCTTTAACTTTCTCTCCCCCCCTTATCTCTCTCTGTAACTTTCTCTCTCCCTCTCTGTCGTTAACTTTCTCTCTCCCCCTCTCATCTCTCTCTTTAACTCTCCTCTCCCCCCTCTCTGTATCTCTGTCGTTAACTTTCTCTCTCCCCCCTCTTGTATCTCTCTCTTTAACTTTCTCTCTCCCCCTCTCTGTATCTCTCTCTTAACTTTCTCTCTCTCCTCCTTATCTCTCTCTACTTCTCTCTCTCTCTGTATCTCTCGTTAACTTCTCTCTCCCCCCTCTCTGTATATCTCTCTTTAATTTCTCTCTCCTCTCCTCCCTTTCCTCTCCCCCTCTCTGTATCTCTCTCTTTAACTTTCTCTCTCCCCCCCTCTCTGTATCTCTCTCTTTAACTTTCTCTCTCCCCCTCTCTGTATCTCTCTCTTTAACTTTCTCTCTCCCCCCTCTCTGTATCTCTCTCTTTAACTTTCTCTCTCTCCCCCCTCTCTGTATCTCTGTCGTTAACTTTCTCTCTCCCCCCCTCTGTATCTCTCTTAACTTTCTATTCCCACCTCGCTATATCTCTCTCAACTTCTTCTCTGTCCCCCTCTCGTATCTCTCTCTTTAACTTTCTCTGTCTCTGTATCTCTCCTCTTACCCCTCTCTTCGTATCTTCTCTTTAAACTTTTCTTCTCCTCCCCTCTCATCTTATTCTCTTCTTAACTTTCTCTCTCCTCTTAGTATCTCCCTCTCTTTACTTCTCTCCTCCTCTCTGTATTCTCCTTTAACTTTCTCTCCCCCCTCTCTGTATCTCTGTCTTAACTTTCTCCTCCCCCCCTCCTTCTGTATACTTCCTCTTTAACTTATCTCTCCCCCCGCTCTGTATCTGTCTTAACTTTCTCTCTCACCCCTCTCTGATATCTCTCTCTTTAAACTTTCTCTCTCCCCCACTCTCTGTATCTCTCTCTTAACTTTCCTCTCCCCCCTCTCTGTATCTCTGCTAACTTACTCTAACTTTTCCCCTCTTCTCTCCCCCCTCTCTGTTTTATCTCGTTCTTCTTAACTTCTCTCTCCCCCCCTCTCCTGTGTATCTCTCTCTTAACTTTTCTAACCGGGGTTTGGGGGGGGTTTTTTTTTTTTTGGGGGGGGGGGGGGGGGGGGCCCAAACGGGTTTTCCCCGAGGGGGGAGGGGGTGGAAAAGGGGGGGAGGGGGAAAAAAAAAGGGGCGGAAAAAAAAGGGGGGGGGGGGAAAAGGCCCCCCAGAGCCCCGGGGGGGGAAAAAAAAAAAAAAACGAAAAAAAACGGGGGGGGGAAAAAACCCCCCCCCCCCCAAAAAAAAAGAAACCAAAAGGGGGGGGGGCCAAAAAAAAAAAGGGGGGGGAAAAAAAAAAAGGGGGCCCAAAAAAACCCCCCGGGGGGGGGGGGGAAAAAACCCCCGGGGGGGCCCCCCCCCCCCCCGGGGGGCCAAAAACCCCCAAAGGGGGGGGGGGGGGTTCCCCCTTTTGGGGGGTTTTTTTTCCCCCCCGGGCGCTTAAAGGCCTTTCCCGGGTTCTTTTCCCCCCGGACTTTTACTTTTTTTTCCCCCCCGGGTTTTTTTTTTCGATTTTCCCTTGGGGGGGGAGGGGTTGGGTTTCAAAAATTTAACCCAGAATTTTTTTTCCCAGAAAGGGGGTTTGTTTTTTTAGGGTTCTTTTTTTCCCCCCCCCTTAGAAGTTTTAGGGGCAAAGAAACCCCCGACTTGGCCTTAACTTAACCCTTTTTTTTGGTTTTTTTAACCCCGACGAAAGGTCTTTTAAAATTTTTTAACGGTTTAAGCTTTAAAATTTTGGCTTTTCTATGTTATGGGGATTCAAACTACCCCTAACGGGTTTTTCCCAAACTTTCTCTATCCCCCCCTTTAAAAGGGGTTTTTTAACCCCTTTTCCCCTTTTTTTATCGGCTTTTGGGGTTTTTTCTCCCCATCGTTTCTTTTTTGCCTTCCCCCCCATCATATCTCTCTTTATAAACTCCTTTTCCCCCTTTTCTCTTTTAAATTTTCCCCTCTTCTTGTATTTTAACTTTCCCCCTTCTGTATCTTTAAATTTTCCCTAATTTTACTCCCCTTTTATTTTATTTTTTCTTCCCCCCCTCTTTACCTTTTTTAAATTTTTTCCCCCCTCTATTTGGGGAAATTTCTGGACCCTTTGGGGCCGGGGGGGGGGGGAGGGGCCCTTTTTTTTCCCCCCCGGATCTTCTTTAATTTCTTAAACCCCCCCCTGTTTTTTAAAAATTCCCCCTCGTTTTTAAAAATTTGTTCCGACCCCCCGATATGGTTTTAACCCCTTTCTTCCCCCTTTTTCTCTCTCCTTACTCTCCTCTAACTTCCGTTTTTTAAATTCTTCCCCCCCCCTTTATTCTCTTTTAAATTTCCTCCCCCCAATTTTTCTTTGTAACTTTCTCCCCCCTCTGTATTCTTTGGGCTTTTCCCCCCCCTCGGGATTCTTTTAATTTTCCCCCCCTCCCTTTTCTCTTTAAATTATCTTCCCCCATTCTCTTCCCCTTTTTGCCCCCTTACTTTTTATTTTCTTTTCTAATCCCCTTCTTTCCCCCCCCTCTTTAAATTTTCCTTAATTTTCTCTCTCCCCTTTATTTTATCTTTTAAAATTTTTCACCCTCTTATTTTCCCCTTTTAACATTTTAAACCCTTTGTTTCTCTCTGAATTTTAATCTCTTATTTTCCCCCTTTTACCTCTTAAGGGGGCCCCCCCCCCCCCCCTTTTTAAAAACCCCCCGGGGGGCGGGGGGGGGGGGGGGGGGGGGGGGGGGGGGGGGGGGGGGGGGGGGGGGGAAAAAGGGGGAAAAAGGGGGGCCCCCGGGGGAAAAAAAAAAAGGGGGGGGGCGGGGGAAAGGGGGGAAAGAGGGGGGTCAAAGATAAGGGTCTATTTAACATCGTCCTTGTTTTTTACTTTTTCTTGTTCCTTTTAAAATCTCGGTTTCCTTTTAAGAAATTTCTTTGTTCCCCTGTAAAATGGGCCCTTTTCCGTTTTTCCCCCTTTTTCCTTTTTAATTTTTCTTTTTTCGTCTTCGTTCAATTCCCCTTTCGTTTTTTTAAAATTTCTTTTTGGGGCTTGTTATCCTTTTTCTTTCTTGTTCCCCTCTCTTTAACTTTCTCTCCCCCTCCCCTCCTGTTCTCTCTTTTTTAAAAATCTCTCTTTCTTTCCCCCCTCTGTTCTTCTCTTCTTTTCCCTTTTCCCCTTATTTTCTCCCCCTGTTTTTTACTTTCCTCTCCCCCTTTTCTTTCCCCTTTTCGTAACCCCCCCTTCTCCTCCATTCCTTCCCTTCCTTCTCCCCCCTCTTTTTACTTCTAATTTTTGTCCACCCCTCCCCTCTTTCCCCCCTTCCCCGAAAATGAGACTTTTTCCCTTTTAAATAACTTTTTGTTGTAAAGTGGCTGGGTTTCTTTTGGGGAACTGTTTTCTGTTTTCTGTGTTCCTTTTAAAATTCGTTTCTTTTTAAAAGTTTTCCCCCGGAATTTTTTTCCTTTGTAAAAGTGAACTTTTCCGTTGTAAAATAAACTTTTCCTGTTTTTTAAACTTTTCCTTTTTTTTCTGGGTTTTTCCTTTTAAAATGGGCATTTTTCCTTTAAAATGGCCCGTTCTTTGGGAAAGATGAGAGACAGGTGGTTTCCTGTGTTTAAAGAGTGAGAGACATGTGGTCCTGTGTTGTAAAAAGGGGAATGGTTTTGTGTTGAAAATAAAGTGAATAGGAGTGCTGTGTTTAACCTTTACTCTTCGTTATTATTAACTTTCTTCTCCCCCCTTCTGTATCTTTCTTTAACTTTCTCTCTCCTCCCTCTCTGTATCCTGTCTTTTAACTTTCTCTCTCCCCCCTCTTGTATCTATTCTGTAACTTTCTCTCTCCCCCCTCTCGTATCTTCTCTTTAACTTTCTCTCTCCCCCTCTCTGTATCTTCTCTCTTTAACTTTCTCTCTCCCCCTCTCTGACCTCCTTTACTTCTTCTCCCCTTCGTATCTCTCTTTAACTTTCTCTCTCCCCCTCTTGTATCTCTCCTTTAACTTTCTCTCTCCCCCTCTCTGTATCTCTGTCGTTAACTTTCTCTCTCCCCCCTCTCTGTATCTCTCTCTTAACTTTCTCTCTCCCCCCTCTCTGTATCTCTCTCTTTAAACTTCTCTCTCTCCCTCTCTGTATCTCTCTGTTTTAACTTTCTCTCCCCCCTCTCTGTATATCTCTCTTAACTTCTTCTCTCCCCCCTCTCTGTATCTCTCTCTTTAACTTCTCTCTCCCCCCATCTCTGTATCTCTCTATTTAAACTTCTCTCTCCCCCCTTCTCGGTATCGCTCTCTTAACTTGCTCTCTCCCCCCTCTCTGTATCTCTGTCGTTAACTTTCTCTCTCCCCCTCTCTGTATCTCTCTCTTTAATTTTCTCTCTCCCCCCTCTCTGTATCTCTCTCTTTAACTTTCTCTCTCCCATTGTCTCTCTCTCTCCTTCTCCCTGTATCTCATTTTGCCTCATCTACATCATTTTAGTCCACCCCCTCTCCCCTCATGAGTTAGCCCCGTTCATCAGAAAAAGAAAAGAACTGAGAGACATGGTGGTTTCCTGTGTTGTAGAAGAAGTGAGAGACGTGGTGGTTTCCTGTGTTGTAAAAGAAGTGTGAGACATGGTGGTTTCCTGTGTTGTAAAAGAAGTGAGAGACGTGGTGGTTTCCTGTGTTGTAAAAGAAGTGTGAGACATGGTGGTTTCCTGTGTTGTAAAATAAGTGAGAGACGTGGTGGTTTCCTGTGTTGTAAAAGAAGTGAGAGACATGGTGGTTTCCTGTGTTGTAAAATAAGTGAGAGACGTGGTGGTTTCCTGTGTTGTAAAAGAAGTGAGAGACATGGTGGTTTCCTGTGTTGTAAAATAAGTGAGAAACATGGTGGTTTCCTGTGTTGTAAAAGAAGTGAGAGACGTGGTGGTTTCCTGTGTTGTAAAATAAGTGAGAGACATGGTGGTTTCCTGTGTTGTAAAAGAAGTGAGAGACGTGGTGGTTTCCTGTGTTGTAAAAGAAGTGAGAGACGTGGTGGTTTCCTGTGTTGTAAAAGAAGTGAGAGACGTGGTGGTTTCCTGTGTTGTAAAATAAGTGAGATACGTGGTGGTTTCCTGTGTTGTAGAATAAGTGAGACATCCTAGGATCCTGTGTTGTAAAAGAAGTGAGAGACATGGTGGTTTCCTGTGTTGTAAAAGAAGTGAGATACATGGTGGTTTCCTGTGTTGTAGAAGAAGTGAGAGACATGGTGGTTTCCTGTGTTGTAAAAGTGGGGTTATTAAAGATGAAAGCAGAAGCTCAGCTAACCAGAAGTACAGCTCATGAAAACCTTTTAGGATTTTATTACAGATCAGTACTTCTCATAGGGTATGATTAATGTCCACTAGTGTAGAACTTTGCAGTCATTGATAAGGTTGTTAATAGGAAGGGATGGGCCATGTTATGCCATAAAGGTTGTATGTATGATGGTTGTATAAGATATATTGATGCAATTTAGCCACTGACTTTAAAATGACCGTATGAACAAACGAATGGAAAGACTAAAACCAACGAACAACCGTACATGGTAGGGAATTGGTTTGGAACTGGTGTGGTGGGGTGTTGGGTTTGGGTTGTAAAGTGGGCCAGGGTCACTGAAAGCAGGTGATGTGACTGTCAATGTCCCTGTGTCCCATTTAGGCCACCGTCCACAGCCATGAAACTGGGCATCCAGCAGGCAGAGGCAGAGTGTCTCTACGAAGACAGAAAGGGAGGGGACACACCCACACCCTGCCTCCCCGTACCAGGTACACACACACACACCCTGCCTCCCCGTACCAGGTACACACACACACACACACACACACACCCACACCCTGCCTCCCCGTACCAGGTACACACACACACACACACACACACCCTGCCTCCCCGTACCAGGTACACACACACACCCTGCCTCTCCGTACCAGGTACACACACACACACACACACACACACACAAACACACCCTGCCTCCCCATACCAGGTACACACACACACACACACACACACACACACCCTGTCTCCCCGTACCAGGTACACACACACACACACACCCTGCCTCCCCGTACCAGGTACACACAAACACACACACACACACCCTGCCTCCCCGTACCAGGTACACACACACACACACCCTGTCTCCCCGTACCAGGTACACACACACACACACACACACACACACACACACACCCTGCCTCCCGTACCAGGTACACACACACACACACACACCCTGCCTCCCCGTACCAGGTACACACACACACACACACACACACACACCCTGCCTCCCCGTACCAGGTACACACACACACACACACACCCTGCCTCCCCGTACCAGGTACACACACACACACCCTGTCTCCCCATACCAGGTACACACACACACACACACACACACACACACACACACCCTGCCACCCCATACCAGGTACACACACACACACACACATACCCTGCCTCCCCGTACCAGGTACACACACACACACATCCCGCCAGCTCTGGACACTTTTGATTTGATTTACGGCAGTATGGCAGGATTGAACCCGGTTAATCAGTAATCATTAGTGCTAATGTTGTGCTGATGTTGTGTTGATGTTGTCCTAACGTTGTGCTGCTCAGAGCCCCCAGGGAAGTGTGCGTCTGTTCCTGATGAGCCGAGAGCCTGTGGCCACTCTAGAACATCCAGCTACGCCAGCCAACAGTCCAAAGTCTCAGGTATCTACACACACCTCGTCTGAACCAGATGTTCATTAGAAAAGGCTATGACCTATTATTAATTAAATAAGATATGAATAGTATGTATGAATGTCTGAAAAGCCATACCTTGCCCTCAGAGTTATCTTTGTGGTTGTGAAATCTGTTCCCATTAAGTGTCTGTCTCTGTTGTGTGGAGCGTAATATTGCCTACTCATTCCCCATAGGCTATAGCTCAGGTCACTCACGCTCCTCCAGCCTGTCAGAGCTCACACACAAGAGGAACCCCTCACCGGGCTCCGCCTCCACGGGCATCAGCAGCATTCCTGAACCCAGCGTGGACCGAGGGGCTGAGAGGGGTGAGAGGGAGGCCCACTCCACACCTCCTGTCTCTGTCACCTGTCCCTGCTCACCCGTGCCTGAACACCTCCCCACCTCCTCGGAGAGACTCAGCAGGTAATATCTTTACACTCACTGATATCTGACCTTTCAACGGAGGATCATGATGTAATCATCAGAAGAGGATAATAGTCTGTTATGGTGCTGCTGGCAATGCTCCAGCTCATCCACACCTGCTTTCTTTCTCACGTGCGTGCGTGCGTGCGTGCATGTGTGTATGCGTGCGTGCGTGTATGTTGTGTGTGCATACGTGGTGTGTGTGTGTGTGTGTGTGTGTGTGTGTGTGTGTGTTTGTGTGTGTGTCTCTCAGGCATCCAGTGAAGCAGAGCTCGGTGGAGTGTCAACTGAAGAGAGTAGACGCCACGCGTGTAGACGCTGACGACATCGTGGAGAAGATCCTCCAGAGCCAAGACTTCAGCCACGGCCTGCTGGACTCCAGCGCTGAGGGTATGCTCACCATGCTATGGTCACTTGCTTCCCCTTTACCTTGTTTTGGTTTTAGCTAGTGAAATATAAACAGAATATGGACTTTTTTATTAGCTATTTCAGTTGACACATTTCTAGTTCTTTAAAAGCCCCTCAACTCCCTGTCTCTCTCACAGTAAAGCCCCTCCACTCCCTGTCTCTCTCACAGTAAAGCCCCTCCACTCCCTGTCTCTCTCACAGTAAAGCCCCTCCACTCCCTGTCTCTCTCACAGTAAAGCCCCTCCACTCCTTTTCCCTCTCACAGTAAAGCCCCTCTAGTCCCTGTCTCTCTCACAGTAAAGCCCCTCCACTCCCTGTCTCTCTCACAGTAAAGCCCCTCCACTCCCTGTCTCTCTCACAGTAAAGCCCCTCCACTCCCTGTCTCTCTCACAGTAAAGCCCCTCCACTCCTTTTCCCTCTCACAGTAAAGCCCCTCTACTCCCTGTATCTCTCACAGTAAAGAATGCTCGTCAATAGCCACTTATTTTTAGATCGCTTAGCAAACAACCATGAGCCATTTTAGCAGCGCGGCAACCTTGCGTTGATTGACAGTATCTTGTTTGTGTGTGTTACAGAGGAGGGGCTCAGGCTGTTTGTTGGTCCTGGTGGAAGCACGGCGCTGGGAAGCCAACACACCAGGTGGGTGACATTATTACCTAATGCATCAGAAAGTGCGTGACACCATAGAGATCGAATGACTATAAGGGACACACAACAGCAGGCACTCCTAGCAACAATCACTGTCACTGAATCACTGATAACAGATAACCTACGAGATTTTCATTTAAAGGGATAGTGCATAAAACATGTATCCATTAAGTAGATAAAGGGCTTAATTGTCAAAATCTTGCACTATCCCTTTAATGCACAAGGGCCAATCGTTACAATAGGTGATTCATAGAATGTGATTGTTTGTTGTGAAGAGTTTTTCGGTAACACCCTTTCACTTGTTTGGTGTGATTTTTGGCTGGTTAGATAATAACACGTGTGTGGCGTTCTCTTTCAGGGTTGGGGCTGGGCCCTACGAGCAGGTGGTGATCAAACGCTAGCCCCCGGGGAGCGGATGTGTGTCTGAGAAGGTGCCACAACACCACAGGGTCTGACAGAGGGGGACAGAGAGGGGGACAGAGGGCAATAGCGGTCTCACCTCTATGCAGGACAAACATTCGTTCCAATGGGAGTCCAGGTCAGATGTGCGGAACCTGTGTAAGCCTGCTGCCCCCCTAGGATTGAAGCCAGGAGGTGACCTGAAGTTCATGATGACAACTTGTTCAATAACTATGAGATGAAAGAGGAGGATATATTGAGACATATATACAGTGCATTGGAAAAGTATTCAGACCCCTTGACTTTTTCAACATTTTGTTATGTTACAGCCTTATTCTAAAATGTATTACATTGTTTTTTTTTTCTCCTTTTCAATCTACACACAATACCCCATAATGACAAAGCAAAAACTGGTTTTTATACATTTTTGCAAATTTATCTTTAAAAAAAAACTGAAATATTACATTTACATAAGTATTCAGACCCTTTACTCAGTACTTTGTTGAAGCACATTTTGCAGCGATTACAGCCTCGAGTCTTCAGCGATGCTTCTTGGGGAGTTTCTCCCATTCTTCTCTGCAGATCCTCTCAAACTCTGTCAGGTTGGATGGGGAGCGTCGCTGCACAACTATTTTGAGGACTCTCCAGAGATGTTCGATCGGGTTCAAGTCCGGGTTCTGGCTGGGTCATTCAGAGAACCTTCGCCCCACTCTGAGATCATGAGCGCTCTGGAGCAGGTTTTCATCAAGGATCTCTCTGTACTTTGCTCTGTTCATCTTTCCCTCGATCCTGACTAGTCTCCCAGTCCCTGCCGCTGAGAGACATCCCCACAGCATGATGCTGCCACCACCATGCTTCACCGTAGGGATGGTGCCAGGTATCCTCCAGACGTGATGCTTGGCATTCAGGCCAAAGAGTTCAATCTTGGTTTCATCAGACCAGAGAATCTTGTTTCTCATGGTCAGAGAGTCCTTTAGGTGCCTTTTGGCAAACTCCAAGTGGACTGTCATGTGCCTTTTACTGAGGAGTGGCTTCCGTCTGGCCACTCTACCATAAAGGCCTGATTGGTGGAGTGCTGCAGAGATGGTTGTCCTTCTGGAAGTTTCTCCCATCTCCACAGAGGAACTCTGGAGCTCTTTCAGAGTGACCATCGGGTTCTTGGTCACCTCCCTGACCAAGGCCCTTCTCCCCCGATTGCTCAGTTTGGCCGGGCGGCCAGCTCTAGGAAGAGTCTTGGTGGTTCCAAACTTCTTCCATTTAAGAATGATGGAGGCCACTATGTTCTTGGGTACCTTCAATGCTACAGAATTTTTTTGGTGCCCTTCCCCAGATCTGTGCCTCGACATAATCCTGTCTCGGAGCTCTACAGACAATTCCTTCGACCTCATGGCTTGGTTTTTGCTCTGACATGCACTGTCAACTGTGGGACCTTATGTAGACAGGTGTGTGCCTTTCCAAATAATGTCCAATCAATTGAATTTACCACGGGTGGACTCCGATCAAGTTGTACAAACATCTCATGGATGATCAATGGAAACACGATGCACCTGAGCTCAATTTCGAGTCTCATAGTAAAGGGTCTGAATACTTATGTAAATAAGGTATTTCTGTGTTTTTATAAATCTTCACAAATTTCTAAAAACCTGTTTTCACTTTGTCATTATGGGGTATTGTGTATAGATTGAGGAGGAAAACAATTTATTTAATCAATTTTAGAATAAGGCTGTAACGTAACAAAATGTGGAAAAGGGGATGGGGTTTGAATACTTTCCGAATGCACTGTATATATTGAGTACTGTTGCACTTAAACTGTGCAGAGTGGTATAATGTTCTCATCCCAGAGAGGTTAGACTTTCAATTCTGCTGGCCTTATGTTCAATGAAGACGTATTTTTATATAAGTAGGAGAATGCTGTGCTCTCACAACAAAAAGGGCTCTTTTTTTTAAAATATGAGACAAATCCTTCCAAATGGTTCTAGGTTACTCTGGGAGGTATGTTGTAATTTACTGTTTTATTGTTTGGTATGTTGCTGCTTGATATGTTCACTGTGTAAAATGTGTAGTGTTTCACACACACACACACACAGGTGTTTTAACTGACAAAGTGTGGCGATGAGCTGGTTTCATTTCCCACAAGGACCTTAAAACGGACTAAAGAACTATACACTTTGACATCACCGACCTACAGGTGCCCTATTCTGTCAACTGAACAAAGATGAACTGACACGTCTGTTTAGCTATACATGGAGACTCAAGAGGCAAGAACATCGTTAACTCAATAACATTATTAAGATTCTGAGCAGAGAAATGATATAAGTGCCAGATGGTGTTGCTGCTTGGCTCCTTACGATGAAGTGATGAAAGGAGGAGAAAGCGAGGGAGGGAGGAGGAGGAGTGCCAACATCAGATGAAGGTGAAGAAGATGTCCTTGTAGCTGTAGATTAGGATTAGGGTTTCGAATCCTCAGCAAAAATGGTTATATAGTAAATGTACTATGCTCTATGATCCCAAAACTGACAACAGTTCAGTTCACACTGTGTTGCTTTGATATACAAAATTGTATTGGGAGAGAAGCCTCCTTGGACCGAAAACAAGTCAGACGTTTATTTTTTCAGAAAGTTTATTTTGATACAACAGCAGGCACTCCTAGCAACAACTCCTAGTAAGTAGGAGGGAAAACTGATTTAGGGACAGTAAACATTGTTGACGTTTTGAAAGTGGAAAGTGGGGCAAGGACAGGTTCACTCAAGGGAAGATGGAGTCAGTCAAGTACAGCGATCAAACCAGAATGTTAGAGTCCTGCCAACCATCAAGTATCTGCAAGGCCAAACATGACATTTCTATAAATGTTTGTCTTGTTCAGTGCTTTGTTGAAATATTGTTTGTGGAGTTTGTTATATCCATGATGTAAGTGTTGCCTCATTCAACTTCACATTCAGACTAGTTCTTGTGATTGTATGTTTTTACGGGAATAAATTAGAGAAAGAATGCTCTTCTGATATTCATTATGTTAAACTTTTAATGACTTCCTTGTTTGTCCAATTCATACCCTTATCGTACTGTATGTACCTTTATTATGTTGGTATCCTACGTTTTGTTTTGTTTTGTTATTTCTTTAGAATGATGTTGCAAGTGCAGGTCCCACATTGTTCAATGTCCTAAATGTTGGAAGATTGTTATTTCATTACTGTATCCCAATTCACAAACACACATGCTGTGTTGTTGTGTAAAGAAATAAAACAATTCAATTTATTTAAGAAACAACAGCTCTCGCTCAATAGCTTTTGTTATTTTTCCCTATCCCCTGCTAAACTTTAGCCACTTTTCCTTCCTGGCAGCTACAAAACCCAAATGAATGATGTATGTTGTCATGGTGATTTTATTTCTTCTTGTTTTCGATACAGTAGATATCCTAGTACTTAATTCAGTCCCATGGGATGGGAATATTGATGGATGGATGCTCCAAAAGTGGCTAGTGATATTGAAACTGTGAATCCATGCTGGCTCAGAGAGCTGTTACATAACTCCTGTCAGTAGTACTCAACACAAGCTCATGTTGGGGTTGAGAAAGCGGTCAAGGCTGCTCGTCACCGCCAGTCTGGCAGCCCTGCCTCTGGGTGAGATGCTTACAAAGTACCAGAGGACATATGGCTGGCTACCGTGGCTATATACAATCACTGGTAGGGAGGGAACGTTCCTGGAACACAGAGCTGCAACAATAGATTGTAAATGGGATGCTGAGCCCAATTTTTGCAGCGTAAAAAGGCCCATATATTATAGTAAGGAGGGGAGGAATGGATACATGCAGTGAAGTACTGTATTTAACCACAGCTTTAGAATATGTGGGAGAAGGGATTTGCATGACTGGATTGTCAGAGAATACTGCATGCTCATCAACCAGCAACCCTACCTCCTGTGTAATAAGGTCCCAGACGTCATGATATAAGCTGTAGTTGTCCAATAATGACAGACTCACATGAAACTGGGTGGATGTGTTCAAATGGTGGAAGAGTAGTAGGCATAAATCAAAGATTGACAGATTACTTGTGTACACACCTAGGACTGAACGTATACAAATTATGAAAGACAGTAGGTACCCCAATGTTGAACCAGTATCTGGGCAGAGGAGGAGACGATGAGAATATGACATATTCAACGTCTCCTCCTCTGCCCCAAATACACAGGACAGGAGAAAAACATAATGAAATGTATTACTATGATATATTACAATAAATTATTCAAAACAACTATCATTGCATGCTCATCAATCAGTGAATGCAGTGAATCAAAGATCACTGTTGCAGTTACTGTACTTTGGTACCCATTCACGAGTCACTCATTGGACGAACGGTGTTCGTTGCCTTTTCCGGTCTTCTCCCGGCAGCGGCAGTTACGTGCGTGCCATCTTGTCCTACAGTTGCCGAAGAAGCTCAGCTAGCCAGACAGATCTAGAAAGTAGAGTTTTGTGGGCCATAAGCTAGCGCTAGGTTATTGTAGAACATAGTTTACAGCAACTATTGACGGTTTCAAAACGCGCTTTAATGGCGTTATAGTCAGAAGCATCGATTGTGTAAGCTAGCTAGCGTTAGCAGATAGCGGCTAATTTCCCGCATTTGTGGATCGACAGCCTGGGATCCTCGCATTATGGCCAACAACACTGTAGCCGGGAGTCAGCAACAAGGACAGGCTGTGAACAAGATTGGCCCTAACCCTGGAAAACATGGCAACAACTTGCCTCTCTGGGGCAACGAAAAGACTATGAACTTGAACCCTATGGTTCTCACCAACGTGCTCTCATCTCCATATTTCAAGGTTCAGCTCTATGAACTGAAAACCTACCATGAGGTGGTGGATGAAATATATTTCAAGGTAACCAGACCGATGCTAGCTACAGTTGGTTAGCTACCTTAGGTAACTGTTTAAATGTATGGGTAACTGGCCAACTTAACTCGCTAAATTATTCAGCGGCAGGTAGCTAGCTTTGCTTAACGCTGTTTTTCATAACGTTATTAATTTGGCAGTATAATCAATGGTTCCTAACGTGTTGGTTAGCTAACTGACTTCACTAGCGTGCTAGCTACCACTAACCGGACCCTATTTTCTGTTCTGTTTACATATTTGAGCGGGTTGCAACGTTAGCTAGCTATGTAACTAACTAGCAAACCTCTATATTTTCCTGTATTGTAATTAACTTGTTAAGCGGACTGCTGATAATTGAAAATTGTGTTGGAATTAATGTTAGCCAGCTAACGTTAGCTGGCTAGTTAATTATATAATTGGCTAGCCAGTCATGTAAACTGTCTAACTAGTGTTATGCCACCCTATTAATATACGCTAACTAACTACATTTAGCGCCTAATTAGTATGATGAAGATATCTTCTCTCCGGGGTATTATTGTAGCCCCGACGCACGCTCAGTCTGAACGTGAACACGCATCGCTCACGGTAACGTTATGGTTTTTGAAACATAAAGAACGTAGCTATTTTTCATTTCAACCACAAATAATTTTTTAAAAGCAAAAGGTTAAATTGTGCGACCACCTGTGCTAATGAGCTATTTAGCATGCTCCGAACTAGCCCAAAGGCTGGCAAATGTCGCGATTTAATGGCGAGAAGGCGGTAAAACAAAACGGGGTAAATGTATGTACTTTCTTTATGAAACACTATTTTCCACCACCATGCTAGAGTGGCTAATGCCTAGGAATGCTAGTCCCGGATGGTGCATATTGTGTTCAGCCTATCAGGTTGCAGAAGTCTGTTGTTTACCTCTGGTTCAGGAAGTAGCATTAGTCACTCTAGCATGGTAGTAGGCATCCGAACACCTGTGTATAACACCTGTGTGTAACGGAAGAAGGCCGCCAGGCTGCAACTGTGATAAAGCCTGTTAAAACAGTGTGCAGTAAGTATATATTTAGCATTTGTGAAATGATTTTGATGTGATAGGAAAGTAAAGGGCTTTATGTTTCTAGAACCGTATCGCAATTGATTCACATATAGATGGAGTATCTGGCTGTTTTGGCTGCCAGAGCCAGTCTACCTCTGAAAATAAATATAAGGAGTAACAGTAGGCTCCTTAAGATTACATTATTTGATTTGATAAGCTGTTTTCAAGTTAAATTGACTGATGATCTGTAATAAATTGCACGGTCACACCATACAATCCAACATCATCATAACATATTTGGCCGAAATGGGATTTGTAATTTGTGGCCAAAATTTTTGCTTTTAAGGCTGCCAACAAATGAAGTAACCAACTCCACAATCAATGTGATTCAAATGCGTTGATTTTAGCATCATTAAGGGGTCACCGCGTTATTTTTTTCCGTAGGTGACTCATGTTGAGCCCTGGGAGAAAGGCAGCAGGAAGACTGCAGGACAGACTGGAATGTGCGGAGGGGTAAGTTAGAAAGTACGTGCCTTTTGCCTTCCCCTGTTTCTATCTCCCAGGTGATAGGGGTAACGGTCACTCTGTCAGTAGAATCCATCTAAGTTACATCCTGACCAGAGAAGCTATTCTCTGCCAAATCATGTTCATAAGTGCATCACATACGCAAAACAATGTCAGCATTGTAGTAATTTAGCAGACGCTCTTATCCAGAGCAACTTAGTTAGGCGCACATACACTACCGTTCAAAAGTTTGAGGTCACTTAGAAATTACCTTGTTTTAAAAAGAAAAGCAATTTTTTTGTTCATTAAAATAACATAAAATTGATCAGAAATAGTGTAGACATTGTTAATGTTGTAAATAGCTATTGTAGCCCACTCCTCTTTCTATTCTGGTTAGAGCCAGTTTGCGCTGTTCTGTGAAGGGAGTAGTACACAGCGTTGTACGAGATCTTCAGTTTCTTGGCAATTTCTCGCATGGATTAGCCTTCATTTCTCAGAACAAGAATAGGCTGATGAGTTTCAGAAGAAAGTTATTTGTTTCTGGGCATTTTGAGCCTGTAATCGAACCCACAATTGCTGATGCTCCAGATACTCAACTAGTCTCAAGAAGGCCAGTTTTATTGCTTCTTTAATCAGCACAACAGTTTTCAGCTGTGCTAACATAATTGCAAAAGGGTTTTCTAATGATCAATTAGCCTTTTAAAAATGATAAACTTGGATTAGCAAACACAACGTGCCATTGGAACACAGGACTGATGGTTGCTGATAATGGGCCTATGTAGATATTCCATAAAAAATCTGTCGTTTCCAGCTACAATAGCCATTTACAACATTAACAATGTCTACACTGTATTTTTGATCAATTTGATGTTATTTTAATGGACAAAAAATTTGCTTTTCTTTCGAAAAGAAGGACATTTTTATGTGACCCCAAACTTTTGAACGGTAGTGTACATGCATGCATCAAAAGTCAGTAGTTGATAGATGACAAACGCAAGCAGCACACTTAACTTAGCTGTGGAGTAGGACCATGTTGAAAACCGTTAAGAATTCCCCCCAAAACTCAGAGGTCTACTTCAGATATATGTTAGGAACACTGATCCCAAAAATCGAACCGTCTGACACATGAACCTCTGTTGTTCTCAGGTGCGTGGAGTTGGGACTGGTGGCATTGTGTCCACTGCCTTCTGCCTGCTGTATAAGCTGTTTACCCTCAAGATGACCCGCAAACAGGTGATGGGACTGATCACTCACAACGACTCGCCCTACATCAGAGCACTTGGTTTCATGTACATAAGGTACGCACGCCTCTTTTACATTTTGGTTAATGTAAAAGGCAAATGTTTGCTCGAGGGATAGGACCTATTGGACTTTTTTTATTTGGCTGTAAATGCATTTCACTCACCCTGCCCTAATGGGTTGCAACCTCTTTGTGAAATGCTCAGCAGCCATTTTGCAGCGTTTAGTTGCAGTCCTAAATGATACCATTTTGTTCCGGCATCTCTTTATTAATGTGCTGTTGAATTAACTACATGTCCTTTCCTGGAATGGAGAGGTACAGTTGATGTCGGAAGTTTACATACAACTTAGCCAAATACATTTAAACTCAGTTTTTCACAATTCCTGACATTTAATCCTAGTAAAAATTCCCTGTCTTAGGTCAGTTAGGATCACCACTTTATTTTAAGAATGTGAAATGTCAGAATAATAGTAGAGAGAATGATTTATTTAAGCTTTTATTACTTTCATCACATTCCCAGTGGGTCAGAAGTTTACATACACTCAATTAGTATTTGGTAGCATTGCCTTTAAATTGTTTAACTTGGGTCAAACGTTTCGGGTAGCCTTCCACAAGCTTCCCACAATAAGTTGGGTGATTTTTGGCCCATTCCTCCTGACAGAGCTGGTGTAACTGAGTCAGGTTTGTAGGCCTCCTTGCTTGCACACGCTTTTTCAGTTCTGCCCACACATTTTCTATAGGATTGAGGTCAGGGCTTTGTGATGGCCATTCCAATACATTGACTTTGTTGTCCTTAAGCTATTTTGCCACAACTTTGGAAGTATGCTTGGGGTCATTGTCCATTTGGAAGACCCATTTGCGACCAAGCTTTAACTTCCTGACTGATGTCTTGAGATGTTGGTTCAATACATCCACATAATTTTCCTTCCTCATGATGCCATCTATTTTGTGAAGTGCACCAGTCCCTCCTACAGCAAAGCACCCCCACAGCATGATGCTTGCAAGCAACCCTCTTTTTCCTCCCAACATAACAATGGTCATTATGGCCAAACAGTTCTATTTTTGTTTCATCAGACCAGAGGACATTTCTCCAAAAAGTACGATATTTGTCCCCATGTGCAGTTGCAAAACGTAGTCTGGCTTTTTTATGGTGGTGTTGGAGCAGTGGCTTCTTCTTTTACTGTGGATATAGATACTTTTGTACCTGTTTCCTCCAGCATCTTCACAAGGTCCTTTGCTGTTCTGGGATTGATTTGCAGTTTTCGTACCAAAGTACATTCATCTCTAGGAGACAGAACCCGTCTCCTTCCTGAGCAGTATGACGGCTGCGTGGCCCCATGGTGTTTATACTTGCGTACTATTGTTTGTACAGATGAACGTGGTACCTTCAGGCATTTGGAAATTGCTCCCAAGGATGAACCAGACTTGTGGAGGTCTACAATTTTCTTTTGATTTTCCCATGATGTCAAGCAAAGAGGCACTGAGTTTGAAGGTAGGCCTTGAAATACATCCACAGGTACACCTCCCATTGACTCAAATTATGTCAATTAGCCTATCAGAAGCTTCTATAGCCATGACATCATTTTCTGGAATTTTCCAAGCTGTTTAAAGGCACAGTCAACTTAGTGTATGTAAACCTCTGACCCACTGGAATTGTGATACAGTGAATTATAACTGAAATAATCTGTCTGTAAACAATTGTTGGAAAAATTACTTGTGTCATGCACAAAGTAGATGTCCTAACCAACTTGCTAAAACTATAGTTTGTTAACAAGAAATTAGTGGAGTGGTTGAAAAAACAAGTTTTAATGACTAACCCTATGTAAACTTCCGACTTCAACTGTACTTTGTTGAGCTTTTGATGTTATATAACAAGTCGCAGAGGAAAATCTGATTCACATACAGCAGTCGGTAGCATAGCGGCTAAGAGCATTGGACCAGTAACCAAAATATTTCTGGTTCGAATCCCCGAGCAGACTAGGTGAATCAGTCGACGTGTCCTTGAGGAAGTTTGTTAACCCTGATTGCTCCTGTAAGTCGCTCTGGATAAGACTGTCTGCTAAATGACTAAAATGTCAATGTAAAAACAGTATCTACCTTCAGATAGTTAACATCGGCGTCAAGCTGCAGGCAGAAGTCAAAGACGTCTACATGTGTTATTCAATGGGATGCCCATAGTGTATTATATGTTTTTCTTCCTCTAGATACACCCAGCCCCCTGCGGACCTGGTGGACTGGTATGATGGTTTCCTGGATGATGAGGAGGTATGTCCACACGGGTAATACTTTCATGTTTCTCTACTTTTCACTAACAAGTCTGGCATGATCCAAACTGTTGGCTCTCAGTTCTCTCCTCGTTGTGATGCTCAGAGCTGATTTTTCACCTTTGCCTTCATTTGGCTTAATTGTCCCCAGTCCCCACCCTGCGCAAAATTGAGTAGTTAGGTCATTCCCTCTGCTCTGCTGCCTGTTTTTGTCAGGGTAAGTATATTTGACGTGGAGTTGAACCATACAGTCAAATTCTGTTAACTAAAGGCATGCCCTTTGTGTTTGCCAAGATGCAATCAGGACTTGTTGCACAAACTCAATTTATAAAATCTAATTTGCACAATTTGACATTTTACACTGAAATGTGTAACGTTGTTTCTCCCAGGCCCCACCTCCTCACATATCTTAAAAAATGTATATATATTCTCATTTTAACACATTTTATTTGAAAATACAACTTTTGAACACAAACACGTACATTTCAACACATAAATCCCTTTCTTCGTTTGCTTCTCTCTGACACCCGCCTACTTAAAGGGGCTACACATAGGATTTTCCGGGGAGTTTTAGCCATGCAATTTCAGAAAATGTCCATAATATATCTGCCGCTAATAGTGGAAAGATAGTGTTTCACAGTATTACTTACCTGCCAGTGTTGTGATTGGCTGTGATTTTCGCCTGTTGACTTTTCCCACCGGAGTGGCATCTGTTGTCAAAATGGGAAAGCTGTTCTGACTTTGTGGCTTTGTTATCTAGTGGAAAGCGCTAATTTCCTGGTTTCAAAAATTCTACATTCTTCTTCTTCTTATTATTATTATTATATTATTACACTGTTTTCTCAGTTTCAGTTGATGTGAGAAAACAAGCCCTGAATAGTGTAGGGAATCATTGTACCATTTAGGTCACTGTGAAATATTTACTTTCAGTTGGTCCACCAGCTTCAAACAGCTGTAAAAACTATATATTTTTTATATTGAAAATACATTTCACAGTGATTTAGATGGTACAATGATTCCCTACACTATTCAGGGCTTGTTTTCTCAGATAAACTAAAATTGAGGAAACGGTGTAGAATTTTTGCAAACAGGAAATGACAGCCATTTCCACTAGATAACACAGCCACAAAGTCAGAACAGCTTATATCACAGCCAGTCACAACACTGGTGGGTAAGTAATACTGTGAAACACTATCATTCCACTATTAGCGGCAGATATGTTAAGGACATTTTCTGAAATTACAATGCAAAGAAATCCTATGTGTAGCACCTTTAATACAATTAAACAATTTTCTGAGGAGAACCTTGTTATAGATGTACAGTGCATTGGGAAAGTATTCAGACCCCTTGACCTTTTCCACATTTTATTACTTTACAGCCTTATTCTAAAATGGATTAAATAGTTTTTTCCCACCTCCTCAATCTACACACAATACCCCATAATGACAAAACAAAAACAGATTGTTTTGACATTTTTGCTAATTTATAAAAAAGAAAAACTGAAATGTCACATTTACGTAAGTATTCAGACCCTTTACTCAGTACTTTGTTGAAGCACATTTGGCAGCGATTACAGCCTCAAGTCTTCTTGGGTATGACGCTACAAGCTTGGCACATCTGTATTTGGGGAGTTTCTCCCATTCTTCTCTGCAGATCCTCTCAAGCTCTGTCAGGTTGGATGGGGAGCGTCGCTGCACAGCTATTTTCAGGTCTCTCCAGAGATGTTCGATCGGGTTCAAGTCTGGGCTCTGGCTGGGCCTCTCAAGGACATTCAGAGACTTGTCCCGAAGCCACTTCTGCGCTGTCTTGGCTGTGTGCTTAGGGTCGTTGTCCTGTTGGAAGGTGAACCTTTGCCCCAGTCTGAGGTCCTGAGTGCTCTGGAGCAGGTTTTCATTAAGGAACTCAGTACTTTGCTCCGTTCGTTTTTCCCTCGATCCTGACTAATCTCACAGTCCCTGCCGCTGAAAAACATCCCCACAGCATGATGCTGCCACCACCATGCTTCACCGTAGGGATGGTGCCATGTTTCCTCCAGACGTCACGCTTGGCATTCAGGCCAAAGAGTTCAATCTTGGTTTCATCAGACCAGAGAATCTTGTTTCTCATGGTCTGAGTCCTTTAGGTGCCTTTTGGCAAACTCCAAGCGGGCTGTCATGTGCCTTTTACTGAGGAGTGGCTTCCGTCTGGCCACTCTACCATAAAGGCCTGATTGGTGGAGTGCTGCAGAGATGGTTGTCCTTCTGGAAGGTTATCCCACCTCCACAGAGAAACTCTGGAGCTCTGTCAGAGTGACCATCGGGTTCTTGGTCACGTCCCTGATCAAGGCCCTTCTCTCTTGATTGGTCAGTTTGGCCGCGTGGCCAGCTCTAGGACGAGTCTTAGTGGTTCCAAACTTCTTCCATTTAAGAATGATGGAGGCCACTGTTTTCTTGGGGACCTTCAATGCTACATACATTTTTTGGTGCCCTTCCCCAGATTTGTGCCTCAACACAATCCTGTCTCGGAGCTCTACGGACAATTCCTTCGACCTCATGGCTTGGTTTTTGCTCTGACATGCACTGTCAACTGTGGGACCTTATATAGACAGGTGTGTGCCTTTCCAAATCATGTCCAATCAATTGAATTTTTCACAGGTGGACTCCAATCAAGTTGTAGAAACATCTCAAGGATGATCAATGGAAACAGGATGCACCTGAGCTCAATTTCGAGTCTCATAGCAAATGGTCTGAATACTTATGTAAAAAAGGTATTTCTGTTTTTTATTTTTAATAAATGTGCAAACATTTCTAGAAAACAGATTTCACTTTGTCATTATGGGGTATTGTGTGTAGATTGATGAGGGGGAATAAATAATTTAATCAATTTTTTTCCGAATGCGCTGTATCCTCTCTATGCATTCAAACCTTTAATTGGCTGGATATTGTTTGTCAGACTGTGCAACCAGGCCTACTTTCTTGTTCTGATGCAATATTTTAACCTGACATCCTCTGACATCCTACCCAACTGGCTAATTCCCATGTTCTCTTCTTTAGATGCCCCTTGCGCAGCAGGTGAATTGGATAATGTATCTCTCAGCACTGTTGGTTTGCGTGTGTGAGTGCAAAACGGCTGTTCTCTACCCATTCAGACCTGGTCTCTATGTAGCTGGTGTGCACCTACCTACATGCCTCTACTCTGTACTTGCACTGTGGCACAACGTCTCCCTGGACTGTCGAGAGAGAACTAGGAAGGAGGAAGCAAAAAACGTTCCTTCAAACCCTTCTTTTTTGCCTGTCTACGGATCCATCTCAATTGTTTGAAGTCGCTTACTCTCCTTGTTTCACCCCCATCTTTACTTCCTCTTTTAATGCTTGTGCAGATGGAGGAAACAAGATGAGGAGAGGACTTTAAACTATTGAGATGCACCCCAGGGTTTTTCCCAATTATTTTGATAACATATATCGTTGTGTAAGAAAGCTCACAGTGGAAGTACAGACTTTTCAGGACAGCCAGACAGATTAGATGAGAGAAACCATTTTTCCATTTCCATACTATTATTTCCTATAGTCAGCATCAGGCACTAAGTTGAATTATAAAGCAAACACATGATAAGGATTGATATGTGAGCATATTAAGCTAGATGAAAACAGAGGTGAAGGTTCAGTACTTGGTCATCACAAATTATATTTGATTTCTAATTGAGTCATGGAGGCAAGTGTTAAAAAAACAAGGGACTAGGAAGATATGCTGAATAAATATGATAATGAATACAATGGCTTTTGTAGTTCTGTTTTGCGTCTGTGTGTTAATAACATTTTCAATACCCCCTCCCCCTCTCTATGTTCTCAGGAGCTGGATGTGAAGGCCGGAGGTGGCTGCGTTATGACCATCGGAGAGATGGTCCGGTCGTTCCTCACCAAGCTGGAGTGGTTCTCCACACTCTTCCCACGCATCCCGGTGCCTGTGCAGAAGATGATTGACACGCAGATGAAGGCAAGGCCCCGGAAGGTTCCCGAGAAGGTGGAGGAGACAGAAGAACCTGTGCTAGAGGAGGGACGGGCCACAGAAGGGCGTAGACGCTCCCGGTAGGAAATGGAGAAAAGCCATTCCGGATAATATTCTATATTATGTTGATCACATCTCTGTCAATGAGAGAGGGTTCTTGCTGTTAATGAGGCTGATATTTAGGTTTGTTTCTGTTTTTCTATGGTCAGGAGCCCCAGGCGGACACCAAGCCCCAGGAGGTCTCCCAAACGGTCGAGGAGCAGGAGCCACCACCGCGAACGAGAGCGCCACGGCCCCAGCTTCGACCGCGAGCTGGAGAGGGAACGTGACCGCCAGAGGAAGGAGAGGGAGGGTAAGGACGGGGACAGGAGAGGAGGGGACAGAGACAGAGAGAGGGAAAGAGGAGGAGGAGGAGAGAGGGGGGAGAAAGAGAGGGATAGGGAGAGGCGACGGTCCAGGAGCAGGGAACGCAAGGGAGAGCGGAAAGAAAGAGAGAAAGATAGGGAGGGGGGCGGGGAGAACGACAGGAGCAGGAGGAAGGACAGGGAGCACAAAGACAGAGGGACGGAGAGGTCCAAGGACAAGCGGAGCAAGGGAGAGACTGAGGACAGGAGACACAAAGAAGACCGGGAGGAGAGGAGGGGGCACAGGGAGGAGAGGAAGGCCAAGCGCTCCAGTCGGAGCGGAAGCAGGGAAAGGAGACACAAGGAGAAGTCCAAGAAGAGAGGAGAAGTCCAAGAAGAGAGCAGGAGCAAGAGCAGGGTCGAGGAGGGGGAGAAGGAGAAGAGCAGGAAGAGCGAGCGCAGCCAGGAGAGGGGGGAGGGGGAGCAGCGCTCACACAAACGCAGCCGCAGCAAAGAGCGGAGCCACCGGCCACGAGAGCCCAGCAACGGGAAAGAACACGGGAAACACAGGGAGCGCAGGAGGAGCCAGAGCACCGAGAGGGGAGAGAGGACGGCACAGAGCACTAGGGCCGAGTCCCCTTAGCGTCACAGCTCTTCTTTTCTGTCTTTCTCTCTCTTCATTCATTTGTTTTACTTGATAGTGTAGTCTGTCACGTATTATTAAAAGAAGAAAAAAAACATTAGCACGAAAAACTACCTGGACTTGTCTTTGGCCAACGTAATGTTGCTTTATGTAGATCTTTCTCATCCCTTTCTAGACCAGCGTTACTTTTCACTCAAGGCGGTTGAATTAGGAAAAAAATGCCATTTTAATTTTTTTTAAACGGTTTTCTTGGTTTTGTCTCTGGAAAGTTCCAAATTGCTTTGTACATACGGGTCTAAGAATGTTTTAAATCCTACAGAGCTCCGAAGTTGAATTTGTACCATGCACTGAGACGTACTGATATTGTGCTGTGTTTGGTTAAGTGCTCTGTTGCATTTTGTTTTCTAATAAAACGACTTTTACAAAAGGAGACATTGTGTGGGATGATTGTGGATTTGTTAAAGGTGTAATTCCTTACTCAGTTACACAAGTACTCCTCTTAAAAGCGCTTCCAGATCTAGTAATCTGCCATGGTTATAATGGATTTACCATAGTGTGCTAAATGACTAAAATAATGGACTACCATGTAATAAAGGGCATCACACCCCATTGTTGTTCATTGTCCCCGTTATAAATAAATACAGTGCCTTCGGAAAGTATTCAGACCCCTAGACTTTTTCCACATTTTATTACGTTACAGCCTTATTCAAAAAGTTATTACATAGTTTTTTCCCCTCATCAATCTACACACAATACCCCAAAATGACAAAGCAAAAACAGATTATTAGACATTTTTGCTAATCTATTAAAAAATAAAAAAACGGAAATATCACATTTACGGAAGTATTCAGACCCTTTACTCAGTACTTAGTTGAAGCAGCGATTACAGCCTTGAGTCTTGGGTATGACGCTACAAGCTTGGCACCGCTGTAGGGAGTTTCTCCCATTCTCTGCAGATCCTCTCAAGCTCTGTCAGGTTGGATGGGGAGTGTCGCTGCACAGCTATTTTCAGGTCTCTCCAGAGATGTTCGATCGGGTTCAAGTCTGGGCTCTGGCTGGGCCTCTCAAGGACATTCAGAGACTTGTCCCGAAGCCACTTCTGCGCTGTCTTGGCTGTGTGCTTAGGGTCGTTGTCCTGTTGGAAGGTGAACCTTTGCCCCAGTCTGAGGTCCTCTGGAGCAGGTTTTCCTCAAGGATCTCTCTGTACTTTGCTCCGTTCATCTTTCCCTCGATCCTGACTAGTCTCCCAGTCCCTGCCGCTGAAAGACATCCCCACAGCATGATGCTGCCACCACCATGCTTCACCGTAGGGATGGTGCCAGGTTTCCTCCAGACGTGACGCTTGGCATTCAGGCCAAAGAGTTCAATATTGGTTTCATCAGACCAGAGAATCTTGTTTCTCATGGTCTGAGTCTTTAGGTGCCTTTTGGCAAACTCCAAGCGGGCTGTCGTGCCTTTTACTGAGGACTGGCTTCCGTCTGGCCACTCTACCATAAAGGCCTGATTGGTGGAGTGCTGCAGAGATAGTAGTCCTTCTGGAAGGTTCTCCCATCTCCACAGAGGAACTCTGGAGCTTTGTCAGAGTGACCATTCGTTTCTTGGTCACCTCCCTGACCAAGGCCCTTCTCCCCCGATTGCTCAGTTTGACCGGGCGGCCAGCTGTAGGAACAGTCTTGGTGGTTCCAAACTTCTTCCATTTAAGAATGATGGAGGCCACTGTGTTCTTGAGGACCTTCAATGATGCAGACATTTTTTGGTACCCTTCCTCAGATCTGTGCCTCGACACAATCCTGTCTCAGAGCTCTACGGACAATTCCTTCGACCTCATGGATTGGTTTTTGCTCTGACATGCACTGTCAACTGTGGGACCTTATATAGACAGGTGTGTGCCTTTCCAAATCATGTCCAATCAATTGAATTTACCACAGGTGGACTCCAATCAAGTTGTAGAAACATCTCAAGGATGATCAATGGAGACAGGATGCACCAGAGCTCAATTTCAAATCTCGTGGCAAAGGGTCTGAATACTTATGTAAATAAACTATTTATGTTTTTTATTTTTAACAAATTTGCAAAAATGTCTATAAACCTGTTTTTGCTTTGTCAATATGGGGTATTGTGTGTAGATTGATGAGGAATTTTGTTTATTTAATACATTTTAGAATAAGGTTGTAACTTAACAAAATGGAAAAAGTCAAGGGGACTGAATACTTTCCGAAGGCACTATATCTACATCAATGAAAGGGGGCTATTTGAGTACTTTGTATATTGTATTTTGACAATGACTTTGAAATAATGAAAGTGAAAAAGTTTTGCATTTTGATAATTTTTATTAAGAGTTTATCTGAACGTATCTCTTGATAAAGAGTCAAGACAATGGCACATAGTACATTATAAATCCTCTGTTATTGAAAACACAGCCAGATGTATTACTCTTCAATAAAGATAAATCTACTTTGTCATATATACTGAACAAAAATATAAACGCAACATGTTAAGTGTTGGTCCTATGTTTCATGAGCTGAAATAAAAGATTCATATGCACAAAAAGCTTATTTCTCTCATTTTGTGCACAAATTTGTTTACATCCCGGTTCGTGAGCATTTCTCGTTAGCCAAGATAATCCATCCACCTGACAGGTGTGGCATATCAAGAAACTGATTAAACAGCATGATCATTGCACAGGTGCACCTTGTGCTGTTGACAATAAAAGGCCACTTTAAAATGTGCAGTTTTGTCACACAACACAATGCCACAGATGTTTCAAGTTGAGGGAGTGTGCAATTGGCATGCTGACTGCAGGGAATGTCCACCAGAGCTGTTGCCAGATAATTTGTTAATTTCTCTCATAAGCCACCTCCAACTTTGTTTTAGAGAATTATTGGTAGTACATTTAACCGGCCTCACAACCACAGACCACGTGTAACCACGCCAGCCCAGGACCTCCACATCCGGCTTCTTCACCTGCGGGATCGTCTGAGACCAGCCACCTGGACAGCTGATGAAACTGAGGAGAATTTCTGTCTGTAATAAAGCCCTTTTGTGCGGGAAAACTCATTCTGATTGTCTGCGCCCCTGCCCAGTCATGTTAAATCCATAGATTAGGGCCTAATGAATTTATTTAAATTGACTGATATCCTTATATTCACTGTAACTCAGCAAAATCTTTGAAATTGTTGTATGTTGCGTTTTATATTTTTGTTCAGTATATATATATATATATGTAATACAAAGGAAAGATGCATATAAAGCAAGTCATTAAAAATAACTTGTCGAAGGTATTGTAAAAAATTATACAAAAACTAGAAATACATGTTTGAGCTTTGATTTCACAACTTCAGCAAGGATGATGATGATTTAGGAATAGTATACTTCATAGGTCGTTTCTCACAAGTCATACAAATATTTTATACTACTTGATACAACAGGAAAAGAGATAGGAAATGACCACTTTGGATCACATATCTCAACCATCACACCGCAGACAGAGCAACCCCAAACCTTAAAAAAAAACACAGACATTTTAGAAAAAGTTACGGTCAGCTATAGCAGTGTTTCCCAACCCTGGTCCTCCAGTACCCCCAACAGTACAGTTTTATTGTAACCCTGGACAAGCACACCTGATTCAACTTGTCAACTAATCATCAAGTCCTCAATGAGTTGAATCAGTTGTGTTTGTCCGGGGTTACAATAAAAATGTGTACTGTTGGGGTTACTGGAGGACCGGGGTTGGGAAACACTGAGCTATAGCATTCAGTGACAATACAATACATACTGCCAGCGGCCTTGTTATGCCGACCAGAGACATACTGTAGCTTTCGTATTGAACCAGGAAGTCCCTCTGAGGTTAGAAGACCACTTTCCCAAAGGAGACCTTCGTTTTACAGAATAAGGCAGAATGATTTGAGATTCAAAAATTGCTTGTGGGTTGCTGTGCCCATGTTGGCACCAAAACATCTGGAGATTGATAAGTATTACATTCTTGTTCTGTGATACCCATGACCAGAGCCATATATAAATATTAAGATAAATTAATGTCTCTGCCCATGCCTCTGCTTCACTCCAGAACCCCCCTTCACATCTTGACTGCAGGGGCCACAGTCTCCACACACACAGGCTCTGAGTAGGGCCCCTCCCTGTCCTCAGTGTGGGCCGACGCGGATAAGCAGTATGTGGAGGAAGGTTTGAGGTTGGCGACGATGGAGCTCTCGCCGTACACGGTCAGTATCTGGGGGCGGCTGGCGTGGCGGGGGCGAGAACTCTGCTCTCGCACCACTAGGGTGTAGTAGGCGGCCCCCTTCACGGGGGACCACTCCACCAGGAGGACGTTGGGGGTTTCCACGGTGACCCGCACCACGGGCTTGGACAGACCTGATGAAGGAGGCAAGGAGAGTGGTCTGAGTATGAATTGAATTATTTATTGAATTGATTTGTTAAAACCACTTTGTAATGTTGGCTTCCTGTATCATTGAGTCCACTTGTGAAATAGAGCAGAGCACTGATTACTCACTCGTCTCTGAGATCATCTCTTCTTCACTGAGATCTCTCCTTCTCCTCAAGTGATGCACTGTAGATGAGAACCATTTTAAGAGACATTGATTAACATCATATTAAGAGACAGTGATTAACATTGATGCAGAAGAAGGCGCTGGCTTCAGCCTATTTCAATAACAAACGGTCACATTTCCAAACACAACTGTCTGGGTTGGTTCCTACCTGTTATTTCCCTGGTGGGGTCGCTCTCCCCGGCCGTGTTGCTAGCGGTGACCTCCAGGTTGTTGTAGTTGAGGTTGGCCAGGGAACAGGACAGCTGTACCGTGCTGCACACCTGGTTCCGCACCGCGCCACTGATGTCATACACCGTATACATGGTGGCGTAGACGGATGCATTCCACGAGATGGTGGCCGAGGAGATGGAACCACTGTAGGTAACCACCGGTGGAGGGCAAGGGGCTGGAGAGAGATGGAATGCTATGGTTAGGGTTATGGTTGTGGTTGAGTTGTGTTATGTTTAGGGCAAGGTCTATATGACCTCACCAGGAAAAACTCTGGGTCCTAGTAATGTTATGTTATGTCATGACTTTAACACATCTTTCACTGACATCAGAGATTGGAGTGAAATGTGAGTGATGCCATAGAGATAGATTGAGGACAAAATAAGAAAATTGAATACTTTAAAATGTAGATGCTGTCACAGACACCATAATGGCACAGATACAAACATGAGTCCTCTATCTAACTCAATGACTTGTGCACATCTGTCCCACGTTAGGTCTCTTGCTGTACCTGTGGTTCCAGTGATGGCTGCAGAGGGGGCGCTGTCGCCTGCAAAGTTCCTGCTCCTCACTGTCGCGCTATAGGACGAGCCACAGGGGAGGAGCAGCTCGAAGAAGCTGGAGCTGGTCCAATAGGAAGACAGCTCGAACTGGGATTGGCTGTCTCCCAGGATGCTTCCGGTCACCTCCAGCAGGTATTGGACGTTGGGACAGATCACATGGGTCCAGGAAGCACGCAAAAACTGGGTCTGGTTCTGCATGGGGAACATGGTCACTGCCATGGTCTCTGGGGGACAGGGAGCTACAGAAGAGAGGAAGGACATACTGTCAACAAATACCAGATCTAAACATGTTCCTTCCTCTCTGACCTTCCTCTCCAATGCGTTTTTGATGAGGAGGTGAGGAGAGAAGATGTCAGGAATCAAGAAAAGATCAATTGAGAGAGAGCCTCTAAGTTGAGTTATCCTCCCAAGACCAAGGAAAACTATCACTACTCAATGATCAATATGATGACTGTACAATATGCTGACTGTACAATATGATGACTGTACAATATGATGACTGTGCAGTACCTGCTCCGGCCAGCAGAGGCTCACTGAAGGAGCTGTTGCAGGTCCCGTCTGAGGCCTGAACAGAGAAGTTGTACTGGGCACCACACTCCAACCCTCCGATGGCACAGGAGGTCCCTGTGCTCTCACAGTAAAGCATGGTGCCATCCTCAGCCTGGCCACAGCCCCTGTAGTCCACAACGCCACCTCTGACTGTCCACGACAGCAACGCAGAGTGGTTGGCACACTGGACCAACACGGACAGACCTTCTGGCTGGCAGGGCACTGAAGGAGAGAAAGGTCAAAGTTGAAAGGTCAAATGGCAGATGATGACACCACATTCCCTAAATAGTCCACTAGATTTCGGCAGAAGCACATGGAGCATGTCATCATACTGTCTGTCCTACACACCTAATGTTTGTGTGATGCGTACCTGTATTGAAGGTGACGTTCTGACTGGCGCCACTGGAGCAGTTCTCGTGGCTGGCGGTCACACAGATAGCGTACTGCTGACCACACTGCAGCTCAGACAGGGAGCAGTTGTTGGCGGTCGTTTTGCAGGACCGCACGTCCCCGTTTCCACCCGTTGCGGTCATGAGGTAGGTCTCGGCCACAGGGGACGTGGTCCAGGACACGTGAGCTCCGTGGGACTCACAGGGGGAGCTGATGACCACACCCTGGGGGGGGCATGGTTCTTGAGAGAAACAGAGAGGGAGGAGGGTGAGAGATCAGAGATACTCTTTAGATAGATAACTAGAACAAGCAAGGACACTAACCATGTTGACTATAATGACCACTGTTATAACAACTGTTATAACAACTTATAAACCCTGTTCTGGAACAGCTTTAGTACAGAGTACCAGGTTCTGTATTCACAAAGTGTCTCAGAGCAGGAGTGCTGATCTAGGATCGGTTGTGTCTTTTAGATCCTAATGAATATGATTAAACAGTGGCTTGCAAAATTATTCACCCCCCTTGGCATTTTTCCTATTTTGTTGCCTTACAACCTGGAATTAAAATTGATACACCGCAGGCCAGGTCAGGCACCTCACAGGTGGTGTCAGAGCCATGGGTGGAGCAGGAGGAGTTGTACCCCCCCACGCCGTCAGCGGTCACCATGTATCTGTCCACCCCCAGGGCAGGGGCCCAGGACACCCAGTACCTTCTTCCATATGTTTGGGGAGTCTCCCACATGCCTTTTGGCGAACACCATACGTGTTTGCTTATTTTTTTCTTTAAGCAATGGCTATTTTCTGGCCACTCTTCCGTAAAGCCCAGGTCTGTACGGCTTAAAGTGGTCCTATGGACAGATACTCCAATCTCTGCTGTGGAGCTTTGCAGCTCCTTCAGGGTTTCTTTGGTCTCTTTGTTGCCTCTCTGATTAATGCCCTCCTTGCCTGGTCCATGAGTTTTGGTGGGCGGCCCTCTCTTGGCAGTTTTGTTGTGGTGCCATATTCTTTCAATTTTTTAATAATGGATTTAATGGTGCTCCGTGGGATGTTCAAAGTTTCAGATATTTTTTTATAACCCAACCCTGATCTGTACTTCTCCACAACTTTGTCCCTGGCCTGTTTGGAGAGCTCCTTGGTCTTTGTGGTGCCGCTTGCTTGGTGGTGCCCCTTGCTTAGTGGTGTTGCAGACTCTAGAGCCTTTCAGAACAGGTGTATATATAATTAGATCATGTGACAGATCATGATTGATCATGATTAGATTGCACACAGGTGGACTTTATTTAACTCATTATGTGACTTCTGAAGGTAATTGGTTGAACCAGATCTTATTTAGGGGCTTCATAGCAAAGGGGGTGAATACATATGCACGCACCACTTTTCCGTAATGTATTTTTTAGAAACAAGTAATTTTTTAAATTTCACTTCACCAATTTGGACTATTTTGTGTATGTCCATTACATTAAATCCAAATAAAAATCCATTTAAATTACAGGTTGTGATGCAACAAAATAGGAAAAACCCCAAGGGGAATGAATACTTTTGCAAGGCACTGTGTGGACAGGCAGGTCCTGATCCCAGATCAGCACTCAGTACTCTAAGATGCTTTGTGAATACGGGACCTGATATGACTCTTAATACAGCCATGAAACCTACCCATGCTGATCCTATAAGGAGGACTCCTCCGGCTGGTGCAGCTGTCTGATGATGCCGCTACGATGACAGTGTAGTGCAGGCCACAGCGCGCCCCCTCCAGGTCACAGCTGCTGGCAGAGCTGTTGCAGGTCAGCACGCTGCGGTCGCTGGCCTCCGCCGTGGCGATGTACACAGGGTTTCCCACGCTGCCCACCATGGGCTCCCACAGGACCAGGATGGAGGAGTTATGACACTGGGCGAAGGCGGTGATGCTGGCCAGGGCGCAGGGAGCTGGAGGTAAACATATATTTTGTTATTGATTTTCAGAGGGAAATATAGCATGACACTAATAATAAGACAGTGGAAGACAATATGATAGCCAGTGAAATAGGTTAAAATAATTACTATAATGTCCCCAGTCAACTTATATTGTCCTCCAAGAGTTACTGAATATCACTCATATTTCTTTTTACACCAACGACCAACCCACCCAACTCCCAAAAACCCTACATCCCAGCAAAATAGCCCCGTTCATCCAAGCTTGACCCAGGTGACATTGCCATTCTTTACGTGTCTCGAGGTCGAAGGTCGCACTGGGTGGACTATCACACTGTCCGTTGCTAGCAGTAACCGAGAAGTTGTAGCGCACCCCGCAGGCCAGGTCAGGCACCTCACAGGTGGTGTCAGAGCCATGGGTGGAGCAGGAGGAGTTGTACCCCCCCACGCCATCAGCGGTCACCATGTATCTGTCCACCCCCAGGGCAGGGGCCCAGGACACCCAGGCATTGTTGGTCACACAGTCCTGGCTACCGTTCACCCCCGTGGGCATGCACGGGGCTGGGTAGAAAGACAGGAAGGGATGGTTAGATACACTGGAGCAATAGTACTGAAGAGAATATGTTTTTTAGTAGGGAAGTTTGAAGGGAGGTTTAAAGTCAGAAAAAAGTATCTCATCTGGGATCATGGATCATCTAGAACTTTACATATGTTGTATAAAAGTAGCTATTCTGTTTCCATCAATCTAATCAAATGTTCAGGAATCAAACTGTAGATCGGTTATGTATTAGTGGCTACACAATAGCTGATGGCTAATTCTGATGACAAACAACTGACCAATGTGGCGTTCTGGTGACCCAACCGTACCTGATGAGATGTTGAGGGCCTGACTGGGCATGCTGTGGCAGCCTCCTCTGGCAGCGGTGACCTGGACAGAGAAGCTCTCTCCACAGGGCAGACTGGTGATGAAGCACTGGGTGTCTGTAGTGTTGCAGGAGTGGCTTCTCCCTCCCTTTGTCACTGCATCCACCAGGAAGAACTGGACATCCATGTTGGGGTCCCAGGTCACCAACATGATGCCTGAGGCACAGTATACCTCGGCATCCACATTCTGGGGCGGGCAGGGGGCTGGAGGGAGGGATTCTCATTAGTCAATTGGATTAGCAGCACATTACTATCTGTGTGTGTGTGTGTGTGTGTGCGTGCGCACATTCATGTTTTTTGCCCATCTCACCCGTTTGCACGTCTGAGCTGACACTCTGAATGCTCCTACAGACTCCATCCATAGAGTGGACTGAGACATTGTACATCTGGCCACACTGCAATCCCTCCAGATCACTGTCCGTGGTGCTAGAGTTCCAAGAGGTAATGTGGCCATTGGTGGCCTCTCCTACAACCATATAGGACAGGGCTCCACTGCCTCTATCCCAGGTCACTGAGGTAGAGTTGGTGCTGCACTGGAAGTTAGTCTGCAGGTTACCCGGAGCACAGGGCCCTAGAGTGGAGAGGAGAGGATGGACAGTGGGTTCATTTGGTGTTATTAAATTATCTAATTAATTGAAAAACACAAACATCCATATAATGAGAAAATTAATTGGATAGTTTTATAATAATCAAGATATTACTCCAAATGATCAAAGACATACACTGAGTGCACAAAACATTAAGAACACATTCCTAATATTGAGTTGCACCCCCCTCAGAACAGCCTCAATTCGTCGGGGCACGAACTCTACAAAGTGTCGCAAGTGTTCCACAGGGATGCTGGCCCATGTTGATTCCAATCCTTCCCATAGTTGTGTCAAGTTGGCTGGATGTCCTTTGGGTGGTGGACCATTCTTGAGACACACGGGAAACTGTTGCACTTGAAAAACCCAGCAGCGTTGCAGTTCTTGACAAAAAACGGTGCACCTGGCACCTACTACCATACCCCGTTCAGCCACTTAAATATTTTGTCTTGCCCATTCACCCTCTGAATGGCACACATACACAATCCATGTCTCAATTGTCTCAAGGCTTAAAAATCCTTCTTTAACCTGTCCTCCCCTTCATCTACACTGATTGAAATGGATTTAACAATTGAGATCAATAAGGGATCATAGCTTTCTGCTGGATTCAACTGGTCAGTCATGGAAAGAGCAGGTGTTCAGTTATGACTGAAAACACAATGTATAATGTAAATATCAAATTACTATATTCTTGCTCTGTAACTACTGTGAAAAAATTTGTTTAGAATGTACATGTAACAACAAAAGAAAAAGCTGTAAAAACAAAGTTTATTTTTGTCCTCCGAAGGAAACCCAAAAAGAGCAGGTGTTCTTAATGTTTTGTATACTCAGTGTACAAACACAACAAAGTCCAACGTCTAATATCCATTCTGTGGTCCTTTTTGGATAGCTATGACCAGTGTTAGAGCACCACCACTGCTCAGTGGATTGTGATTGGCTACAACGCACTCACCTGACGGCAGGGTGAGTTGTGAACGACTGTTGTCGCAGACGCCTTCCAGGGCGGTGACGGTGAGGTTGTAGCGCTGGCCGCAGTGCATGGTGGGTAGTGTGCAGGATGAGGAGGTGCTGTTGCAGCTGAGACGGTGTCCGTCAGAGCCAACTGCCGTAACAAGGTGTGATGTCACCCTGTCACTAATCTCCCAGGAGACCACGCCCTCGTTGCTATGGCAGTCCAAGTGAGCACTGACATTCTGGGGCTCACAGGGTTCTGAAGAGAGAAAAGAAAGGGTTAAAGGGGGACCCACTTGGGCAGGTGGCAGAATTTGTTTTGTCCAGGATCACACTCCATTTACGGTATTGAAAATGTCACACACACACCTGTCTCCACGGTGATGGGGCTGCTGTAGGCACTGGAGCAGGTGTTGTCGGCAGCGCTGACGGTGACGCTGTAGGTGTGTCCACAGAGCAGGTCATTGAACACACACACCGTCCCACTGGCGTTGCAGGAGAACGCGTAGCCCTCGTTGCCCTGGGCGATGGCGGTGTAGGCAGTGGCTCCATTGCTATGCTTCCAGGTCACTGACACGTCACCACTCACACAGTCGACTCTTCCCTCCACCAGAGATGGCACACATGGCACTGTGGAGAGAGATAAATGGAGGGAAGGACAGAGGGGAAGAGAGAGGGGGGGAAATTATTACCTCCAATACTAAGTAATGCATTGTTTGAATAATTGATACACAGTAAATGTTATGGTGCTAAATGTCACTCAAGAGAGAGTGAGCGATAGGGGAGAGAGAGAGATGGGGGGGGGAGAGAGGATGGGTGAGAGAGATTGGGATAAAATATGGTATAGAGAGAGAGGATAGAGATGGGGAGAGGGAGGAATGAGAGAAGGGAGATAGAGAATGGGAGAGAAGAGGGGAAATGAGAGCGGAGAGTAGAGAGAGATTGGTATGAGGAGGGGAGCGCGATGGGGAAGAGCGATTTCTGAAGCTGAGAGCCTGAGCGCGCGTTGGGGGGTTTTGGGGCGTCTTCTGTGAGGTCCCCATGGGGGGCGGCGCTGCAGGGTGTGCGCCTCTTGGTGGTTTCCGCGTGCCCTTTTTGCTTCATTTCTCTCGTTTTCTCTCTCTCTGTTTTGCTCTCTCGTCTTTTTTCACTTTTGGAACCCTGGCTCTTTCTTCTTTTTCTATCGCTCTATTTTTTCTTGTTGCCTCTGTCCTTTTTTTTCTGTTTGTCCCTTTCCTCCTACTTTTCCCTTTTTTTTCTTTTTCTTTTCTTTCTCGTCTTTTCTTCTCTTTTTCTTTTTGTTTTCTCTCTTTTGTTCTCGTCTTCGTTTTTTTCCCCCCTTTTTTCCCCTCCCCCCTTTTTTTCCCCCTTTTTTTTTTTCCCCCCCCCTTTTTTTTTTTTTTTTGTTTTTTTTTTTGGGTTTTTTTTTTTTTTTTCTTTTTTTCCCCCCCCCCCCTTGGGCCCGGGTTTTTTTTTTTTTCCCCCCTTTTGTTCCCCCTTTTTTCCCTTGTTTTTCTTTTTGTTTCCCTTTTTTTGGCCTTTTTTTTTTTTTTTTTTTTTTCCTCTCCTCTCTCTTTTTTTTTTTCCCCCCCCTTTTTTTCCTCTCTTTTTCTTCTCCTCCTTTTTCTCTCCTTTCTCCCCCCCTCCCCCCTTTTTTTTTTTTTTCTCTCTTCCCCTTTTTCCCCTTCCTGCTCTCCTTTCTCCTTCTCTCTTTTTCTCTCTCCTCTTTTCTCCCCCTTTTTCTCTCTCTCTTTTTTCCTTTTTTTTCCTCTTCCCCTTTTTCCTCCCGCTTTTTCCCCCCCCCTTTTTCCCCCCCCTTTTTCTCCTTTTTTCTCCTCCTCTTTTTCCTCCCCCCCCCTCCCCCCCTTTTTCCCCCCCTTTCCCCCTTTCCTTTTTTCCCCCCCTTTTTCCTCCCTTTTTTCCCTCCCCCCTTTTTCCCCCCCCTTTTTTTCCCTCTTTTTCCCCCCTTCCGCCCCCTTTTTCGGGGGGTTTTTTTTTTTCCCCCTGGGGTTTTTTTTTCCCCCCCCCCTTTTCCCTCCCTTCCCCCCGGGGGCCCCCCTTTGGGGCCCCTTTTTCCCCCCCCTCGGGTTTGGGGGTTCTCCTTCCCCGCTTTCCCCCTTTTTCTCCCGCCCTTTTTTTTCCCCCCTTTTTTTGGGCCCCCTTTTTTTTCCCCCTTTTCCCCCTCCCCCCCCCCCCCCTTTTTTTCCCCCTTTTGGGGTTTTTTTTTTTTTTTTTCTTTTTTTTGTTTTTTTTTTTTTTTTCTTTTTTTTTTTTTTTTTTCCCCCCCCTTTTTTTTCGCCTTTCCTTTTTTATTTTTGTAAAGGGCCCCCTGGAAATCATTAAATTATTTAAAAATTAAAAATATAATTCCTTTAGCAAACCCTTTTTCCAAGCACTTACAGTCATGCGTCATAATTTTTGTGTTGGGGGGGTCCTGGGACAAAACCCCTACCTTGGTTTTAAAAGCGCCGGCTCTCCACTGACTACAGAGGACCACAACAGTGGCAGAATCGATCATTTTAAAAGGTTTAATAATATGAAGCCAATTAAGTCAACTGTGCAACTGGCTGCTATAGGCTAGTACCTGTGTTGATCTGAACAGTGTTGCTGGGCGGGCTGTGACAGCCGTTACTACGTGCGGTCACAGTGAAGCTGTAGGTTGCTCCACAGGCCAGGTCAGTGAACTGACAGGTAGAGCCAGTGGAGTTACAGTGCTGCACTGCCCCATCTGACCACCTGGTGGCGATAGACTCATACAGCTCCACCTCTGACCTCTCCTCCCAGGACAGGTCGGCTATCTGGGTGCCACACGTCAGGTCTACAGCAACATGCTGGGGAGAGCACGGACCTGGGGGGTCAAGTGTTAGAGGTTAGAGATTCTGAGGGGTTACACATGGGAGGAAGGGTATAGAAGAGGTCAGCTAATCAGTTCTGGAAATAAACAAGAAAGATGTAAGCAATATGGTGGTCGTTCCTCCCTACTTTTCAATGGAGGTCGGAGAGCGTCTGTACTCTGTAACATTGCTTACACCTATCCAGTTCATTCACATCTGCGAACACACAAAGGTCTAGTATAATGAAAATTCCTATATAAAAAGCGACCTGTCCAGACATCCACTTACGTGTGTCGAAGCTGGCGTTGATGGGGACAGTGATCTGACACTCCTGGTTGGTGGCGGTGAGTGTGATGTTATACCGCCCTCCGCAGGATAGACCCGTGACATTACACTGGTTCTGCTCGGTAGTGCAGGAGGCCGCATCGCCCCCCACCCCCATGGCAGACAGGGTGTAGTTGTTGGCTCCGTCAGTGTAGCTCCAGGACAGCAGGGCGGCGCCATCGCTCCCACAGTCCACCTGGGCCTGCACACTGCTGGGTAGACATGGGGCTGGGGATGGGGGGACAGGGGACAGAGGGTTAGTAGGGGAGTCACATAGACAGAGGCCTATTATTGAAAACAGAGGCATGAGATGGGACTGGGGTAGTTGTAAGCATTGCAAGCTTTTCTCAGACAAAAGCTTTAGGGGGAAGTGACAAATCTGCTCCAGGGGCCCTGCTCTGAGGCTGACCCTGTGTGGCTCCCAGTCTGTCAGGCTGGTGATGTGGCAGCAAAAAAAGAAATGTGCAAATGGGTCAGTAGAGATGTATTGTGTTATGTTGTGCTCACCTGGTGAAAGACCAACTCCAGAGGAGACTGAACTGTTAAACTGAACTCCCAGGGCTCTGACATAAACGTAGTACACCGTGCCGCAGTTCAGCCCTCCCATGTCACAGCTGGTTGCCGTGGTGAGACAGTTGGTGGAGTGGCCATCCTGGCCTTCCAGGACAACGGCGTAACCCACGGCAATGTCACTCGCTTCCCAGGAGACGGAACCTGTCAGAGTGTTGCAGTCCATACTGGCCTGCACGTTGGTGGGCGTACAGGGCTCTGAAACACACACACACACACACACACACACACACACACACCACAAGAAGAAACACAAACTGCACAAAGAGAAACACTACATTGTGCAAGCAGAACTGTGAAATGTAATGGGCTATCTCAATATCTTCTTCTGGTACTTTTATTTAACTTATTCCAAATTATAGCTGCTTTTTAAACCACCCCACTAACCCCTCCCATCCCCTCTCTAGCCAATACCAACCTACAGTTCCTTGCGAAAGTAATCACCCCCCTTGGTATTTTGTCCTATTTTGTTGCCTACCCAACTTGAATTAAAATGGATTTGTTGGGGATTGTATCATTTGATTTACCACAACATGCTACCACATTGAAGATGCAAATAGTTTTGTATTGTGAACACAAAAAATAAAAAACTGAAATGCTTAGCGTGCATAATTATAAACCTCCGTCCCAGTCTCAAATCTGCGCCATGCTCTACCAGCAACAGGTTTCCCTCAAGACTTTCCCTTATTTAGCGCCATCCATCATTCCTTCAATTCTGACCAGTTTCCCAGTCCCTGCAGATTAAAAACATCCCCACAGCATGATTCTGCCACCACCATGCTTCACTGTGGGGATGGTGTTCTCGGGGTGATGAGAGGTGTTGGGTTTGCGCCAGACATACTGTTTTCCTTGATGGACAAAAAGCTCAATTTTAGTCTCATCTGACCAGAGTACCTTCTTCCATATGTTTGGGGAGTCTCCCACATGCCTTTTGGCAAACACCATACGTGTTTTCTTATTTTTTTCTTTAAGCAATGGCTTTTTTCTGACCACTCTTCCATAAAGCCAAGCTCTGTGGAGTGTACGGCTTAAAGTGGTCCTATGGACAGATACTCCAATCTCTGCTGTGGAGCTTTGCAGCTCCTTCAGGGTTATTCAATTTTCATTTCGTCATTTAGCAGACGCTCTTATCCAGAGCGACTTACAAATTGGTGCATTCACCTTATGATAGCCAGTGGGACAACCACTTTACAATATATATATATATATATATATATATATATATATATATATATATATATATATATAATTTTTTTTGATGGTCTCTTTGTTGCCTCTCTGATTAATGCCCTCCTTGCCTGGTCCGTGAGTTTTGGTGGGCAGCCCTCTCTTGGCAGGTTTGTTGTGGTGCCATATTCTTTCAATTTTTTAATAATGGATTTAATGGTGCTCAATGGGATGTTCAAAGTTTTGATATTTTTTATAACCCAACCCTGATCTGTACTTCTCCACAACTTTATCCCTGACCTGTTTGGAGAGCTCCTTGGTCTTCATGGTGCTGCTTGCTTGGTGGTGCCCCTTGCTTAGTGGTGTTGCAGACTCTGGGGCCTTTCAGAACAGGTGTATATATATTGAGATCATGTGACACTTAGATTGCACATAGGTGGACTTTACTTAACTAATTATGTGACTTCTGAAGGTAATTGGTTGCACCAGATCTTATTTAGGGGCTTCATAGTAAAGGGGTGAATACATATGCTCGCACCACTTTTCTGTTATTTATTTTTTAGAATTTTTTGAAACAAGTAATTTTTTTCATTTCACTTCACCAATTTGGACTATTTTGTGTATGTCCATTACATGACATCCAAATAAAAATGAAATTTAAATTACAGGTTGTAATGCAACAAAATAGGAAAAACCCCAAGGGGGATGAATACTTTTGCAAGGCACTGTACATCCTGCTCACATGACTGACCTGTCATCATGGTGTAGGGCTTGGAGGTGACACTGTTGTTACAGGCGCTGTTGCTAGCAGAGACAGTGACATTGTACAGCTGACCGCAGGCCATGGCGGGCAGGGCACAGTTGGTGTCGTTGGTGTGACAGCTGACCGTCAGGCCCTGGTCAGTGATGGCCTGGGCAGAGTAGGAGGTGGCACCTTTAGCAGTGTCCCAGAACAGCTGAGCGATGGACAGGCTGTAGGACACACTGAGATTCATGGGCACACAGGGCTCTGGGGGAGAGAGGGAGAGGGAGGGAGAGAGGGGGAGAGAGGGAGAGAGGGGGGAGCGGGGGAGAGAGGGGTTACTTGTTGTTATATAGATGTGATTACAGTATGTAGAGGGGTGTTACATAGGGGTTATTGCAAGGTTTTATATAGGGGTGCAAGGTTATTACATAGGGGTTATCATAAGTTTATTACATAGGTGCATTAACAGGGGTATTACAGGTGTCCTCTCCCTCCTCCCTCCCTTTTCCCTCCCCCTCCCTCCCTCCCTCCCTCCCTCCTCCCTCCCTCCCTCTCACCTGTGGTGAGGTGTCCTGCCATCTGTGCCACACTACTGCAGCTCTCTCCCAGAGCCCTCACAGTCACAGTGTAGTCCTCCCCACATTCCAGAACACTCATCTCACAGTTGGTGTGCTTAGTGGCACAGCTAGCGTTGTGGCCTGACCCGGCCATTACCATGGTGACGTAGGACAAGGTGCCGGCGCTGGGTTGCCAGGATACGGTGGCGGAGACCGCCTCGCAGTCCATGAAGGCCTGGAGGGAGCTGGGCAGGCAAGGCACTGTGGGAGTGGTGGAGAGAAACGTTACTGGATGCTCCTGTGTGTGTGTGTGTGTTTGTATGTGTGTGCATGTCTGTTCGTGTGTGTGTGTGTGTGGTTCCTACCTGAGTGTGTATGGGTGTCAACGCTCTGTGGGCTGGTGCACTTGTCGTCTGACCCAGCTACAGTCACATGGTAGACCTGTCCACACTGGAGCCCCGCGACGGTACACTGCGTCCCCACCGACTTACACGTGGTAGACATGCCGTTACCATCCTCCAACGTGGCGATATAGTACTCTGAACCGTCACTCGCAAACCAGGAAGCGGTCACAGCATTGGACAGGCAGTCAGAATCGGTCTTGACACCCGTGGGCATGCAGGGAACTGGAAAGGAGATTGAGATGACATAATGTACAATAGAATGACTGTGAGCGATACACAACTTTAAAACCATGGCCATGGTCATTTTAAAAGACAATGTGATAACATGATTCAGTCTGCAGGTAGCCTTTCTGCATTACATGTCATTAAATGTCTATTCACAACAACACACCTGTCTTGACTTCCGCTGACTGGCTGCTAGCGCTGGTGCAGGTGCTGTCCTGAGCTGTCACTGTGACCGTGTATGTCTGGCCACACTGTAAGGACATCAGTTCACAACTCAGGCCTGCTGATTGGCAGTTGGCAGAGTGACCTGCATTGCTATTGGCTTCTACAGAGTAAAGGTCGGCTCCCAGGCTGCTGTTCCAGGTCATGGCGGCCATGTTGGTGCTGCAGCTCAAGTTGGCCATGGGAGCAGAGGGCACACATGGAGCTTGGAGGGAACATCAGAATTACATGGAATTAGATGGATCTGTGATGGAGGCATATATCTCCTAATGCTTCTACCCGGTTGACCATCCCTTTATAATAACCACTTGGGGAATAAATATGTCTAGCAGCCCTGTGATTAGTAGCTGGTGTTGGTATGATTTACTGTACATATAGGTTTGGTTAGGGTCACGGTTTGCTTGGTTGCCTTAGTAACACACCTGTCTTGATAGGGGATTCCGAGCTTTGGGAGCTGTTGCAGGTATGTCCCTCTGCAGCCACTGTCACTGTGTACGTCTCTCCGCAGGGAAGGGAGGTGATGTCACAGCCGGTGGTGTTGGAGGAGCAGGAAGCTGCCTCACCACCAGCCGTGTGTAGTCTAGCTGTATAAGACAGCGCCCCCTGGCTGTGGGTCCAGCTAATGCAGGCGGTGCGGTTCTCACAGCCCACTGAGGTGTGGATATTCTGGGGAGGACAAGGGGCTGCAGGGGGGAACACGGGGACATGTTAGCATGTTAGCCAGGACCCAAACTGGGTTATGAGTTTCACATGTTTTCGCTTGGCTAGACTGGCATCAGAATAGGATGTGTGGCCTGTGTGTCCTAAAGCATGGGTCCTGAATGGGCACAAGCAGAGAGACTCACACACACACTTGTACATAGACACCCACACACGCACACACACACACACACACACACACACACACACACACACACCCACACACACACACACACACACACACACACACACACACACACACACACACACACACACCACACACACACACACACACACACACACACACACACACACACACACACACACACACACACACCACACACACACACACACACACACACACACACCCACACACACACAGTTGTACCTGTCATTGACTGTATCATAGCGCTGGGAGCGCTCGCACACAGCCTGTCCAAGGCGGTCACACTGAAAACATATTGCTGTCCACACTGCAGGCTGGACACCTGGCAGGAAGTGACATCACTGGAGTTACACTGCAGGCTCCCGCCCTGGCCGTCCTCCGCTGTGACTTCATACAGCTCCGCCCCTGCAGCCGTTGCCCAGGTGATAGAGGCGGAGTCAGAGGAGCAAAGCAGCTGGACATCAGAGAGGAGGGGCACACAGGGCGCTGAGGGAGGGGACAGGTGAAAAACAGTGTTACAACCTCATAGCAACCTTTATACAACCTCGTAAGATAAGATAAGTTAGTACTTTGTTCATTACATTTCCCTTTTGGGGGATTAATAAAGTACTATCTTATCTTACAAACCTTATATAGTGTTCAATCACAGGAGGCTGCTGAGGGGAGGACGGCTCATAGTAATGGCTGGAATGGAGCAAATGGAATGGCATCAAATACATGGAAACCACGTGTTTGATGTATTTGATACCAAAACACTAATTCCGCTCCAGCCGTTACCAAGAGCCTGTCCTTCCCAAATAAGGTGCCACCAACTTCCCAATGTAATATATTTTTGGAGATTTGCTCAATAGATAATATCTGTCCCATTGATGTGTCACTGACCTGTAGTGAAGGTAAACGTCAGGCTTGGGATGCTCCAGCAGTTGTCCTTTGAGGCTGTGACAGTGACGTTGTACTCACTGCCACACTGCAGCCTAGTCAGAGCACAGTTAGAGTCTGTGGTGTTACAGTCTACTGAACTACGCTGCACGTCCAATGCCTGGGCTCTGTACGCCACCCCCAGTGCATTCTGGGAGTCCCAGGTGACCATAGCGATGTTGGTGGAGCAGTCCACGGTGGCTGAGAGGGAGGTGGGGGGGCAGGGTGCTGGGGAGCAGAGTGAGAGAGGGGGGCACAGTCACAACAAACATACAGTAGGTCAACCATTAAGTAATGGTCATCAATTAAACAACATTTTCCTGTTTTCTTACCTGTTGAAATCTCATTGGCTGCGCTGTGGGAGCTGTTGCAGGATTGGCCCTGTGCTACCACGGTAATGTTGTAGGCGTTTCCACAGCTCAGATTGGGGACGACACAGGAAGTTGTATTGGTGTCGCACATCATGACGTTACTTCCTTCTTGCACCGTGGCGTGGTAGCGGGTCGCCCCGACGCTCGGTTGCCAGGCAACATTCAACCTTCCAGAAAGGCAGTCCAGTTGGGTTTCCACAGATTGAGGAGGGCAGGGAGCTGAAGGGGGAAAAGTTATATAAAAGGTCATGAACAAGTGAATAAAAGAGTGTCAGAAAGTTTAATAGTAGAGGTAGAAAATATGGAGTGTTAAACTACGCTGTATTTACCTGTAGTGAACGTTACAGCCTGACTGCCTGGACCAGGACAACCGGTGTGCATTGCTACAACAACGACAGAGTATTCCTGCCCGCATACCAGGTTTTTAAGGGAACATTGTGTGCCTGTGTCGCTGCAGGAGGATTTGTGACCATGGTTACCCTCCGCCTGCACGGTGTAGGCTGTAGCTCCCACGGCACTGTTCCAAGTGATGAGGGCCATCCCTGTACCACAGTCTAGACTGGAGGCAATGTTAGTGGGCACGCAAGGAGCTGGAGAGAGAAAGGGATGGAGGGACAGAGAGAGAGGGATAGAGGGAGAGAGAGAGGGATGAGGGAGAGAGAGAGGGATGGAGGGAGAGAGAGAGAGAGGGATGGAAGGAGAGAGAGAGGGATGGAGGGGGAGAGAGAGAGAGATGGATGGAGGGACAGAAAGAGGGATGGAGGGACAGAAAGAGGGATGGAGGGACAGAGAGAGAAAGAGAGAGAGAGATGGAGGGGACAGAGAGAGATATGGAGGGACAGAGAGAGAGATGGAGGGACAGAGAGAGAGATGGAGGGACAGAGAGAGATATGGAGGGACAGAGAGAGAGATGGAGGGACAGAGAGAGAGATGGAGGGACAGAGAGAGAGAAATAGAGGGACAGAGAGAGATATGGAGGGACAGAGAGAGAGAGATAGAGGGACAGAGAGAGAAAGAGAGAGAGAGATGGAGGGACAGAGAGAGGGGTTTAGAGCTTTATCTAAGCAGCTTGGTGGTATGCCATATTTTTCTCCTGATAATGGCTTTTAAATAACATCAAAAAGTTATATTGTGTGGCCTGGGGCAATACATTATATTGTATAAATGCAAAATAAACTAGAGTGAAAATTTAAATATTTATCATACATTTCCTATTTATCAAATGTAAGAGAACTGTAGGTGCACCAGTACCTGTGAGCATCTGCATGGGAGAGCTGACCTCGCTCATACACACGTTGGTGTGGCCCACGACGCTGAAGGTGTACATCTCGCCACAACTCAGCTCAGAGAAGGAGCAGCTGGTCTCATTGGTGCTGCAGCTGGTGTTGGTGCCTGACACGTCCGTCGCCGTCACCGTGTAGTTCTGAGCTGTGCTGGTCAGGTCCCAGATCACCGTGGCGACGTTGGCGCTGCACTCCAGGTCCACCGTGGTATTCTGGGGCTTACAGGGGGCTGGAGAGGGGAGAGGGATAGGGGGAGAGAGGTGTTAATTGACAATAACTAATGCCCAGTTCTTCCTGGTCAGGTCACGTGGGTCAGGGCCCTAGTAATTTCATTTGAAAACTGAAACAGATGGATCTCACTTCCCTATTCACACTAGCTGTCATGAATCCCGCTTCCTGAGTCGGTTTCTGTCTGAGTGGCCTGTTTTTGTCCTGGAGTTGTTTTTTCCTGAGTTTCCTGAACGCACCCTGTCTGGTTGCCAGGCGACGAAGCAAGGCGCGAGATCTCTCCATTACCCGCACCTGTATCTCATCAGCTATCTGCACACCTGGTTCTGATCATCACCTCTCCACTTCATAAGCTCTGACCTGACATCCATTCCCTGCCGGATCGTTAGCCATGAACAGTATGTTGTGCCTGCGTATCAGCCTCAGATTACTAAAGTTAGTTTTGCTGTTCTGTTACTTTTTGCTTGTTGTGAACTCACCTTTGTTTCCTCTGTCTACAGTTATTCTCCCGGAACATTCACTCCACCGCTGCCTGGTCGTCTGTGGCTTCAGAGACATCATTGGATCTGCCCAACTCACCTCGACTGCCAGCTCCGTCACCTGGATTGTCCTGCTTCCACATTTAAGTCTTTAAATAAATACTCACCCTTCATTCAACTCACCTTGTCCTGGTCTGCTTCTGGGTTCTGCTTTAGAGAATCGTGACACTAGCTTTTTATAATGAAGCCATGTATTGGGCATTCTAAGTGTGGATATTGGAACAGACACCTCATTTGGCAGAACTATAGCCCACCTACCCGACTGAACCTGGTAGTCTGATCCAGCGATGATGGAACAGTTGATGGAGGAGGAGGTGACAGCCACCTCGTAAGTCTGGCCACACTGCAGATTGAAGATGCTGCAGGAGTTAGAGGTGGAGTTACAGGAGGCCTGGTAGCCGTCACTGCCGATGACCAGGGCTGTGTAGGTGTCGTCTCCATCTCCAGGGGTCTGCTGCCACTGGACCGCTAACACGTTGGAGTTACAGTTCAGCTCTGCCACCACGTTCTCAGGCAGACAGGGGGCTGGGTGAGGGAAGAGAGAGGAGAGTGAAATATGTGACATGTTGGGTTTTGAGAGCACAATAATGGACTGATTGTGTAAAGAGTGTAGTGTGTTTGGGGGAATTTATGTGTTTGTGTCTTACCTGAGTCAAATTCAATGGCGGCGTGCAGAGTACTGTTGCAGGAGTCAGTGGAGGCGACCAGTATAGCCGAGTACGTCTGCCCGCAGTGCAGTTTCACCGCACAGGAAGTATCATTGGAGGTACAAGAAGCCACGTGCCCATGGCCGCCCGTCACCTCGGCGATGTAGTAAGAGGCGCCGAGGCTTTCGAACCAAGAGATCTTGCCTCGGTTGGTTCCACAGTCCACACGCGCTGCCAGGTGGGTTGGCTGGCATGGAGCTGAGGGGGCAGAGAGACAGAGGTCATGTGATGAGATGTCAGCCAATGGGTGGTGAGCATTTTGGCACAAAATGGCCGCTATGTTTCACCCAAGCAGGAGCTAAACAAATTGACCATATTAGGCTATAATTAGTTATTGAACCAGCAGTGAGGCTCTGCCTACCTGTATCCATCTCCAGTGGCCGGCTAAGACTGCTGTTGCAGTTCCCATCGCTAGTGACGACCTGGAATGCGTAGTGTTCCCCGCACTGCAGGCCGGTGATGAAGAGGGAGGTGTCAGAGGTGGGGTATGAGGTGGTGGTGTTAGCGCCCCCTATCTTCTGGGAGTGTAAGGTGTATTTGGCCCCGTACACTGGGCTGGCATCCCAGGTCAGGGACAGGATGTTGGTAGAACAGGACACTATGCCCTCCAGCTGGATGGGTGGACACAGGGCTGAGGAGTCCAGAGACAACAGAAGTACTAGAGTATACAGTTGCTAACTCAAGTCCAACAAGTGGGAATGTAATGAAGAATGGAATCTCGGACACCCAGAACTAAAATCTTGCGTAATTGCGTCAGGTCCTCCATTAGGTTCTGGGGAGAGATGTATGAGAAGATATACTAACCAGACTATCGAAGTCTCCACCCCCCCTAAATGGAAATTCTCAGCCAAAGCATTGGCCAAATGTCCCCTCCACTTCTGAAATTCGAAAGATGTGAACACTTGCGAAATCGTGATTTGTCCAAATGATCAGTGGCGAAAAAATCTGCGCAGTGGAACAAAGTCCCTCGTTAATAGTCACATCCAACAGTCTGTTGACAGGCGATACTACACCGTTCTATGTTAGGTGCGCCTGCCCATGAGAGATTATGAAGGATGTAATTGAGTTCTACATCTACAAGATATTCATAACAGACAGATCAGACAGACTCTCTCTCTCTTCTCACCTGTTCTGAGTTCAACGTCAGGGCTGGGGTCGCTAGTGGCAGCCACTGTCGATGGTAACCACGTTGACAGCGTAGGTCTCGGAGCAGTGCAGGTCGGTGAAGGAACAGTCGGTGGAGTTGGAGATGCAGGTGTGGGTGTGTCCGTCGTTACCTGTGGCGGTTGCTAAGTACATGTCCGCCCTGGCAACGGCCGTCCAGGAGACAGTGCCCATGTTGCCATCACACTGCAGAGACGTTGAAACATTGGTGGGGGGACAAAAACCTGTAGGGAAAGAGAAAGAGAGAGAGGGAGAGAGAGAGAGAGAGAGAAGTTACATCATCTAATGGGTGAGATGGGAGATCAGAGGAGGTGTTTATGAATGTGTGGACGAGTAGGGATTTAGAGTGGGAGTTTTTTCTCCTCTCTCTCCCCTCCCCATCTCTCTCTCCTCTTACCCACACACACCCAGCACACACACACACACACACCCACACACACACACACACCCACACACATCACACACCCACACACACACACACACACACACACAGAAACACCACACACACACACACCCACACACACACACAGACACCAGTGGAGGCTGCTGAGGGGAGGTCGGCTCATAATAATGGCTGCATTGGTGTCCAATTAAATGGTATCAACTACTGGAAAACCACGCGTTTAAAGTGGTGTAAAGTATTAAGTAAAAAATGATTTAAAGTACTCCTTCTGTAGTTTTGTGGGTTTCTGTACTTTACTTTACTATTATATTCGGACTAACTTTTACTTTTACTTCAACTAACATTCCAAATAAAATTATGTCACTTTTTTACTCCAATACAATGTTTTTCATGACAACCCACAGAACCTCGTTACATTTTGACAGGGAAACATTGTTAACTACACTCACCGTTATCAAGAGGAGGGAGAACATCCCTGGTCCATCACTACTGCCTCTGATCTAGCAGACTCACTAAACCACAAATGCTTTCATATGTAAATTGATGTCTGAGTGTGTGAGTGTGCACTGGCTATCCGTCAAAAAAATAATAAACACAATTGTGCCGTCTGGTTTGCTGAATATAACGGATGTAATTGAGTTCTAGATCTACAAGATATTCATAACAGACAGATCAGAAAGACTCTCTCTCTCTTCTCACCTGTTCTGAGTTCAACGTCAGGGCTGGGGGTCGCTATGGCAGCCCCTGTCGATGGTAACCACGGTGACAGCGTAGGTCTCGGAGCAGTGCAGGTCGGTGAAGGAACAGTCGGTGGAGTTGGAGCTGCAGGTGTGGGTGTGGTCCGTCGTTACCTGTGGCAGTTGCTAGGTACATGTCCGCCCTGGCAACGGCCGTCCAGGAGACAGTGTCCATGTTGCCATCACACTGCAGAGACGTTGAAACATTGGTGGGGGGACAAAAAACTGTAGGGAGAGAGAAAGAGTGAGAGGGAGAGAGAGAGAGGAGAGAGAGAGAGAGAGAGCGAGAGAGAGGAGAAGGAAAGGGGAGACGCAGAGAGAGGGAGAGAGAAGGGAGAGACATAGAGAATGGGAAGAGAAAGGGAGGACAGAGAGAAGGGAGAGAGATATAATAAATGGGTGAGATGGGAGATCAGAGGAGGTGTTTATGAATGTGGTGACAGAGTAGGGTTGTTAGAGGTGGGAGTTTTTCCTCACTCTCTCTCCCCCTCCCCATCTCTCTCTCTCTCGCTTACACACACACCACACACCCCAAACACACACCCCCACACACACCACACACACACACACACACACCACACCCCACACCACACACACCACACCACACAGACACCAGTGGAGGCTGCTGAGGGAGGTCAGCTCATAATAATGGCTTGCAATGGTGTCAATTAATGGTATCAACTACATGGAAACCACGCGTTAAAGTGGTGTAAAGTACTTAAGTAAAAATGATTTAAAGTTACTTATGTAGTTTTTTGTGTTTCTGTACTTTACTTTACTATTTATTTTTGGACTACTTTTACTTTACTTCACTACATTCCTAAATAAAATTATGTACTTTTTACTCCATACATTTTTCCTGACACCCAACAGAACTCGTTACATTTTGACAGGAAAATTGTTAACTTCACGCACTTATCAAGAGAACATCCCTGGTCATCCCTACTGCCTCTGATCTGGCAGACTCACTAAACACAAATGCTTCGTATGTAAATTATGTCTGAGTGTGTGAGTGTGCCGCTGGCTATCCGTCAAAAAAATAATAAACACATTGTGCCGTCTGGTTTGCTTAATATAACAGGATGTAATTTGAGTTCTAGATCTACAAGATATTCATAACAGACAGATCAGAAAGACTCTCTCTCTCTTCTCACCTGTTCTGAGTTCAACGTCAGGGCTGGGGTCGCTATGGCAGCCCCTGTCGATGGTAACCACGGTGACAGCGTAGGTCTCGGAGCAGTGCAGGTCGGTGAAGGAACAGTCAGTGGAGTTGGAGCTGCAGGTGTGGGTGTGTCCGTCGTTACCTGTGGCAGTTTGCTAGGTACATTTCGCCCTGGCAACGGCCGTCCAGGAGAATGCCCATTTTGCCCACACTGAGAGACGTTGAAAACTTTGGGGGGGGGGGAAACAAAAACCGAGGGAGGGAGGAGAGAAAGAGAGATTAAGAGAGAGAAGAAGGGGAGGAAAAAAGGGGAGAAAAACGAGGGGGAGGAGAGAGAAGGAAAATTAGGGAGAGGAGAAAGGGAGAAAGAGAAAGGGAAAAGAGGGAAAGGGAGAGAAGGGAGAAAAAGGGAGAAAAAGGAGAAAAAAAAAGGGGGAGAGGGAGACAAGAGGGAGGGGGGGGACAAGGGGGGGGAGGGGGATTTTTCCACCCCCCCCCCCCCACCCCCCCCCCCCCCCCAAACCAACACACACACACACACACCCCACCAAACACCACCACCACACACACCACACACCCAACACCCAGACCCAGTGGAGGTGGGGGGGGAGGCCCTTATATAATGGCTGCAATGGTGTAAATTAAATGGAAATCAACCTACATGGAAACCACGCGTTTAAAGTGGTGTAAAGTACTTAAGTAAAAATTATTTAAAGTACTACTTATGTAGTTTTTTGTGGTTTCTGTACTTTACTTTACTATTTATATTTTTGACTACTTTTACTTTTACTTCACTACATTCCTAAATAAAATTATGTACTTTTTACTCCATAAATGTTTCATGACACCCAACAGAACTCGTTACATTTTGACAGGAAAATTGTTAACTTCACGCACTTAACAAGAGAACATCCCTGGTCATCACTACTGCCTCAGATCTGGCAGACTCACTAAACACAAATGCTTCATATGTAAATTATGTCTGAGTGTGTGAGTGTGCCGCTGGCTATCCGTCAAAAAAATTATAAACACAATTGTGCCGTCTGGTTTGCTTAATATAACAGATGTAATTTAATTCTAGATCTACAAGATATTCATAACAGACAGATCAGACAGACTCTCTCTCTCTCTTCTCACCTGTTCTGAGTTCAACGTCAGGGCTGGGGTCGCTATGGCAGCCCCTGTCGATGGTAACACCACGGTGACAGCGTAGGTCTCGGAGCAGTGCAGGTCGGTTGAAGGAACAGTCAGTGGAGTTGGAGCTGCAGGTGTGGGTGTGTCCGTCGTTCACCTGTGGCAGGTTGCTAGGTACATGTCCGCCCTGGCAACGGCCGTCCAGGAGACAGTGCCCCATGTTGCCATCACACTGCAGAGACGTTGAACATTGGTGGGGGGACAAAAACCTGTAGGAGGAGAGAAAGAGAGAGAGGGAGAGAGTGGAGAGGACAGAGAGAGAGAGAGAGAGAGAGAGAGAGAGATTGAGAGGAGAGAGAGAGAGAGAGGAGAGAGAAGAGAGGAGAGAGAGAGAGAAGAGAGAGAGAGAGAGAGAGAAAGGGGGAGGAACAGAGAGAAGGGGAAGGAGGGAGAAAGGGAGAGCAGAGAGAAGGGGAGAGATATTAATATAAGGGGTGAGATGGGAGATCAGAGGAGGTTTGTATGGAGTGGGGACAGAGTAGGGATGTTAGAGGTGGGAGGTTTTTCTCACTCTCTCTCCCCCTCCCCATCTCTCTCTCTCGACTCTCTCGCTTACACACACACACACAAACACACACACACACACACACACACCACACAACACACACATCACCACACACAACAGACACCAGTGGAGGCTGCTGAGGGGAGGTCGAGCTCATAACTAATGGCTTGCAATGGTGTCAATTAATGGTATCAACTACATGGAAAACCACGCGTTTAAAGTGGTGTAAAGTACTTAAGTAAAAATTGATTTAAAGTACTACTTATTAGTTTTTTGTGGTTTCTGTACTTTACTTTAACTATTAATATTTTGGACTACTTTTACTTTTACTTCACTACATTCCTAAATAAAATTATGTACTTTTTACTCCATACATTTTTCCTGACACCCAACAGAACTCGTTTACATTTTGACAGGAAAATTGTTAACTTCACGCACTTAATCAAGAGAACATCCCTGGTCATCACTACTGCCCTCAGATCTGGCAGACTCACTAAACACAAATGCTTCGTATGTAAATTATGTCTGAGTGTGTGAGTGTGCCGCTGGCTATCCGTCAAAAAAAATATAAACACAATTGTGCCGTCTGGTTTGCTTAATTTAACGATGTAATTGAGTTCTAGATCTACAAGATATTCATAACAGACAGATCAGACAGACTCTCTCTCTCTTCTCACCTGTTCTGAGTTCAACGTCAGGGGGCTGGGTCGCTATGGCAGCCCCTGTCGATGGTAACACAGGTGACAGCGTAGGTCTCGAGCAGTGCAGGTCGGTGAAGGAACAGTCAGTGGAGTTGGAGCTGCAGGTGTGGGTGTGTCCGTCGTTACCTGTGGCAGTTGCTAGGTACATGTCGCCCTGGCAACGGCCGTCCAGGAGACAGTGCCCATGTTGCCATCACACACTGCAGAGACGTTGAAACATTGGTGGGGGGACAAAACCTGTAGGAGAGAGAATAGAGAGAGAGGGAGAGAGAAGAGAAGAGGAGAGAGAGAGAGGATAGAGAGAGAGAGGGAGAGAGAGAGAGAGAGAGAGAGAGAGAGGAGAGAGAAAGGGAGAGACAGAGAGAAGGGAGAGAGAAAGGGAGAGACAGAGAGAAGGGAGAGAGATATAATATAAGGGGTGAGATGGGAGATCAGAGGAGGTGTTTATGGATGTGGGGACAGAGTAGGGATGTTAGAGGTGGGAGTTTTTCTCACTCTCTCTCCCCCTCCCCATCTCTCTCTCTCTCGCTTACACACACAACCCACACACCACACACACACCACACACACACACACCACCACACACACACCACACACACACACACCACACACACACCACACACACACAGACACCAGTGGAGGCTGCTGAGGGGAGGTCGGCTCATAATAATGGCTGCAATGGTGTCAATTAAATGGTATCAACTACATGGAAACCACGCGTTTAAAGTGGTGTAAAGTACTTAAGTAAAAATTATTTAAAGTACTACTTATGTAGTTTTTTGTGGTTTCTGTACTTTACTTTACTATTTATATTTTTGACTACTTTTACTTTTACTTCACTACATTCCTAAATAAAATTATGTACTTTTTACTCCATACATTTTTCCTGACACCCAACAGAACTCGTTACATTTTGACAGGAAAATTGTTAACTTCACGCACTAATCAAGAAAACATCCCTGGTCATCACTACTGCCTCAGATCTGGCAGACTCACTAAACACAAATGCTTCGTATGTAAATTATGTCTGAGTGTGTGAGTGTGCCGCTGGCTATCCGTCAAAAAAATTATAAACACAATTGTGCCGTCTGGTTTGCTTAATTTAACGGATGTAATTGAGTTCTAGATCTACAAGATATTCATAACAGACAGATCAGACAGACTCTCTCTCTCTTCTCACCTGTTCTGAGTTCAACGTCAGGGCTGGGGTCGCTATGGCAGCCCCTGTCGATGGTAACCACGGTGACAGCGTAGGTCTCGGAGCAGTGCAGGTCGGTGAAGGAACAGTCAGTGGAGTTGGAGCTGCAGGTGTGGGTGTGTCCGTCGTTACCTGTGGCAGTTGCTAGGTACATGTCCGCCCTGGCAACGGCCGTC